AAACATGCTGGAGGTATATAAAATTAATTACAATGCCGTTAAGTTGTGATTTAATTAAATTGATGGTGGGAGGAACGGAGGGCGCAGAGCAAGAACTTTTATGGACTCCGAGGATAATAATTCCTGGTTGAACAATGGGCCTGTTTAGCATAGCTCAGGATGAATTGATTAATTTTTACGTGGCCGGAAAGCTTAAAGGGGAGCCCCAACGATAATTGAGTTCTTTAAAACCGCACACAAACAGGGTGTTTCACACTGACGTAATTCTTGGCTCAGCTTTCGCCCGAGAAGATGAGACGCCACACCAAAATCCTCACACTTCCCAATCTTGGTGAGCCGCCCAAGAGACTTCGCTGCAAAAATATTAATTAATTCCAGTACCAGTGCTGTTTATTTGCCAAAATTGAGCAGGAAAAAACGGCAGATGTGGACTTGGTGATAAATAAATCAGACCTCATGACGTTTCCGAAACCCCTCAATTTGCAGCCCATGAATTTTTCACCTTGATAAATTTACAGTCCCTGTTTTTCTGCAATATTTATTAATTCTCACACTCATTGTTGTTCAAGCGTGGCGGTTTTTTTCTGTTTTCGCGACTTAACGCCTCCAAATAATTTTTTTGGGGTGCGAATATTAAATGGCGATAAAAGAAATTGAAGGTTTACCTGGATTTAATAAACATCAGAGATGCTTTCATGGGTTTAATTAAAAGTATTTCTGTTAAATGTTCTATTTTTGTTGATTGGTTTATGAGATTTTGCGGATATTTCTGATCTGCTCTAGAATCAGAATCAAATTTACAAACAATTGTGATTAAATCCACTGGTTCTTTAACGAAAATTCTATAAATACAGTTTACTTACACGATGCAATTGCAACAATTAGTGATTTTTCATGTGGTAACTTTTGGAAAACAGTAAAAGCATAATCAGATAAATTGATTCTATTCACTTAATCTTTCCATTCTCCTATACAATCTCTCGCCAAATATCTAATCATCATCTGTACTTTCCCAGAGCCCTCCCTAATGCTGTTCCGAAATAGCTGCAGGCGCATTTTCCCTTGGAATACCATCGATTGAGACAGTCGAATGGCAAACAGGCCGACCAGAACACCAATTAATGCCGTTGTTGCTGCAAAATTAATCCAAATTGCCACAGAATTCACTCAGCCAGCGCTCAACAATTCGGATATTTAATTAAATTCGCCAGAGTGGCACAATTTGCATGCCAGTGGCTCCACTGTCAGTGCAAAAAGAGCAAAAAAGGACACTATGCTGCGTCGATGAGAGACTATGTTGTGAAATTAATTCCATTTTAATATGTCCACATATGGGCACATCTGGTGCTGACACATTCACTCTTGGACGGCGCGCGTGAGCTTTTGTCGGGTCCGCGCACAATTGGCGCACATTTTGATGGCAATAATCGTCAGAAAGTCATTAATTATGCATTTTATACGCCACATTGAGCTCCACCCCGCGGGACGCCCTCGGCGGGCCCCACAAAAGACATCCTCTCTGGAAGATTGCAATAAATATTCCCCGAGAGGCTGGCGCGGGTGGTTGAATTGAAAGGAGAGCAGAATTCCACATAAATCTCAAAGTTGTCGAACGCTGAGGGCGGATGGGAATGTATTCAAACATTGGCACAAAGAATCAGAATATAATTTAATACTTTGGGAATATAATTCTGACAAGGGAGACACATTTTTGACAATATTGTGTTATTCACGGGGGATTTATTGAATAGCACTGTGTTATTTATGGGAATTTGCCGTGGGTAAATCCCCACATCTCAAGCACAAGACCTCCAAATGGAGGGCGTTCTGATGGGGCTGGAGAAGCACGAAGTGAAAGATATGAAACATTGCCGAAAGTTTCCCGGAGACTGTGACTAATCAGGTGAATTTTCCACATGTTTCAATTTGCTTGAAATCCGTAATGCCTAAAATTCAATTGAAAGAAGTTCCGCCTGAGTCTGATTTTCTTCCGGGGTAGGAAATTCAGGGACGCAAGTCGTCAAAAGGTGGAAAAGAAGGGAAATTCCTTGACGCAGATTCTTACGTGGTGGCATGATAAAAGATTGACAAGTCTCACTGAATGGATACCCTCAAAAAATCCACCATTATCTGCAATTTCTCTGTGGAGAGAGGGAGAAACTTCCCTCCTGTTGAACACCCATCGAAAGTCCGTATCGTGAATGGGGTGATTAGAGGGCTGAAAAGGGGAGTTTAATTGAAAAAAGTCAACAAAGAAGTGAAATGGAAAAATAATCCACTGTCAAAGCAGTGCTTTTGCTATGAGAACAGATTTTGCAAAATCAATTTTGCTGATTAAACTCTAGCAAAAATAGATGGAAAAATAATTTTAATAACTGTTCACAAACAATTCACTCTTCTGTTATTTGTACAGATATGTTGTTGTATACAATTATCGCTGTTCATTCGATTTTGATGAAATACATCACTGCTTTCAGTGATAGTACATTGTGTATTTTATGGTTGGAAATTTTGACAATACAATATTACTGGATGGCTGTGATTTGAAGAAACTGTTTTAAACATAAAACATAATCATTAATATTCATACTCTTCAGGCTGCACTGGAGAGAGTAGTAGTTTCTCGTTGACATTCTCATTTATTTTCAATTTAACATCACCAAATAGCAAATATGATTAACTCATGCCAAATATTTGCACCCCTTTTGCAGGTCCACATTTACCAATTGTTATTTTGCATGACACTACAGTTTCCCTCTCCCCTTGTCACCATTGAAAAATTAAATTCCCGGCGAATTCCCGCTTGAGCACGCATCTTTTGCATTTCAAATGGCACTCTCTCCACTTTCTTTCTCCAGAGTAGCATTCCGAGTAAGACACAAAATCGATCGCTCCGGGATTTCATTCCCACGATGTCGCCCCAATTAGCATAGAGAGTGTGCAATTTTTGGTGTCAGTGACGATGAATGTGAATAGTGGAGCGAGAAAAGTGCAGCATGAAGGAGGAATTTAATTAAATTAGGAGGAAAATGACAGGGAATTTCCGCGAGGAATGTCATACGTGCTGCACAATGGTCATGGGAGATAATGACGATTCCTCCAGATGGAATATCAACACGTTGGATTAGTCGCTGGATGCTCTCTACAGTCAGTACATAATTCCTGGCCATGGAGCACAGATTCTCACTCATGCGGAGAGCACATAAATTTAATTAAACAATATCATGAGTCGACAGTGCATGGCAGTGAGCCACAATTTCTGGTGATGTGGCAGAAACAAGGGGCCGATGCCATTTCCCGCGCTTTTCCCCAAACTCGTACATCAATCACAAACATTTGCGGTTGTTGCACCTCACGCGACAACTCCCAGATGCATGTACAATTATTGAATTTGCTGTTTGTCGCCGGGGAGCTTTTGGGACCCCCAACTGGGCGCCCACTTGGCAACAGACATCGCCATTCAGCGGCTGCAGTGGAGCTTCAACACGATGTCTTGTATAATTTCTTCATTATGCCATTCATGCTGGCAGTGATTTTCATGCAGTCAAACTTAGATTTGTTTTGGAAAGTTTTGAAACGCATGGCAGGACAAATAGGCGGGTCATCCGCATGGGCGGTGCCAAGCAAATTCGTAAAAGCTCTACACACCGCATGTGTATTATGCTTTTCCAGGAAAAATTCTTGAAAGTCAATACCCGAAGACGTTGAAAACTCATAAAAGCCTGTGTTTAAGTGAAAACTTTAAGAGCCCTTCGTCTTTATTGCCCGCATATCTTTCATCTCCCTCCGATTCCGTCGTAATGCCAAAATGATTGGCGGGAGGAATTCAATTTGGCTCCCTTCGGCGCGATTTTTCTGCATTTTCATTCCCTCTGGAGCAAAGTTTGCGCCAGACGCCAAATTATTGCTGTCGGTGTTAATGTCTCGGAAAAAGCGCCATGCAATCTCTCAGGCTCACGGCTAAATTCGATTGTCTCCTCTTTACAGAACGATATATATGTGCAAAGGTGTGAAAAACTCACGAGAAAATTGATCAACAATAAAAACTACCAAGTCATCATTGCACGCAATTAACTGCATCTCCACCACGACTTTCGTGATCAATTTTCCAATTGAGGCACGCGAGGTATTTTCCTCATTGTCGCATTCTTGCAGGTGGAGTGAAAAATTGCAGCAGAATTTATATTACTTCTCGGAGAGTTTAATTCTCACTATTTTCGCCGCATTCAATTTCTCTCTGGGTGAGAAAATATTTTAACAAGGGCTCATGAGATTAATTTTCTTGAAATAACTTCACGTCGAGGACTTTTTGCTGAGAGGACTAAAAACTCAATTCACTCGAATAGCAACGGTTGAAAAACCTTTGCCTGACAAATGCCGGGGAATATTTTTTTGGGGTGATTTTGTTCAATATCCTTCATAAATGATTTAATATATTGCCAAAATCGCAAATTTACAAGTTTTGTATTGGGCTAAATTTTCCGGTTGATGAACCTGTTGCAAAATATGAGATAATTTGTCATGAAAATGTAAAGTCTTCGTCACACTTTTGCTGCCGCCTAGTGTCGGACATAAGAAATGCGGTGAAACTGCTTCCAAAAGTGCTTTAAAATAGTGAATTCACCCACCGAAAATCTGACTTTTAGTTTCCCAAGACACCATGAGGTTCTGGGGAGCATTCAAATAATTCGTTAGTACACAATCAATAAGTTTAGTCAGCACATAAAATTTACATGTTTTCAATAGAAAACTGAAAATTGGTTAAACTAGAGAGATAATCTGAGGAATTTCCGTCGAATTTGATAATGGTTCCATTTAAATCGCCACGTTTTAGGTTGCAAAATCCGTGTTATTTTTATCAGTGGACTCTGAAAGAGGCAGGAAAATCGATTCAGCGAGCGATTTTCAGTCTCACTCACTTGGCGTCGCTGTGGTGCACGCGGGTGTCAAAAGACAGCGCGCGGTCGCAAAACCCCTAGTATTAGGCAATATATCAGTGGTGTGCAGGGTGTTTTCAAAGCACAGGCCATCGTCCACGCCCGCACCTGTGCCCAGGTAGAATGACCGAGAACAGCGTGCTCCTGAGCCTGAAGCAGCGCTACATGTGGGGTGGAGCGCCCATCCCGGCCACGCAGTGCGACGCCGCTAACAGTGCCCTGGAATTGCTCCGCCTCAATATCCAGGAACCCTTCAGCAGGGAGGTCCTGGGCATTGTGGCCAAGTTCCGAGAGAAATACTTTCTGCCGGCGATGAAGAACATCAAGGAGAACCTGGGCGAGAACTCAATCACTGATGAACAGGTGGGTTGACTTGTATTTACCATTCGGACTGCCCAAGTAATTGCACACGTTTTGTCACAGATTCACAGGGTTTGCGTGGCTCTGTTGGCGGGAGCGAAGGACTTTCTGGAGGCCATGTGGACGGACGACGATGAAGGCAGTCAAGGAGAGTCATCGAGTGGCAAGGCATTGCCCCGGAAGCGAAAGGAACCGGACAATGACTCTCCAACACCATCAAAGCGCCCAAATCTCCTCCCTGACACTCCGCAAATGTCCGCATCGCGATCCCAGAAACTCCCAAAACCTGACACAGGATTCGTTCTGGAATCACAAGCTTGCAAGGTGTTCGATAGAGAGAAAATTCTGACCAAACATCCCGAATTGTCTCACTACCAGCCAGACTTCCAAGACAGGGAGTATTTAGTTACCCAGAAGATCATCCCTAGCAAGAGTTGCCCAGCCACACTTCTTCTCCACGACGAGTTGCTGAAACTCGCCGAGACTCGCACAGAATACAGGAGTTTCGTCAAGACGTCAGACCTGCAGCTTTTCCGCCTGCCTGAGTTCATCCTCAAAAAGATGATTCCGGCAGTGTCGGATGCGACCAAGAAGCCTAAGAGTTCCCTCAGCTCCTCCCATGCCACCCTGTCCGCCCTCCTGGCGAAACAGACGGATCCACCGGCCGAGGATACGTAAAGACATTTGGCATCCGCTTTGCTTGAGCTTCTGCTGATTTGAGGATCTTAGTCCCATCCCGTTTCAAGGTTTCACGGCCCGCTGAATAGACTCGCTACGAATTTGAACTCTTCCCATCACTTTGGATTCCAATTAATCGAGTGGATCAATGTAATGTTACTTATATTATAGATCTTAAGATAGTCAAAGGAATTTAGAGAAAGTCGAGAGAGAGAAAGAGATTATATGTGAGAAAATAGAGGTTTCCGGATAGTAGAATAAATAAAATATTACCAATATAATAATGGAGAATATGTGTTATTCATCTCCGTTTTATCACTTCATAAGCTGAGCCAAGTTGAAAAAGCCGAAAAGTATATTTTCCCATGGCCGCGCTTGGCCTCCTCGGCCTGCAGCTCTAACAGCGTCTATGTCTCTCGGCGGCTCCACTTGAAGACAATAGAAGCCCGCAGCTGGCGAGGAGTGCAGGAGGAGGAACTGGGAGGCCCGCGGAGAGTGCCTGAGACCGCAATTGATGGGGTCAATTGGGCTCCAGCTCCGGCGCTGCGGCCTCACTCGCGCCTCGATCACGAAGCGATGGTGCTAAATGGCGAGAAGACTCTCATTAGCCACCGTGTTTGTCCATCTAATTCTCGTGGCGGAGCCACAAAAAAGCGCCAGATTCCCGGGGGCCAGAAAGACGCAGAAAATGATCGTCTATTTCAATGCCTAATCTCGTGATCTTCAGCCCCGCAGACACTTAAGCCGCAACTCCTTATCAGCCGTAACTACTTTGTCACCCGCCATGCGATTGACTGAATGAATGACGAGTGATCTACAAAAATTCAGACATGAGATTTCCTTTGTCTGGTGCCATTGAAGCGATTCTGTTTCTGCGCTAGTTCCATTAACATTTACGATTGCAATTTGTACTGAAGAATGGCGAATGATTTTAGCGAAAGGAGTAAAATTTAATTTCATGAATCCCGACTGAGGAAAATCTGCCTGCGGAGTTTGATGACTGAATCTTTGGTGGCGCTCCGAATTTCCTCTCCCGCCACCTCGACTCTCAGGTTTGCCGTTGGAGTGCCGTAATTTCTGTACAAAGCATGATTCTCCAAGTGCGCTGTGAGTGCTGGCGGGGGCCGGGGAGCCCTGGGCCTCGGTGTTGGTGGCGCTCTCTTTCTCTGTCGCTCACCAATACGCGGAAGAGACGCGAATCGCGACAAGACAGTCTCTGTATTCGATTGAGATTCAGCGAGACTGAGACAACCGAATGTCGCTGCCCGGGAGTCGAAGAGAGACAGCTCATGCTCAGAAAGCCGCCAAGGCAGAGATTCCCAAATCTTGGGAGCAAATCTGCGGTCTAGCGGCTGTGTTAAGGTAGTCCTAGAGGCAACTTTTTGGGATTTAACCATCGGACAGCGAGTAAGACAGGCAGAGAAGATTTGTGTAGTGGGGAAAGGAAGGAAAATGTAGGAAAAACCCGGTGTTGAAGTTTGAGAAGCGCTGCCATGTAGAATCTAAACAAAATGTTCAGCAACGACGAGCGTCAAGCGCGGATTGCAATTGAGCTAGTAGAGTAGATAGACGACGTCAGTTCAGTAACGTTTTGGTAGTTGTCTTGAGTACTTATGGAATAATTTAGTGTTTAGAGGAAAGGAGAGACTAACAACGCTGCTCGTGTGGATGGAGATCGTCCCTGGTCACCTACTTCCGGTTCCATCGGAAAATGTTATGCATATATAGTTGTTAGGTGCTCGCACTAGCTTGTGTAGTGTTGTTGTGTTGTTGTGCTCCAGTGCCTGAAGGAGGGGAGCCAAGCAGGGTCCAGGACCCGCACGCCAATCGCCGGACCGCCGGAGAGCCCAGAGAGTTTGATCAATTGAGCGCTCGCAGATTGTACAATCAGAAATCAATTACATAATCCACCCCGAGTCGCTGAGCGAAAGCGCAGTGTCGCGAGAGAGCGCAGAGAAAGGGTCCTCCCGGAGGCAGGAGCCCGGTCCGACCCCAGCAGTTACATAAGGGTCCTCTCTGGGTCACAAGGAGTCCCCGGGAGTGAGCGAGACGCCCCAGCCTGAGCAAGACGCGGAGAATGTGGTGCAGTGGCGCGAAGGACAAGTCCGTGTCTCTGTGAGCGTGGTCCTTGCACTCCAGCCGCCGTCCCTGTCCAACGACCAAGCGCCGCCATCGAGCCGTCTCACTCCCGCTCACCCACGTGCGCGTGTGTTCGTGGCGCCCCAGCCGGAAGGAGCGGGTGGTGTGAAAAATAAGCGGAAGAGAGAGGGATAAATAGTGCTGGAAAATTCGGGCTGATATATTGAATTTTCCGCGCTCGAGATATCGATTTGGACAACATGATGGAGGGTCACCCGGAATTGAATCCCTCAGCCACGGCTGGATTACCTGCTGAAGTACCCAATGATCCAGGGTGAGTCCCAAGCAATACTTAGCCCACCCACTGTAATCCCGCGCCGAGGGGCCGAGAGCTTACCTTGCGCTTAGGCTCGGCAATGCCTCGAAGTGTGCGTTCTTGTCCCCTCGGCGTGACAAGGAAGAGAAACTTTGAGCGACTTTCAATCGATAATTGCAGCCCACGTCTTCCGACGTCCCTCCATGTCCTCTTACAGTGTGGGAGAGGGATTAAAAATGCACATAATCACCCGTTCACACTTATGAGAAGCTGGGATTTTGTGGACCAATGTGAAACTACTCTTCAGAGGAATTTTTGCATTTTGCGAGAGCTTTTTTGAAAAATTTGAGATAATCAAGGTCGGACAATTACAACTCAAGTTACCAATTAAATATCTCATTTTATTGCTGTTCTCCTTAGGACCTGAGTTCCGCTTTACTTAGATTTTCGATTTTCCGACATTATTTTCCCGTTTGACCGCAGAAGACAGCTTTGCTTTCCCCTTCTCTGTGATGCACACTCGCAATATTGCAGTATTACAGTATCTACTCATCCTTAATCTTCGGCAAATGGCAACTTTGCCGATTGAGTCTTGGAAATTGACACTGTAATTAATGATAGCTGCATTCTCAACTTCTTGGGTAATTTTTCTCTTTCGTTGTTAACTCTCTAATGGTAATTGATGAGCTGTTTTGTCGCTGCAGCAATTTTTTCCAGCCAATTTCACTTACTATGCTTTTTATGGATTATATTTTCAAATCAATTTTCACATAGAGATGTTAGAATATTTGCTGAGTACATCATCGATCTCTGGTCATTTGCAATTCAGTCTGAGTTCAGTAAGGTTTAATTTGAATCTTTGATCTTCTTACTAAAAAGGTTCCCCATGCAAATGTGTGCTCTCATGTGACTATACTTTACTCTTGACACACATTGTCACTCTCAATTGATTTTCTGAATAGATTCCTGGAAGAGAACATTGAGGAAAAAGGCAGTGATTAAGTATTAATATAATCGATATATTGGAACTTTTTCTCACTATTCTCGCAAGCTATTTTCGACGACACACTCCAATGATTGTTATTTTTGTCCATTTCAGTGTCATTCACTGAATAGAGAGAGATATTGAGGAGAATTTTTGCAGAGGGAATCACTTATCTTTCTTAGTAACAGTTTTTGAACTAAGGTCGTTTGCGCTTGACTAAATTCAGCTGGCTGGCTGAGATTGAGTCCACAAGCGATTTGCGATGCCGAAAGCGAGGAACCGCCTTGAAAATCCATTCGGCGCAGACCCCAAAATTCACGCGATTTGTTTGCTTTCTCTGCGAAAGTCTGGCTGATTGTTTTGATGCAGCTCTCGGGGAAGCTTTGTGAGAGCTTTTTCATCCTTTTCTTTGACGGCAAGTTTGTCTGGTGGAGCAAAAGTTTTCCAAAGGCCCAATTTTGAGAATGGAAGAGGCGTTTGGAAATGCGCATGTTTGAGCAGTTTCACTGTCATATGCAATTTTAATAATACACCAAGAGAGCGACGACGACGAATTACATAATCAGCATCCTGTGCAGCGATGCTCTAAATCTTGATGAAATTTTTCACAATGCTGATTCTTGTCATATCGCAGCTCTAGATAAGAGACTTTGTTATAAGACGTTCCAGCTGGGGGGCCGCCTTTGCATAAGAACGCGAAGCGCTGACGATTGAGAAAATGAGGCGAGAGCAATTGAGAAATAGAACATTATGGCTTGAGTCTCTCTCTTGAGGTCATCCGAAAGTTCACCGCAATTTCAACTCGCTCGATCTTCGACGCATGAAACTTACACAGAAGCTATGAAAATGTTGAGCCCAATTGATTCGATGATGATTTTTCTTTACGTAATGCCCGCCATGTTTCTGCAATTGTCGCAAGTGATGCAAAGTAGGAAGAATTGCATTATTTCCGCCAAAAAATCCACCTTGTTCCCATTTCGAGGTGCGTTTAATATAAAAAGACACAAAACACAATTGATCAAAATTGATCTCATTTAGCGCTTTTTCCCCTTGAGGAGACTTTTAGCAAAAAGATCTGCATTTGTTATGGATTTTTGACGAATTTCAGTATATCTCGTGAATTTTTGCTCTGCGGTTGCGAGTTCATTCAACTGTGATTGTGGCACTTTTTCATGATCAATTTCATGTTACTCAATTTTCAGTCCGCATTGCGTGATTTTTCGGAATGCTCTTATTGACAGTAATTTCGTCTCACTGTCCTTTGTCAATTTTTTTTCTCTACAATACAGTTCCACAATCACACAACTTTCCCAGTTGGAGGATCCGTGCAAATCCAAGTCAGACAGACATGGACTCTTGAATGGGGAGCCACAAGAGATGCCGCGCACATTTTCCATCATTCCCGCTCCGGTGCGTTGTTTTGTTCCCATCTCACACACTCCAATTAAACTGAGCGTCTCTCTTTGATTTCAAATGCAAGAGAAAATGAGGCACTATTGAAAAAAGTGCAGCTCATAAAAAGTGGGAGAATATGAGATGTGGCGCAATCGAAGTATCTCCTATTCGGTGCACTGTTGTATTAATGAGAGCACTGAGACAATGGCTCTTTGTCGTTCTTTTGCCTTTCTTCGCTCACTCCGCTGCACTTTCGCACCTTTCTTCCAACGGCGAGACACAAATCGACCACCGGGACTAGATCGCTTAACACTCAGCTTACCGCGGATTTGAGTAATCCAGAAACTAAGACTTCGTTGGCTTTATCACCTGATATCATATCTGAAACATAGTTTATCAATTTCGACACTCCTTATTTCAGACATGAGTTTCCAGTATTTTTTTTTGTATATTTGATATAAAGTAATATTCATACAGTTTACTATTCAATTAATCGTATCTGAGAAATTGATTTCAATTGTTTGTTCCTATCCTTTAATCCTCAATTCACTACATGTAGATTATTATACGCAATTAATCATTGTCTTGCCATTAAATTCTATGTCTTCTCTTACTTCATAATTTAGTATATGATTTATAAAAGAACGACGAAACACAATTTTATTGTATCAAAATACTTCAATGTTGCAATTAATTAATTAATTCGTAAGAACACAATTTACAAACTTTCTATCGTTGTTACACAAAAGCATTAGTAAAAAATTCCAGATATGCTAATAGGTGATGAACTTTGCAACAATGTTTGACAGATTTGCAGTGACTTTGATCGCTGTTTTGCATTGGAGATGACTTATTGACGTGTGCGGGCAAAAAACAGTTCTCTGGCAGGCAGAGTGTTAAGACCGAGACGAGGAAAGACCGAAGATGCATTGCACATTGCTCTTAGATCATTCACATCTTGAATATCGCTTATTTTTGTCATTCACCGCTCTTACATAATGGCAAAATGCATGGCAGAATTGGAGAAGTGGGAAATTCCCGGAAAATCCTAAGAGATGATCAGAATTTTGTGCTGAATGAAGGCATATTTAGTATATGAAAGTCCATATTTATTCATCATGTTGAATCGAGGCACGGAGAAAAATGCGTTAATATTTAAAATCAATATTTTACCGCCTGTCTTCCCATTCTTTTGGGGCCGTTGTTAATGATAGAGAAGGTGAAAATCACGACGCTAAAATAGATCCAAAAATAGAAGAAGAAATGACTGAAAATAAGTTTTCCACTTCATACGAATGGAAAGGAGGGGAACTTCTTGAATATTTAACTTGACGGATTTTCCGATGAAAATTACACCAAATGTTTCTCTTCAATTTTTGCTACACAGTTAGGCGAAAGTGTGTATATTAATTATAGTGAATAATATGTTTATTTCTATTAGACGATTCAATGTGATCTTTGAAACGTCCTCTCGCTTCCAGCATTGAACTGAATTTGCTAATTGAAGCAAATTTTCATGTGAGACTCATGATTTTCTTTAGCTCATGGAGCAATTTCTCAATCAACTCGAATATGTGTCAATTTTGCCTTAACTACACCCTTCCAATTTCTGCATCATTCAACATGATTTCGCGCTTGTTTTTCTGTATACTCGCATACGTGCACTTCTGTTTTGACTCACACGCCGCACTTTGGGGGATAATTTCATTAGTGTTTGGCATTTTTATTCACACATTTCTGCCCCGCCATGACGAAACACTCGCCCGGCATTATGTAAGGCGCGCACCCGCGAAAAAAGATCACCATCCAGAGTGACTAAAATGTTGACATGTGTGTGATAAATTGCTAGCGCTTCATTAGCTCTTCGACAGCCTCCAAAAGAGCGCGCGTCAGGCTCGCAAGATTTGTCTTATCGCACTTGTGCATGCTCTGCCACCCAAAATTCCCTCCCCTTTTCCTGAGGCCTGAAAACCGGCTTTGGCCCAAATTAAATCTCCCTTTTTCTGTGCCAACGCATATAGAATGAGGAAAAAAAATATCACGGTGGAAATTGCAAATCAATTTCATGCCATTCTCTTCTTTTGACACCGCGCGCGCAATTCTGCACAAGAGACTTGAAAACAAGCTTGAAAACCCTTTCAGAGGCGTTGTGCAATTGCGATGTTGCGCGGGTAAAAAGCATCGAATTCTCTAATTAAAATAGATGAAATGAGATCGAAATCGCATCCTCTCACCAATTATCTCGGGCCATTGTGATCTTGCGAGCATTGCAGAAATTGATCAATGCAGTCGTTTTGCAATTGCTTGCGATTTTTCCCAAGACTTGCGGGATTGAGACGAGAATAGATTGGCTTTTGGAGATTTTTGCACACATTTCAGCATCATTGTCACACGAGATTTGGCGTCGTAGTCTCACTTTTGCGGGATGTCAGTGCATTTGCTCACTTTCTGGGCATATTCAGAGCGATATTAGACTTCCAAAAACCGTTGTTCAAACGAAACACTGCGGAGAAAACAAAGAATTTCTTATCTGAAACTGATACGTAGTTCAGTCTTCATTGAGAAAGACGTGCTAAATGATTTCCATGACTCACGATTGACCGTGAATTGGCAGGAATATCTTCCAATTTATTCTGCGCACCACAAGTAATCGTGTTGTTTGCCTCTTAGACCGTCACTCTCGGAGAGCGTCAATGACGGGTGAGAAGATTCCCTTAAAAATCCCAAACTCCGAGGCATCATTTACTTCTTTTTTGTGCCTGCCTTATCTTTGTGACGTGATTTGTGTGACTGAGGAGAAAAACCTCGGCGAAGAGTTCACTTGTCTCTCGATAGTGGGCACGACAAAAGGCACACAAAGGAGGAGAAATTATAGAATCTTATTTTTAGTGGTGGAAACGAAAGATTTTTCCTTAAGGCATCTTTCATCTCGTCACGAGACGCCCGTCGTTGGCAGAGTATTGATGATTGGCGGCCACGAGGAGGCCCGCAACATGCTGTATTAATTTGTTCTGATTTAACAGAGTGTATTTGACTTCAATTAAAGTCAGGCCTTTCTGCTTGTATCACTCCATTCACATCTATTAAGGCAAATAGGAATTAATTTATATAGTGCTGCTTCTGTTGCAACAACGTCACAATTTCACATGAATGAAGCCACTTGTTTATCAAATGCAAAATACATACTCTCGAGGGAACAAATAAAATGGCATACAAGAGTGGTTGGATATAATAAAAAGACCCAAGAGAAATATTCTCTGCACTGGTATTGCGAAGGTGCAAAAAATGCACTCTGTGAATCTCTCTTTATCACCTGCCTCGCTATGGTGACCTCATTTGATTACAAACGGCAACTCTGCACAGCAACTATTTCCATGTTGATTCTCGGCATTTTCCAATGAGAATCGCTCCTTTGTATTCTGCGATGTTTTTAATTCCTCACTTCAATCTTCATCAACATCAGCTGTGCGCTTTGTGTTTGTTGTGCTATTGGCAGAATTTACAATGTTTGAGACATCGAGAGCGTGTCTTTGAATGCACATTCATCTCTTTTCTGACGCTTTATCGAAGTTTTGAGTGTTTCCTTTTCCCTAAAGTTGCAATACAGATTTATCTTTGCTGCAATAAATTTCAAGGCAATTCAAGATTACCCTTTCACATCTGTTTCTCTGAATTCTTCATATTTCATGCATTCCAGCGTCTCAAGCGATGGTAATAAGAACTTATCATGATTGGAGGATTTTTTGCAAAATGGAATAAAGATGAAGTTTGCAAATACGATAGGGCAGGACATTCAAATGGGCGGAGCACGCAAGTGGGCGGGAATTCAGCAATATCATGCAGCATATGCGAAAATCCTCAATCAAAACGTTTAAAGCTAAGAGTTGTTAAGACAAAGCCATTACGTCAGTGCAATATTGTCGATCTCGCTAATGACTTTAAGTCACTGAAAAGCAACTGAGGTTGTGAGAAAATGCACTTTTCTCAGAGAATAATAAAGTGTCATGTCTAATGTGTTTGGCGAGTGATAAAAATCCACTATGAAATTTCATTCAGAAAAACTTTCCAGCTTAATGCATTCTGAATGTGATTGGCGGAAATGAAAATCAAATAACAATTTCCCGTGGAATAAATATTCATGTTGCGGTACTTGTATTGAGAATGGCAAAACTAGCATTTTAGGGATTTTCCGTGGTGAAATTTTACAGGCCAAACCATTAATATTATATGGGGAATTTTTGATGGGATTTATTGGCCATTCATGCTGGGGTGGCACGGTTAAAATTAATCGTCTACAAAATTCTTCATGGGTTTTTAAGTGTTGGACCCTTGGAATTCTCTCTCAGCCTTTTTCCACCTCACCTTTTGCCGGTCACCAGAGAGTTTTTCTTCTGAATTAAATTTTCTATTGGATTTCCCACACTCTGAACGGTCCGTACAATGTTCTTGACAATGTCACTAGATGTGGAGAAGTGGTTTCATGTCGCAAAAACTCATTATCCCTGGGAAAACAAGTCCCTCGGGAGTGATCCTTTTTTATCCTTTTCGTCCGACACAATCATTGGAATCGCCCAACTTCACATCTTCATGGGTGCTTCACAAGTGCAGGGAAATATTAAGAATTTATTGGACAAGCATTGAGCGCGTTTCTATTGATTTTTTACCTTCAAGAAAAGTTAATTTTTCAATCAATTTCTTCCCCTTCTATCACGCATCGCTTATCAGTAAATGAAAATTCCAATTATTTACCCATCGCGTGATGACACAAATTACGATTAGATTATCCCAAGGCACCAACGTGGCTTATCGTATACGTTTTTCTACCTCTATTTTTGGACTTTCTACTCCTTTTCTTTGCTCAGCACACACGCCGCTCAGAGTCGCAATATTTCTTCACATATGGAAAACCCAAATCTCCATTGTTTAATCCTTAAATTCCTCGACTTCCTCAAATTCCGTCTCAGAGGAATTTTTAAATATTTCTTTTGCCAAAAGGTCACCCAAACCCCGGGTCGATCCTTTGCCAAGGTAGTGCGAGTCTTAGGAAAATTCTTATCGCAATATCCGGGTTGATAATTGCAGCGTATTTGTCTCTATCAGTGGGCAAATGATTTATAGCGATATGAAGATTCACAAATTAGGAAATATGATAGTGACATATTGATGGAACTTGAGAGAGTGTCTAGTGATTGACAGATTCTCCGCAGAAACGTTAATTTCCTGGCTAAGATTGTCAAGAGGCAATTCCTCAAAATTTTGATGAATATTGCAATTACTAGTCTGGAATTTTGAGAAAGACCCAGTCTATAAATCTACAGTTCTACTCGGAGTTATCTTTATTTCCGAATTGCGCCCGTCAATGTGACAGCAATTCATCAGTAAAATCAAATTCATATCTTGGCCTCCTTATCTTCATGTCGAGGCAGCAATTTTACAACCGCACTGCTCACTGGGATGATCTCTGTAATCCAATTCTGTCCTTATTACCTCATTTGCGGTCCACCTGAGCCCGGAAAGTCGCATCCGGCTCTTCCCGGGCGCTGCAGCAGCGCGAGGATGCATCCGAGCTCGGGGTCAGGTGTGCATCCCACTTTTGAGACTGTGTGGGGGAGTCGGAAAACTCGTGTCATCTCACTCGCTGCATAGTGTGCTGCATATGTAGTGGTGGCTCTGACGTTCTTATGATCCAGGTTGTGTGAGTTTTGATTACATAACTGGAAAAACAGCGCACATCTACAGTAAAAGAGGCTGAATTGACAGAGAGAGAGACAACATTATGACATGCGCAGTGGAAAATTGTACTTCTGTCCTTGTTCTGCGTACACAACTGTGTGTGAGGTTTTGTATGGTTGTGTGCGTGAGGTTATGCGCGAAAGAGATGGCACAATGATGGAATTTTCGCGTCAGTCGCACTTGGAATTGTTACATAAGCAACATTGTAGCGCTCTCGGAGAAGGAAAATTTCTTTTCCTGCCATTTTCCAACCCCTCTTCTCACCTTCATGATGCATCCTGGCGCCTCTCTCGCTTCTTCACGCCACCCACAATTTTCCCCCCTTCCAACTCAGTTGGAGAATAGCGAGAATGAAGAAAAAAAAACGATGAAGTGAGTGAATTTATGCGATATTGGCGCCCAAATCTCGATAAGCACTCATGTTTGGACAATTTAGTCGTCGTGTTAACTCACGAGAGTCATGCAAGGCCCTCAAGAAAGTTCCTCGAGACACTCCACACGTAATAATTTTTATGACACTCGCATATGACGACAAACAATCACCAGTGACACTATTTCACTCTTTATCGTTCAAGTCGCTGTAAAAAGCGCCTTTCTTCTGCGTCTTACCCTCATTTTTCGCCGCGATGAAAACACACACGAAAAGCACTGTACATGAACCTCAAATGGTTATGTTTTTATAATACCATCGCGCGCAACATCTTCACGATGAGGCCAAAACCCTATGGATATGTTTTCTCTCTCAACACCTCGTCTTGATCATTTGCCAGAAACACATTGTTCGTTGTTGGAGGCTGTGGTGCATCCACAAGAACTTGCTGGTCGCTCAGCGAACAATACCCTCTTTAAATATTTAACTTTACAATAAGTCATGACAAGAGAGGGAGTCCCTAATCCAATAACTTTCCCATTCACTAAATCGGACTGCCTTAAATGGACTTTAGCAAATGGGGAGTTGAAGTGAATTCTAGGCATAAATTCGTTTGTTTTTCCTTGTAAAGTTAATATGTCATAATAGTGTGGGAAGTTTCGCATTTAAATAAGTAAATTTAATTTAAAGTCCATAAAAATGCTCTCAAGAGAGGCACGAAATCATTCTTTTGAACATCACGAAGACGATCACATACAAGAAGCTGAACTTTGTGAAGGGATGTTGCTTTGAAAAATCTGTTTATCTATTTACTGAACAGCAGGAATTCTGTCTCCTTGAGAGGAAATTTATTTGAAGTATAACAGAAAAATTCCCTCTTGTTGTTCAATCTCATTTCGTCCCTCCGGAGCTCATTTGCTATGAGTAAGGCTGTAAATAAATTAATTTAGCATATTTACCTGGGCCGCTTTTATCAATGTTTATTCAATACTATCACGCTAATCCGGGCAAAAATCGTCTTTTCCTCACACTGTCGCTGAATTTCTTAAAGACACTTTTAGGCAATATTATGTTTGAGTCAGAAATTCCAAAGAACAATTCATCACTGTCTTCATGAGGAGGCAAACATTGTCCTCATGGAAAGTATTTATTTGTGCAGTTTGAATTTACATCAAAATAAGGCAATACCGACAATATTTTTGAATCAATTGTCCGAAAATGTTGCTTGAAAATGGGTTAATGTTGGCTAAAGAACGCAATTTGCTCGTCTCTCGAGGTTCAACTGTGCTACAATTGGCGTTGAATAAATTAGGTATTTTTTATGGCAATTAAATAGAGGGAAATTTGCGAAAATTTGCCCACATGACAACATATTTTAGCAGTGGCAATAAACAGTGTTTCTCTATCTCTTTCAGAAAAATGTTTATTGGTGGTCTGAGTTGGCAAACAAGTCCAGGTAAGTTTTGGCACGATGTCCTGAGACAGTATAGCTCTCTCGAGGGGGCGATACACCGGGGAAATTGTGTACTCTTGGATTAGGATTACGAGGGCATTTCTATCTAATGGGAGTGGGATATAAAAGTCAGGTCATTGCTGAGTACATTTCTCAGTGGAATGACTCACCTCTGAGTGTGCTCACGGGGCAAAATTCTTATCTTGGCACTTTTTGGCGGGAAAATCTACAGTGACACATTGCCCTTTCGGATTTTATGCACCTCCATTGCCCATGTATCATTTGAATGGCAGAGAACGAAAGACGCGCTTAGGAAAAAGTGCAAAACTCGAGTTTTATCGCGAATGGAATACACACACAATGTATAGGAGAAAAAGGTTAATGCTAAGAGAAACCGACTGATGAAACCCTCCTATTTAGAATGTGGCATCAAATTGAAATTAAATGTGGTGTAATTGAAGAATGACATCAATTATAATCCACGCACGCGATATTTTCTCGTGCCTCTCATAACATTTCCCCTCGACTTCCCTCCAGAGTTCCATTCATTCTTCTATGTCGATTTGGCTTTGGCCTTTTTTTAATCGCCATTGTGTGCCGCATTTGCCGGGAAAAGGCGCAGGAAAATCCGCGAGATGCCCATTGAAAATTATGCTCATCGCGTACAACGAGATTACATTGAAAATGTGCTCATATATGAGATGCCACGATGCTATTTATAAGTAATATCACTGTGAAAATAGCATCCCGATTCATTGTGACTTCGATGGCGGAATGCACTTCGAAAGCTGGCCCCAGAAATAGAGTCCTCTGCAACCAAAAGGACTCTTCTAAATTCACTCCAATTAAGCATGGCAATAAAAATAAATTGCATTTTAATTAGTCACCACTTAAATACAACCACGGCATCTCAGCGCGTCAGACGTGAATTAATGCGATTGAGAAAGAATGGCACAATCGATGAGGCCAACAATTGCTGATTTTCTTCAATTTTCTCAGTCAGTGCATTCAACGAGGCCAAGTTTCTCGCAATGCTGCAGTCGCGCTGATAACAATTCAATCCCGAGACGACTTTTTTGCACTCCGCGAGAAGAGATGTCAAATATGGGGGGTTTAATAAGAGATGGGAATGCTATGCTTGCCACCGAGAATTATTGCCGTGCTAAAAATGTTAGATCATTAGCGTTAGATGTGAATCTACAGTGCACGGCTTTGATATTCAGAACGGAACGTTTTGCTAGCATCAGCAAAGATCGAATTATCGTGTAATGATTCATATTATGAAGAAGGGCATGTTTCTTATCACACATGATTTGCTTGCACTCGAATCCTTAGATTGCTATTCTGACGGACGGAGTTTTTTGAGGCAACGTGTGTCAAACTGAGACAAATGCTATAGCTGTGACGGCTCTTCAGCATCTCAAGAAGACTACGGAGACAATTGCGCTGGAGTCATCTTATTCAGAATTCATTTTCGCCTGTTCAGCACTTTGTGTATGGCAAGTAAAGCGGACCACGGATAAGTCCTCGGCTCAGAGAGAAAGAAGTTCATCTTGCCGGGAGATTCAGAGATTGGCGATGAACTCCACAGAACTATACAGCATACTTTCTCCACTTGACTTTACACTCATTCCCAGAGTGTTTTGAACCGCAAATTGTTTATTAGATGAATATTGTAGCAAGCAAGAGTGCTAAAACTCGGTAATTGTGGAAATTGGGAGAGTTAAACTCCGACACTCCAGTTTTTGGGGAGGGAATCCGTGATTAATGCGGTTTTGCCTTACATGATCATTTTTCTGTGGCAGCGGTGGAGAACTTTCACTTAGCGTTGGGAGAAGTTTTGCGCCTTTTGGCACATGTAGTTTCGTGGGTGCATTTAATTTCGCAGCGGAGGGAAAAGGGCGCTGTGACGATGTATGTAAATTTTCAAAATTCATAGAGAAAGACACAAATACTGGGCGTCCTAAACACTTTCGGACAGTTTGAACAACTTCATTTCACTTTGGTCGAACTCAAGAAGTTCCATTGAAACTTTTCCTCGGACTTTGGGTAAATCCTTTTAATTTTTTCCCCCAACGCTCAGCTTCTCGGTTGGCGAAACTTTTCTCTCTCTCTCTCTCGACTTTCTCGAGGATGTGATATTATCTGTTCGGGACTCTGGTTTGGGGGGGCGCGCAAACCAAGGGCGGACGAGAAGAGCAGTCGTCCAGAGGGGAATACTTTATGTAGAACAATTTGTGTCGCTGCTGAATGAATTTGTTGCATAATTACGAGTGACACTAAACATTTCCTGGGCATTGTATGTGGACGAGCAGAGCATAAATCGGAGTGTGTAATTACGCAAACATTTCTGGAAGTTTTCCAGATTTAGCATTGAGCACGTAACACAGTGCAAAAGTTTGCATTTTATATACTCTAAATATTTATACGGGAACTTGCCAACATTCAAGCCATCTCACCCATTGACTTGCCCTGTCCCTTAGCATCGCGTCCTTCCCTATCCCGATCGGTATCGCACATGGGATTATTCACGGGTGAAATTTTTAATTTCTCACATGATTTAGGACGAATTTCTCCATACCCAGCGACGTGGCATATGCATTTTCATGCAAATTTTGACCCTGTATATTCAGGGAATATTCCTGCGTCTCAATTGCCCGGAGAGGCAACAAATCAACCTCAATAGAAGGTGCAGATTAATATTTCATCGAGTCGCATTAAAATTGACAATAACTTGCCTCTTCAGGAAACAATTTAGCTTCGTTTTGGCCATTTTATAAAATATGTATAGGGCTCGGAGGAACACATAGAATTTACATTAAATTGAAATAACATCCCTCTGCCAAAAAGACTCCCGGCATTTTAGCAGTGCGGCAAACGATGCAAGAATAAATGCAAAAATTCTCCGTCTTCTGCACACTGTGTGTTGATCACTGTGTCCCTAATCCACAAGAGATGCAACGAAATGCACAATTTTCAAGATGGAACATCTCGACTGTCAGGCGTTGTGTTCACAAATATTGCCCTCGGCTTGGGTTGTGATGAAAATCATGGCACTGGGAAGGGTTGAAAGTCACGCCGGAAAGTCGAAAATGTTCCTCAGACGATGATTTTCCATCTGCAGATCCAGCTTAGCATACAGACATGCCGAATAGAACGATATGTGAGTGTCTGTATCAACAAATTTTATCGGCACGTGAATATTTTTAGAAGAGCAGCGGCCATAACAATCAGAAAAACTGTATATGGAGGGTTGATGTTTTGAATCTCATCCAAATTAGCCTAATTATCATGTCTGTATGACTACCAAACACTCATCCAAAAGCCATTTAATGATGGGGAACACTTTGAAGCTTATCCACTTGCGAGCCTCCCTCGTAGTTCTCTCGTCTGCTTTTTATCCACTCAGCATAACTTTTATTGCCGAAAGCCGGAGAGTGACACATTTGGTGGATTTTCTCGTGGCTTTTCCCAACCACACTCAAACGATCGTAAATATTTTATTTTCACAATAAGATGCTCACCAACCAATAATGTAAATATTTATTGACATACGAGCACAGGGTGGAACTATAGTGGCAGTTAAACTGCCTCAAATCTCATATCACATAAACTCTCTACAGTTTTCTCCGGAATATATGGAATTATTCGATCCTCACTTTGCATTTTCACCATCACACAGAGGGAGAAAGAAGAAAAAAACTTGTTCAATTTCCATGGCAGGGTTTCTCTTTCTCCCCTGCTTTTCAATTATCTAAATAAAAGTTTTTTTATCACCCGACGTGACGGTGACTTTTAGACTTGCATCTGTGAGAAAAAATCGGAAAAGGAATGTGTCAGTGTGATTTTCTGTCCTTGGGGCACCCTCGCAGAATCTCATAAAAGTTTAATCATGCTTCCTGGACAACATAAAAGCGAGACATGAGTCGCTGGAAAAGTTTTTCTATTTACACGCAAAAATTTTCTAAAGAGTGTGAGCTTTTGCAAAGCTGAATGCCAATGTCAGATATGATGCGCCGCATGCTCGACTGTGACATTTAGATTTTCCGTAGTTCATGGAGAACGAAGTAGAATTAGCCACCAATTTGAAGTTCGACTTGGTGTTAAGATTTCAGGTGGGCACGAAGTTCTTCCAGAAACACCTGAAATTACCTGATCTTAAGAGAGACCAATTTGAACAGTCGGATTTTCTGTGGTTGACAAGGCTCTATTTGTAATTTGAAGTACAATTTATCCCTTTTTCTCTATTCAATAAGTACCTTTTACAGTAATTTGGCAGCAATTACATAAGTCCTCCACGCGCATTTGTCAAAAGTGGAGCAAATGAAAGGAATATAATGGAAAAATGTTAAGAATGAAGAATGCTCTCATTGTCATCCTGTTTATTTGCATAATATCTTCTGGATGCACTTTTGTATATCAAGATGAAATGGGTGAGAAAATAAATAAGGTATTTTGACGATGGTTTCATTCGTGAAACATATTCACTGAGGCATAAGTCATTCATTCTACACTTCTCCCCTGTTTTAATTCTCAAGTCACCCAACAAAACACTGACAGACGGTTTAATTTCAGTCTCAACCGCTCCTCGAGCGTATAAATAAGCAGATGAATTGAGTGGCAGTACATAAATATGGGAGTTAATTAGATATATGGAGTACTAAATAATATTAGTAGCGAATATATTTCATTTGTATATGGGAATATTTTTGCAACGTAGCTGTAAATCGTGGAAAATGACGATTAACACGCTTTCCATTTCTGTTCTTTCAGAGAGTCTCAGAGACTATTTTAGCAAATTTGGAGAAATTACAGAGGTCATGGTGATGAAGGATCCCACAACGAGGAGATCGAGGTGAGTTTGCAAAGAACCAAAATCCATTTTCCCTCAATTCCCACTAGAAACATTGTAGTTTGACTAGCATAGACCCAGTAAGATAACAAACTTAAGCATAGAATTTAATATACCCACGTAGACTATTTTTCGTTATGTTCCTCTCTCTGACCATTTTGAACATATATTTGAATAACATTTAATTTCTGGACATGTGTAAAACTCTATGTAAATGGTGTCGAATTAGTTTATTTCTGCTACTTCTCAATGTAACAATATTTAACATGATGGTTTTTTGTTCGTGTTTATTTAACATTTTTCACGTGTTTGTTTTTCTCTACCCTTCATGTTCTCTCTATCACATTTTTTTTCTTTCCAACACTCATTCTCGAGCGATTCGATTGACTGTCTTTGAATTGATTGGATCGAGAAGATAGATTTGAATTAAGTAGTGATGATTCTATCAATATGAAGACTTTCAGTCACTTCACAACAGCATTTTAGCCTCTCATATTTGTTTACCAACCCATTTCGTACTCTTTGTTATCGTTGTAAGAAGCTGTAACTGTGTAATATTGAAAAGATGTGAAGTTAGATGAAAACAGGTACAAGAACGTTTCCATATTTGTCGCTTTCACCATCCACTTCACCTCTCCTGTATCTGCATAAACATAGTTGAGTGTGTGGTGTGTGCGAAAGGAAGGGAAAGACGCCTTATTTGTGTGAATTTTACATCTTCCACTCAAAGGAAGTCCTCTTTGACAAAGCTTTCGGCCGCGAGTGAAGAGGAAGAAGCCAAAATCCCTATTCATTTTTCTCGCACAGCCATAACGAAGGCGCTCATGGTATCTGTTGGAAGCATAGTTTCATTAATTATAATAGGGCAAGAAATTGACCCGGAGTGTGGAGTGTGAGTGAAGCATTAATTTGTGAAATAATATTTCAACAGCAATCCTCAAAGACTTTAACACACTAAACCACTTAAGTGCTTCTGGAGGGTGTGAACAACATCTCAAGACTTATCTTGTCATATTAAGGCGAAAGATGAGTGATTGATGAAAGATATGAAAGGGAGGAGGATGGAATGCTCTCTTCGGCCTCAGAAAATATGCTAAATTTCATCTTCACTCCTTTTTTCCCACACCCACGGGCGCGCGCGCGTCCCATGAATTTCCGCGAGCGCTGTGGATTATAATTCTTTGAAGTGTATGGCAAGCTGTGTATATTTTCTTCTCTTGCTGCTGCATACGAAAGTCTCTGGTTTTCTCATAAAATAATCGCACAAATTGTTTGCTAATCTTCCGTCAATTTTTATCATCTGTCATGTTTCATTATGAAAATCACTCAGGTGCAGAAAAAATGTCTTGAAAGGCAAAATTGGAAGTTATTACTAAAAAAGTTTTCCAAGTTTGTTCAAAAGCGAGTTTTGAGCAGATCAGATCACTTCACCAATTGTTTTCTATATACATATAATGATTTCTCACATACAGAAATATGCACGTATGTCAAAGGGCGGGGCACACGAGTAGGCGGAACTTCAGAAATAATTGCTAGTGGCCCATATTACAGTCGCTTTCGAAGTTTCTCTAAACGTAGCTAACATTTCTCTGAGTGTATTGACAAATTTGAGGAATCTATTGAAGAATACCCCAGCATCTTTGCATGTGGGTGGACGGGAGGAATTTTGAAGGCTCTTCTCATGCTTTCGTCTGAAAGAAAATGGAACTCTCGAGCCATTCACTGGATTTTTCCCGTATCAAAGAGCTCAGCACTTGAGGAGCATGGAAATACCATCTGAACTGCACTCATCGACTGACCACACTCCTTGTCCTCGTACAACATCCACTTAGCGCACAAACACTGTGAATATTTCAGCATTTTTTCGGGGGCGGGCGCGCTCGGGTATGCAAATAGAAGGCCAAATTGTCTCGGAGGAAAGGCCAAGGAGCGGGAGTGCAAACGTAATAAAGGTAATATGATCAATTTGCCGGTGGGGGCGCTTGGTGCAGCGTTATTGGATGTGTCCATTAACTGAAACCACCACCCACTTTTTCGATGGGTCCTGGGCGCGTTCTCGGCTGGGGCTGAGAAGCGGGACACGATAGTTTGGACGGCAAACAAGGCAACAATGCCTAGCATAGTGCTGGAATCATGTGAATAATTTATTCATTTGTAAATTATTCGTTTGACCGTTCGATGAACTAACAAGCAAACATTTCATACCACCCCCGCCCTTCAGCCGCCGCCCCCTCACATGACAGATGAGTCATATCGGATAATTAGTGTAAAATTTGGCTAATTGCCGCTGGGGGATGGTCCAGGACACTCAGGAGAGAGTCTCTCGCTTCTCACATTTATGTCAAATCGGTGATTTAATTGTTGCGAAATTCACCGCCCAAACGTGACCCCCCGATTGCCCTCAATACAAAATTCAAATCTTAATTTGCCAATTTGACACATTCTGCCCAAATAATTGATAGGATTTAGTTTTCGGGAGTCCGCACAGACCATCTGTTTCATTTCCTGACTGGCGGCCGGATTGCTCCCTTTTTTGTGCCTCCCGCCGCTCGCGTGGCGAATTTTAAATGTACTTTTCCATATAAATTCAAGTCATTTTCCCTCATGAGATCCGTGGTGCTTTTATTATAGCAGTAATTCAGGATAATCTAAAAGACTTATTAAGGTGTCATTAAGAAGATTTCAATCTAATGTTCTTCATCAAAACATATTTTTAGATTAATGGGTGATGAATGAGAATTACGCTACATATCTGCTTATTTTATAAATGGGCAAAAAATGAAAAAAAAGAAATTTCATAGATTTTGTGAATCTGATAGTAAATTTTTTTCAAAAAATAATTAATTTTTCAAATGTAAAATATGTCTAATTTTTCTTCTTCTAAAATACTGGAAATACCATCACATAGTGTTGAAAGTAGTTAAGTAAGGTGGAGCGTATGGATGGGCGGAGCTTCAAGTGCGAATTGCAACTCTTCATGATTAAAATAGTAGTAAATTTTACTCTCCAACTTTCCTTCGCAGTTTCATCTGAGTGCTTTTGCCCTGAATCGAATGAAGTTCTCGATATCACTTGCTCAGTCTTCACCTATCAGCAGACTGTCTTCTCAGAAATTCCTCGAATGACTAAATGAAGGAGTATCATTTCTCAATCCATCCTCTGAAAATCCCTGAGATATTGTCCTCCTCCGTGAGCTCGTAAATTTCAATAGATACTATCTCGCCCGCTTATCAATCTCACTCTTGTGAATTTTCACTCAATTCCACCAGCTATGCTCACATGCTAAGGAGATCTTCTGTGTGAAATTGTGGTAGTTTGAGAGGCCAGTGGCCGATGATGAGGGTGTGAATGAGGATATTTTGCTCTTGAATTTTTGTTCTTTTAACGCTGAGTAGATTGTGTGTTGTACTTGCTGAGAATCTTCACTTTTCTTTTGCCTTTCACTTCTCTAACGAATCTCTTCCATTTCTCACTCCTTTGTTTCTTATGATTTTCTGTCGATTTTCTCATTATTTTTTGCGTTCATTTCCAAAAAAAAATTTTACACGAATAAAAATGAAATCTACACATGTCGATATGAATTCTTTCTTTTTTTCTGTTGAAAGGAATAATTTTGATGCGTTGTCTTGAAAGGAAGATGATGGCGAAATTTAATAGCAAATATATACATGAAAATAAAATGATGATTTTAAGAGTGACAAAATAATTGGTTGTTCTTTTTCATTAATTACACGTCTCTGTGTTCACATATCATGGGTGAAAGGCTTGAAGAATTGATTCTCTTTCAGCCAATATGACACCATTTCTGGATATTCCGCCGATTCTGTTCTTCACAGTGTCTCCAGGTAGGTTCTTTGCGTGCGAATTATCATCCTCCCGCACAGTTTTCTCCTGTGTTTTTCTCTGTTTTCCTCTCCTATGATATTTTTTTTATTTTAGATTTATTGTTTTGCCTCCCACAACCCCCTGAAAATACGTGTTTCTGTGTTGGTGATTTAGTTTAATTAAATCTATAACATTTCATGCCATATCATACATTTTATATCTCTTTCTCTCATGTTTGGGACTACACTGGGTTGGGCGAGACGAAATGGGGTGAGCCTTCAACTGGGAAATTCTGCAAAGCTATCGAAACGGTATTAATTAGAATGTTGGCCGGGCTGAAAGTTTGCGCCGGAAAGTAAACACCTTCAGGATTACTCCATGAAATGGCTAAGAAATTCACATGGTATTAGGAAAATTGTGGTGAAATTGAGGGGCTCTCAAGTCTCCTAAAATATGAAAGGCTGTAATAATGAGGGATTTCTTTGAATTGAAACCAATTTCGCAGCCCAGATGTGAACCATTAGTTGCGCCTCTGCTCAAAACTATGCCCGTAAAAACCTCTACTAACTCGCATAAGAGTGTATCAAATGCCGTAATTTGGGGTGTTTATGCGCCCCACTGCCTTTACTCACTTTGTGCTATAATTCACCTAAAAGTTTAGTGCAACATAAAATGTTTTATGATTAATTTTTCACGAAGACCCCACAATTTAATGGCTGTTAATTTACTTGGGGAAGAAGCAGCGTATAGAGAGTTCCACACTGTCGCGATCATTGGGAAATTTCGTGTGATTTACAAATGACACGCAATGGGTTTCCTCATGAAAGCTCACCCATTCTTGTCTGTGTTCAGCTCAGTGCAAAAAATCTCCTTAATCATCTTCAATTTATACTTTTAAGTTGTTTTTTTTCACAATCTCTCGTAGTTTCTTCTCTCTCCTCCTCTCTGCCTATCAAACTTAGCTGTACAATTCTTTAGCCTGTAAATGTAAATATACTTAGACATTAGATGGCTTCAATAGAGCACAAAATAGCTCAAATTATATACATATTTATTTCTGTTGATTTATGTAACAATATAAACGTTTTATATATAAATAGACATGTTTGGTGATGAAATGATTATTTATAGAAGTCAATGAAAATTCACTCACAGTGAATATCACATAAAATTTTCCTGTACATTAATGTTTGAAAAGAGATGCTTTGTCAAAAATGTATGTCAATGTTGGACACTTTGGTTCAGTTTTTCACTATACCTTTTTTATCACATCGTCATGCCTTTCTCTGGTACGACCCAGAGAGTTTATACAAATGTTCTACACTTTTATCTGTCTCTCTAGATGGCACTCTTTTACTGGCAAACATGTTGAATAAATATAATTAAGAAAAAGACCTCCTTTCTCTTCATCTCTTGAACAAATGATTCCAAAAAAAGAACGACAGAAATTAGGCTCTCTCTTGAGCCACAAATTACCTTTGAAAGTGACAATGAGAAAAATATAATCTGCAGGGAAATCCACCTTGTTCTTACTAAATACTCTTTATCTTCTCTTTTCCTTTATAGAGGGTTTGGATTTATCACATTTGGCGATCCATCGAGTGTGGACAAAGTTTTAGCGCAAGGAACACACGAATTGGATGGCAAGAAGGTAATTTTGACCCTATAATTTATTCCATCTCTTCTGTGCTAATTCAATATAATGAATTTAATCAGAAGTCAAAGTGATTAAAGTTGTTCTGCCACGATATCTTCTTGCTAAAGTGATTTCACGAATTATGTTTGTGACTTTAGAATTGGAATTAAATTTATGAATTGAATTATTTATCCAATTAAGCTCAGTGAAGTCCCGCAGGATTCCCAAAGTTGAATGGTATTTTGCATACACATCAAAACGAAATATACATATTCTACAGATTTTGATAACCATAATTGTGAGCGAAATTTGTTGAATTTCGATTGATTTTGAATAGTTCAGAGAACAACTTATTTCCCCTTATTTTGTATTGTTTGATATTAAACTAAGTAAAATAAGAGTAATTTTTATACTATCCAGTTGGATAAAGCCACTCTAATAAAAGCTTTTTCATTGTCTTCTTCACAGATTGATCCTAAAGTTGCATTTCCACGACGAGCTCATCCAAAGGTGAGTGCCAGTTTCTTATGTGCACAATTTCTCCAACAGTGATCTCTTGAGTTCTTCCTTTCTTTGCTGAGTGGCAAAATGTATGCAAGCAGAAGAAACTGGGAGATCTAGCGAGAATGCGCGAGAATGAGAGGATTTGTACCATTTTGCATAAAATTTTGCCTTCTTTCATCTGCACTCTTCGGCGTTGGAGCAATTTTCGCCATCGCGAGCTTTTTTGCCATCCCCAAACCTAAAGATTCGCGCCACTTTTCCCGCTCCTTTGGGTAAAAAGTCAGGCCTCTATGCAAATTTATATCCCTTTCACCACAACAATAAGTCCAGGATCTTCTTTTGTTCACTCCGCCCGACGTTCGAGAAACTTAAATTGTTTAAATTTGAATATTTTACATAGTTGGTGGTGCGCTTATCATCATAAATAATTGTATTGTGTCGGTCTTGGGGGGCCCACTTCCGCGATGGGCCAGTGCAAAATTTTCCCTGGGACTGTGCCGCGACAGCATTGCGAAAAATATGGAAAATTCTGAGTTTGTGTGTGTTTGGAATTTTATGTCTCAATTTTCCCGCTCGCATTTATTAAATTTTCCCCCGGCGCGAGAAAAACTCCGTTTATCAGCGAATTTATTAATGATTTTAAATTTCTCGCGTGTGCCAGCCGCGTATTAGTCGTGCCTCACGTGCAGAAATTGCAACTGTGAAGGGCGCTGAGAAGGTGTACAATTTTCGCGGCAATTCTCCACCCTGCCGGGAAAAACTTTTGAGGACTTTCTCACTTTCCCCAGACCCACGGCGAAGCATAGAAGCGCCCGGGGAAAAAATAAACGCGAAACACCCCACAGAGAGCGAATTATTTCAAATGCCGAGCTGTTAGAGCAAACGAAGCGAAATGTTTCGCAAATTTAAATGCCAAGCCACCCCTCAGACACTTGAGGGTGTCCTTATTATTTTTCTCCTGCCTTTCTGACTTGGACGAAGGGTCAGCGATTCATGTCTCCGTGATTGTCTGACGTGACTTCGTACACAAAGTGCGGATTCCCGGTAGTCAAAGCTTGCTAAGAATCTACTTAAGTCTGTAATTGTATAAATTTTAGCGATTAATGAAAGCACCGTGCACTCAACTAATATTTCGTTTCGAAAATGACGAAGATATTTTGTCATCAAGCAAACAGAATTAATGTTTATGTTTCCGAAGACATTCTCTCAGCAAGAACAGCATTGAGGAGTGCAACAGATTATTCAATTTGCAAGTTTAATTCAACTCTGGGAAAATTGAGAAAGTGAGTCCGTTTTGCGCATTTCTTCAAGCTGATCCTATTTCTCGGGTAATGCCAGTTTTTCAATTGCCGCTCTCCCCATTTATCATTAGCATTGAGCCGTGGACGTGCTTCATGGCAAAATTACGAGCAGTCCTGCAGAGTGTCAACTTTTCCTGCAAATTCCACAAGTTTCGGGAGGCAAATTGCAAATGTGTGTTCTTAGCTCACGTTCGCATCACGTTTATCTCTTTGATTTCCATTTTTTTTCTGCACGTGGCAAAAACACAGAGAGCATAAATTTCATTAAGCACCTCATTCGTATCCCTTTTTCACACCCGATTTTTCCCTTCTCACTTTGCCCTCATCATTGTCGTCAATGGCGCAAAATCTTGCACAATTGCCCACGACGATAAAAAGTCTCAAATGGTTCATTCTAATTGGATGGCATTATTTTGCCACCTTCTCACAATTGCAATATTTCTTCTGATGCGGAAGAATAGGGGAGAAATAAAGGGTGGGTTTTTCCACTTATTCACAATACCTGTGATTTGGCTAAAGACATCAAACTGTCCGGTGGTAAAATGAGGAAAAGTGTGTGCTAAATTATGTCACGTGGTGCGCGTGCGAGGAAAATTCATTTCCAACTTTTAACTTTTTCTTCCCAAACTAGCGAGAATATTTCGCACTCGAGGATCCCTTTTTTCTGGGGCTGGGCGCGCGCCCCCTCCTGAATATCTCACCCTTGAGAGTGACTCTCAGGAAAATTGCACGATAATTCAACTTTTTTCCATCCACCCACCGACTCCATGAATTATTTCGAGCAATAAATTTGGAATTGAATTGGAGCCGAGGGGGACGCGCGGTGTGGCAGTAAATTCTAATTAAAGATTAATTATAGAATTTTCCCAAGCAATGTTGACTCTGAGCGCGCTGCAAGTCGTCCAAGATGAACAATTGTCAGGTGAGGCGCAAAAACAGTGCGGGGCGAAAGAGGGAATTTTCTGTATGAAAAATTGCCATGAAATATCTTTGGCAATAACATTAATTTTGTGCTCATTCCAGTCACTCCTCGAGTCACCTGCAATTCTCCTCGCCCGCTCGCCCGCGTTTTCCTCCAAACCCGTCCGCTGGGGAAGTCTCGTGCACAAGATAAATTTCTTGATTGAGAATGTTATTGAGAAAAATATCCAGTTGAAATGCACTGAGAGGAAAAAGTCTCATTTCCAGATGGAATCAGTGACATCTCATACTTAATCACGCTTTTTCCCTCACTTGTTTACTTGTGAAATGCTTTCAGTACGATAAAATGGGGAGAAAGTTTGTTTTCTCGATCGCTTTGGTCAGTTTCTTGCCTCGCGTTCCACTGAGAAAAACTTGCATTGTTGTCATAACTATTTTCTTTCATTTTGCATCACAAAAATCTACCTTAACGATTGGCTTTACAAATGCGAAATGTTTGAGAATTGCTTTTAGCTTATGAAATTGCATTTTATTTGAGTCAAAGGACCGAGTTTTGACTGTTTATTTTGCACAATCAAGAAAAGCAAGACAAACTTCTTAAGAAATGCCCTAAGGCGTTATTCTAAAGAAGCAGACGTTCACTCAAAAATTTTATCCGATTTCCAAAGTATATGCAATACGATTTTATAGGCTACAACTATGCTAGTCAGAAATAGCCAAAACTTGTTTATGTGCATTCAGTCTTTTATAAAATGTTTAACTCCTATTCTGTAGGAAAAATTCTTTGTTTTGTGGGAACTGAATTCAAAGTTCTTACAGCACGTGAGGAAATGTCACGGGTTGTAAAATTTCCCTTAGTTTTCATCTCAAATTTCTGTTTTTCTCAGGTTGTAGCGGTTGTGGATACAATCTTACCGTTTTTGGTGCACTTCCAAGTTTTTTGTGTTATGAATTTTTCTATAATTTCTCTGTGTCAGACAACAAAATGCACTTGTCGGATATTGCAGCAAAAATCTTCTCACTAAACCTCCCTAATCTAGCGGAGTCAGAAGACCACCTGCCCCTATATTTGCTTGACCACGAAAGCCGTGTAAGTGAGGTCTGGCGTGGGCGTTGGAAATTCAAATTAATTAAATGGAGTGAATCATAAAAGAGATTTTTCTTCATTCTGGCGTCATTTCTCAAAATTGCTCTTGATTTATTGGCATTTGCGACAAATCCCCCGCTGAAAAAAAACAGAGAGTGAGAGAGAGCGAGAGCTGGGTGGTGGGAGGCTGGGAAATAATCCATAACCGGCTACCTTGTAATTTGGCCACTTTTTGACTCACAGCGCTTTGACGTCATCGGCATTCTCCACCCTCGCCAGGGGAGCATCCCTCCCATGCGAATACATGCTCACTACACTTCCGCTCACCACGGCGCCGTGGCGTTCTGCGCCGGCGGGGGCGCCCCAGTCGACGTCCAGGAGCCCGGATCCAGATTCCGTCCGTTGTATTCGCTGTTTAGCGCTTGTCGAGTTTGCATCGATCAACCGTCCCGTCACAAAAAACACTTCTTCACAATTCAGTTTTAGCCAGAGAGTTTAGCCAGACACTGAAATTTAGTCCGGACTTAGGCCACCTGCAGACTTGCGGATTACACTTTGCTCCCGGGTCTAGGCCGTCAGTTTCGAAACCCCTCGATTTACAGCGACCTCAAACGCGCGAACAGTGTTTTCCACATAGTGCGATTCCGTGAAATTCAGCCACACAGTGAAGGTGATTGTTTGTCCAAATCGATACAAAGTGCTTGGCAAATCCTCGGCCGATTGTTTGGCTTTCCCCGAAATTGGGATCGGATTTTCACTGGATAATCCCACTTTGCCATTTTGCCCATTGCCAGGGGATTTTTGACGTTTAGCAGCTGATCTGTAGAAACGTTAACTGTCACCTAGCAAGTGCCAAAATTCCCTGGGATTTTGCAGTGAGTGCGAGCAGAGTCAGGATCACAGAAAATAAAAAAAAATCGACACTTTGACACACAGTTAAAACGAGTTTAGCGCCGTGAATCGGACTCAGAGCGGGCTCTAAAGCCAAATCTCGTGCGTGAAAACTCCACTGGACACTGTGTCGAAATTCTCCCGTCCACAATTACGAAGGAAAATCATCCAGGAATCGGCAAGAAGCTCGTCGTAAGTATCGCGGGTGAAATTGATAAGAAAAACACATGTAATGGCAATAATTTGCCCAACTGCCGGGATGAGGTGTGAGATGGGTAGAGGGAATTAAATGAAATTGATGTGACGAAGGTGGAGTGGATTATGTAAAATGAGAGGGAAACTGTTAAAAGTTATGTAACTGTGAGTAAGGGAAGCACTCAGCTCTATAATTTCCAGCACGCAATCCGACGGCCTAGGAAGATACACATAGTGGGAAGAGTGCGAGAGTGAGAAGAGAGAGAGCGGAAGAATAAATAAAATCCAAAAAGGCCCGCCAGATGACAGGGGATTCCCCGGGGTCCCCCGGAAAAATGATTTCGAGCTGCTCTCTCTCTCACCCTGGAATGTGTTATATTTCAACCCAGTGAAAATTCTTCCTATATAATCCCATTTTCTAAAGTGCACCCCCCATAAATTTTAGATTGAAGCAAAGTCGCAATAAATTCATGCCTCTTTTTTCCCTGGTCTCCTCAACCACCCCCGAATTGGTGAGGAGACTCAATCTCGGGCATGAAGTGTGCTCGAGGGCAAGAAAAGGCGCTTTTGTATGGGTGGAAATTTTCTCCTCCATGAATCTTTCATCCTTCTCATGCACGGAATATACTCTCTGTCTGGCGACAGGCGAGCTCATTCGGCATTGAAAGCAGACAAATGCTCAAAAATGGTGTGATTGAAAGAAGGAGTAATTGTTTTTGCCAATACCTGAGGACTTTTTCTGCACAGTCGAAGTTTGGATTACTCTGGCGTCAGAGGTTCAAATAATATATTCGATTACACAAACTTATAAACATTTATCGATTGATGTAAAAATTCGTACAAAGCGATCTCAAATATTTTTACACCTCTTTGAATGAATAGAAAATTCTGAATGTTTATTTAAGAGCTTGCTACAGTGCTTGAAAAGGTTAGAGAACAGAGAGAGGATACTGTAGAGATGATAAAATTTAAGTTGAAGAAAATTCTATCAATGCTTATATAATCGCAATAGATATTTTTAACAATGTGGATCCCATTTTTAACCATTCCCTCATCAAAAATATCCTGAATTTTTTAAAATAGAGTAACAAATATCTGTCACTAACTCGATCTTTATTCAACGAAATGGTGTTTTGAAGAGGAATTTCCATCTAAAGGAAGTGTTTCCTAATTCAAATAAAAAGCTTATGCAAATTTCACTAGGCATTTCTAAGAAAAAAGACAGATCATAGTTTCACTAGATCATTTAATATATTTGTATTATAAAACCAAAAAAGATTAAACTATTCTCTCATTCAAATAAAAGTTTTTCTTGTATTACTCTTCACGCAGTATTGCCTTATTTTTTGTTATTGGAAAGCCTTTTGATCAAATGTCGGAAACTGCAGTTATGTATCACCAAATGTATCAATGGATTTATTTAGCAGCAATGTTTTTTGTAATCGTATTGCCGTAAGCAAGTAATGAGTGTGCGAAGATATCGCGATTATTTACCTCAGCTCGGTTCAGATTTCTACTTCTGACGCAATATTTTCTGCGATTAGGAAACTTACTGCAATTGCAAACTTTAAGGGGAAGCTTTAAAGCTCCACGGGTGGTAAATCCATCTCAACCACGGGAATTCCACAGAGACTGACTGGGAAAACAGAATTCAATATATCACTCGAATGGAATTTTTCACTTGAATATCCATTGTTTCTCCGAGATTTGTAATTAGTTTGAGTACAACGTGTTGGAGGTTTGAATTTAATTAGTGAATTGAGGAGTAACAGTTTTAATTTCCACTAATTTATCCCACTGAGAAAGGGAGATTTTTTGGGAGAGAGGATGGAAAAATCGGACATAAGAAAACGGAATGAATTAATTAAAATAAATGCTTCTCTTGGCATTTTTCGTGCGAGACGAAGCTGGAAAACCGCGACGTCTGTGGGAAAGCGGGCGGGAAAGTGGTGAAAAACAAGAGGAGGACACACAGGCAGCATTTCCTGTTTCACCGCAGGATGAAAGTGTAGGGAGTGGAAGGAGTGGGGAGAACGGTTTGGGGAAAGGTGGGAAAAATTGAGTGAATTTCCTCCCCGCGCGCGCTCTCTGGAAAATTGTGTTACGTAACCCTCCCTCCATTTTCCCACCCACACACACAGAGTTGAAGATTTTCCAGATTCTCCCGTCGCGCGCCGAGGGGTGGCAAATCACAGTGCCAGAGAGAGATGGCATGGCGATCTCCGCCGAAATGTTTACATTGTCGGTGGCGCGGTGCACATAGAGGGAAATGCTGATGGGTTTTGCGGTGGGAAAAAATCGATAATCCCACTCAAGGGGCCGCTTTTTCCACGCGGAAGGCCAACGGGAGGAACTGAGATGGCATCCTTCGGGGCAACACTGGCAATGAACACCCACACACGCATCGCGACGCTTTTCCTGGCACTTTTCCCCTGCCGCGCGCCACGAGGAAGAGCGCACCAGCAAGACGCTCGGAGTGGGGATGAACGGGGGCTCGAGAGAGGGGTTTGAGAATCTGAAGAGGATTACAATTCCGGGAGTTGGGATTTAAAAACATTCAAAATTCAAATTTTCTGAGAAATATTTGGGTGAATTCAGAACAATTATATGTGCAGATTCCTCACATGGAATATTTAATCGTGTTCTATTCGTTAAGCATTCCGAGTCAGAATTGAATTTATCGTTCGTGTCGAAATACGTAATATATATATAACGGGCATTAATTTTGATTGTAAATAGAAAGCCCAAATAATTACATGCGAAACAGGTTAATCTATTGACAAAAATGTGTAACAAACGGGGAAGATTTATGTAGAAACTAATTTTTATTGCTTAAACACAAGCTTAAACATACAATTTTGAAGCGGGTCTAAAAAATAATTCGGGCGTATTCAGCAAACCCAGAATTTCTCAGCAAAATTCACAACTATAGTTTACTATTAACCAAGAAAGGAAAATAATCGTCAGAAGGCAAGTTTGTGTGATTTTTGCTGTGGAAATTAATGAGAGCCCACTCGGGAAATGCCAAGGGAGTCTCACAGAGTAATAAAATAAACACCCAATGATATTAATATTATCTTAGGAGTGCCCTAAAGTGCCTCTCATCCACTCAAATAGTAGATCCAACAATCAACATCCCACGTAATATTGTTTCAAATAATGAAGTTGCTGGAAACTTGCCGCTCTTTCTGGCAAAACAGCCCTCATGCCACGGGAACTTGCAAGAGTGCGCGGTTAATGAGGGCAGTGGGCACTCAAACGCGGGTTTTGGGTGTCCCCAAATGGGCAACTCAATCACAATCAGGCTGGGGTGATAAAAAGTGTCCAATGCGAGTTGGGAAATCAATTCGAATGGACAAAAAAGACCCCCGAAAAGCTACAATTTATGAGTCTGCGCAGGCAAACATGATGGGTTTTTCTTGGAAGGCACGAAAAAACGGGGCCCCACTTTTCACCTTCACGGAAAAGTGGAGAGAAAATGAGGGAGACAAATGACCGGCCAAGGCAAAAAGCCCCCCGAGAGATTGTGCGGCGACCAATGCGATGTCTCCGGAAAAGTGCGATATGTGGAAGTCAATAGAGACAGTGTCGATAAAGACACCCTCGGATGGCATATAAATCAAAGGGAAAGGGGGAGAAAAAGGTATCGATTGAGTGAAATGTGGCCTGATTTTCGCGTTTCGCATTTTAAATGCGTCTTCTCTTCTCGCTGGTGGGAATTCTTCACTCCTCAACTTGCCATTTTTCAAACCATTGTCATATTAAAGGCATCTCCGGCAATTCCACACGAACACACATTCCAATGTCGTGTACAGAAATATTTTTTCCCTCTCTCGACAAGTCAGAAAGAAAGCAAGCAGGGGTGGAAAATCCTCCCCTATTATTCGCAAGAACACGCAAAAAATCACACACACACACACGAGCAAATGTTCCGAGAAGAGGAAATATTTCACCCAATTGAATTCACCACCCCCTTCGTGATCATTATTGCTAGTTCCATTGTGTCTTACTTTCCTTCAGGGCCTGGCCTTTTTCCCACTAAAGCCCCCTATGAACTCACGCCCAAATGGGTGAAAATGGGCCAAAATTAATAATGAAAGTCGGCAAAAACAGCCCCAAAAGCCGTCCCGAAGGATATCCAATGCCGAGGATTAGGCTGAAAAATGGAGTCGAACGGATAGAAAGTCTGGAGGATGGTTTCAATTTGGAAGTGATTAATATTCAAATTAATCCAGTTCGATTTTGGGAATTCCTTCACCCATGAACATTTCACAATAATCTTCTGGAGTTGTTGGCAAAATGTGTATGAAATTTTCAAAATCGCCTTGTTTGTTATAGAAATATTTTCTACACACACTAATTCTTGTACACATATTGAATTATTTTATAGAGTACATTTGAATATCAATAAAAAAAAGTCGAGTGAAAAACGTGTTAATGAAAATAAAGTGTACTTTTAAATAAAAAATCAGGAAAGTTGCATAGTCCATTACTGGAATTAATTATTTATGAATTAATATACATTTGTAATCATTCGGAATCATGAGTTGTATTAACACTTCATTTTCGTTTGGCAAATCCTTAAATACCAACTACCCCAAGTTCCAAATGCTTCATGTGTGTCGGAAGATCAGTGATGATAAGATGATTTTAGCCACTGTAATTAGAGGCAAATATGACAAAATTGACTATTATAGTCTGGCTAAATCTCCAATTGTTATGACATGTCGTTTCTTTTTTTATGCCCAAACTCTTCAATTTTTTCTCGCAGAATCTTTTCAAGTGGGGGGAATGGTATGTGCATATTGCGAAGGCGAATAAGGGATGGCACTTAGAGAATTCCTGTGTGAATAGTAATAATTTGCAAAAGTATTTTCCCATCCTCATAAAAATTTCATGTGGCAATTTTAACTCACTGAAACATGTGTTCTGCGTCCGTGCGAAAGTGGGTCAAAGGAGCACAATTTGCTAATTAAAAATTCCCTCTCTTGTCTTTGCAGATGGTAACGAGAACAAAGAAGATTTTTGTGGGTGGCCTGTCGGCCCCCACGACACTGGAAGACGTCAAAAGTTACTTCGAACAATTTGGACCGGTGAGTGCATATGAAAATGATATCTCAATCCCATGTATTTTCCGGGCATTTTCCAGACGGAGAGCGAAAAAGGGGAGAGCTTTGGCAAAAAGGTATACGGTTGGGAGAATATTAAATAAGTTGGGGGGTGGAAATTCAAAATTTCCACTGTGAATTTGTCCATTTGCCTTGAGTGGGTCACGAGAAAAGCTGGAAAGAGAATTATTTTGGGGTTTTCTCTTGCAGGCATTTTGCGATGGGAGGGAAAGTTTTATTTTTCGGTGAGTTCTCTGGTTCACCAGATCTCTCCAAACGGTCCCTTTTCCCCATCGTTCAATGGGAAACTTTCCATCCATGCTTTGGTATTTTCCTCCGACAAAACCCCCATCAAAATCCCCCACATTTGTACCAAGAGGATGCCTACTTTTTGCCTAAGGTCTAACAATGGTGCGGAACATGTGAGAGGAGCTTTTGGGCTTTTTCCCACCTACACACACTCTGCTCTGGAGTCAGAGGGTTTTTCCTCTCGGCCGGTGTATATTGTGCCTGTTTTGTTGTTGCAGGATGTTTTTAAATGATTCATAAAAAATTGCAGCAATGACTGGAAAGTTGGCTTGTCCTCGCCAAAAGCTCCTTTCCCACTGTAGATAATCACCTCTCGCGGTTGAATTGATTTCTACCTGGTGATTTCCCATGGTGAAGGCGAGTGTGAGAAAATTCGTCTTAAACTGTTTGATCGATTGCATCAAATTTCAACCCTCAACATCTGATTTCAGAGGGTTGAGTGGGTGTGAAAAAAATCTGGGGCCGCGCATATGAAGAGTGAAAGAGAGAAGGAGGGAAATGAATATCGGAGGGTGCATGAAAGTGCTTTTGATTGACATTTTAATAACTCTTGGCTGATGGATGCATTTTATCAGTGACTCCTCGTGCCTTTTTTCCTCCCCACATCGCAAGTGTATCCATTTCTCTATATGCTCCAAAAACAGTGTTTACAGTTTGCGACATGGGGAAATATTGCCGAATTGCAACTCTGTCGAAATAATTTTGAGGATGTCTCGATAGACAAGCTCCTCCACTGCATAAATATCAATTTGTATGACATTGAGATACTGTATGCGCCCTCTTCGTCCCCAATGTTTCTCATAAAGCTCCACTTCTAGCCATATGTCGCGCGCTTTATTTGATATTGAAAATTCTCTCATATTGTATGCTGTACTTCTCTTGGCATTGTTTATAAAGCATATACACTGCAAAAATTGGCAAAGACTCTCTGAGTTGTGCGTTGCTTAATGGTCTCAGTGGCACTTCTCTAATTATATTTTTCCCCCCAATTATTCACATTATGAGAACAAGGAGAGTGATTACGAGTCATAAACGACACTTTGAGACTTTCGTCCCCGAAGAAGTCACGAGCATTCAAGTCTCCTCTGTGGCTTGTCCCACGTCCCATCGGGGCTCACCACTTATCCCCAGTCCCGCCTTCGCAGGCACACAGTTTTTACCGCTGAAAAAGGGGGAGTTACACCTGAAAGTTGGAACTTTGCGAGTGCGAACATTAGCTGAATTTTGAGTGAGTTTCATGTCTTGGTTCTTTTTCTGCAGTTCAGTGTTAATATAACAAACGTTTATGGTTCCTACACTGGAATAAAAAAAACCTTGCAGTAGTAGATCCATCGTCTTATTAATAAGAAGAACTTGGAACTTGGAAAAAATATGGAGAAATGATTGACGTATTTAAAATCTCAATTCGGTGAATACGAAAAGTCTAATCAAGTGAGAAACTAAACTGAAAAATTGTTGATTTCATACTTTATTGAGTTTAAGAATAGAATTTGACATAAATCGTGCCTCTGCACATCTTCATGTCTATTTTAGTGTACAAAACCACTGAAATATCGAATAATCTCACATTCAATTACATAAAGTTTCAGCCATATTTTCGGTCATATGAGTTTCCCAAACTTTCAAATCCCTCACCTAAGCTGTCGTTTTCGTGCGTTAGCATAAATCTTGAAGCATTTTCTGACCATTATTGATTTTGCGATCATGAGCTCACCAAGGGAGCATCACAGACGGGCTGCTTTTTGGGTCAAGTGTACGCTCATTTTGTGGCCAAAATTCCTTGGGGAGAGTGAAGGCTTGTGTTCTTGCATGGGAAACTTTGTCCCAGAACACTCCTCAAAAGGCTCAGACCCACATATGCCAGAAGGGAGAACAAACAGCATTTGAGAGAAGATGGGGGGCATCGGATAAATCGATGGGTGGTGAAACAAAGGGGAATCCCCAGTGGAAGCTTCGATAGTTTTTGAATGGCATGGAAATTTATCCCCACAATTAATCTGAAATTAATCTAATCCTGCAGACTTGCACAAACTCAACGAGCACAGCTCTTCTGTGGGCAGAATTAATTATTAATTGTCCGGCGAGATGGTGTGTATGTGCATGAGTGTGTGTGTGTGTGTGGGCTTTTGATGCAAAAGTGAGATAATATGGCATGTACATTGTTGAGTTTTTCCCACCGGAAAGAGCCTTTTTCCCTCTCGCAGCATCCACTCTTTATGTTCCTCTATTTATTTAAATAATTAACGCAATTGTGCTTTTATTCTCTCATGGGAGCTTTCGCGGGAGCTTCTCACCCGTGGAAATGCGTGGAAAATTATGAGGATACTTACCAATGTTATTAATGCGATGGTAATTCTGGCGAGATCCTCTCGCTCGTGTGTGTGGCGGTGAAAAGCGATAAAAATGCTAAATCCGCCACAGAGTGACTATGAAAAGCGTCCATGAGAAGTGCTTTTGTGCTCATGGTGAAGAAGTGTGATTAAAGTGTCCACATAAATTATTTTATTGGTGGCAATTTCTCTCTAGGATTTCACATCTGACATGCGGATGCGAAAGGGTTTTTTTGGGGGTGCTTAAAAATCACCTCCCCAAAGAGCTCCACTCCATCTGTTCCGCACCACGAAAACTTGTGTCGCTCCCTAAGTAATTTGTTTAATAATTAATTAAATAATTATTTTAAGTTTATGTACTGGTCTGGCGGGATGGCAACAAGGGTTGAAGCATCGCCCCATTCACTTCTCTGTAGATTAATCTCTTTTATTATGCAAACTTCATCCGGTTATCACATGAAAAATTACTCTCGCTCTGCCTCTCTTTCTCGCACGATGTCAGTCAAGCCCTCCGGAAAACTTTGCCACCCTCCAAATTCCACCCGCCAAGCGCCCAATGGCACGGATATGAAGATACAGAGTGTGTCTTCATTGTGCCATTCCGGCAGAGCTTTCCAGATGGGATTCACTGATGGGTCACAGTTATTGCAATTGAGCAGAAATGGTGTAATTATATGTCTTCAGCAGCGTCGCTCGAGCCTTAAATGGCATCGCCCTTAAAGTGAATCCCAATTCCTGTAAAGTGGGCTCTTCATCTTGCCACCCGAGCGCAGAAAGACATGGAAATGTTGAATTTCCTTTTGAGCGACACTTGAAGAATTTATTTCTAAACTCAAATATGAAATTAATTCACCATTTTTCTTTTCATCTCAACACCTTCTCACTCCCTCTTGGCAGAAAGTCGGATAACACTGTGAATTATTGATGGAAAATGAGTGAGAATTCACAACAATCAACCAATTGATTATTTATTGATGACTCTCACTCAAATATTTAGTTTGCGGATTATTCTTTCAAGGCACAATCATTTCTGCATTATTCATCCCCATTCCAAACGTGCACGAGAGGGTGGAAGAAGGAGGAAAAAACAAACACACACACACCCCTAAAATATTCACTGGGTCGAGAATGAAAAATGAGGCATCATTGAGTTAATGTTTAGGGCCTCCGAGAAGAGCTTTTGGGTGGAAGTTTGTCTCTGTCAGCGCGATAAAATTGCCAAATCGCACATTAAACCACGATTGTCGTGATGGAGTCACCACCAGTTATCTTGGGTGGATTCAATGACTGCTGGGGAAGAAAAAAAAATCTGGGCCGAGGCGGAAATTAGTTGAGAAAACTTTGGGTGTTGCCATCGAAGGACATGAGCATTATTAATAACAGGAGGAAGTGGCCTTTTACTCTCACCATATCTCGAAATGGAAAGATAACTAACCCTCAGCAAAATCTAGCAGTGCGATTGAAAATCATGTTCATCTCCCCTGAGCCTCGCCGAGGGGATGGAAAATATATTTGCTCGGCTCAAAGGCAATTTTTCACCATCACTCAGGAATTTCCTCGACAGAGAGTGAATTTAAGTGGGAGAGAGGATGAAAATCAAGGTGAAATTGTCTAACTCAATCTTATCACTGGATATTAATGATTTTCCCCCTTGATATTTTCCAAAACCTATCTCGCCCAGGCACCTAAATTCACCCTGGCAGCATCCCTGGCGGGCAACCTTTCCACTTTCATTAATTAAAGTGTTTCGGGAAAACTCTATTTTCCGGGATGCTCTCTCGCACTTGCAAAAAATTTCCACCTGCGCTACCGAAATGAATTTTACAACCCACACACAGCGCCATGGGTGGAAATATGCTTAAGCGCTCATGCCCTTTTGTTGGGTTGGTAATTGCGAAAAATTTAATGATGGAAAGTAATTTACAATCAATACGTGATAATTAAATTTGCAATTAATATTTTTGCCATATCGTTGGGGTTGTAATTGGACAATTCAAAGAGGCGCCGAGCGAATCAATTTGCTGGACAAAAAGCCAATCTGGGATTTAATAAACAACACAGTGTCCAAAGGAGCTTTGAATTACAAAGCACTACTAATGACAACAATGTTGTTAAATAGGGATGATGGCTATTTAAAATCTCAAGTGATTTACGGGTGAAAAATCACTGTATAACTAGACGTTGGAAAGGAAATTTATTCTCGGCGATTCACGAACCTATATTGTAACATTAGAATCATTCTTCTGTGTTATTTTAATTAATATAATGAATTATTCTTCACTGAATTGAAGGTTGTCTAGCGCGTTAACTGTGTTGATTTTGTAGTTTCACTAATTTTTAATATTCTTAAAGATAAAATTTTTCAATTTGTCTCAGTATAATGAGAAAAGAAAACAGTCAAAAAATCGCTATTCTTAATGTCCTTGTCATTTTTCAAGCTGAGGCAACTTGACTTTTACGAGCAGATTCTCTTTAGAGCGCATAAGCACGGTGTAATGAATCGTGGCTTCGTAGTTATGATGCCGCGAAAAGAGGTGATAAAGAAAACAGTATTCAGAAGCTACATTTATCCGGAAAGATGAAGTGTAAAAGTAGACGAAAGTTTATTCACACTGAGAATGAATACGGCCAAAAATGGTTCCTCAGAAATTCGACCCAAACGAAAGTTGCACAGAACATACAAAAAAAAATTCATACCCCAATTTAGGCGTCTGTAAGTGTCACTGCGAGTGAAATGAGACTCCTCATCCCTCCAGATTGTGTTTCAATAGAGCCCTGTTTTATTTGAGGGTGTGAAAATCGCTGGAGATAAGGTGAGATATTGGGCGAGAAAGGATATTCTCCCATCGCCGTGCGGGGTCCATCATATGAATTTGTGTGTGATGTGAATTTCTAAGGAGGGCCACCGCACGACAAAATGCCACCCCGAGATCAATAGATTCGAGGCAGGGCCCTGAGAATTTCCTCACCCAAACGGAAAATCCTCTGTTATGACTCTGATATCAATTCACTTGGCGCATTTATGAATTTGAATTTGTCACTAAATTCCACCAGCTTATCTCACCACTCTTTTCTCAGGGGGCGACTCTCTCTGTATCTTCTCGACCTTTGCTGAATGGCCTTTGCAAAATGTATGGCAGTTGTCGGGTGTGAGGGAGAGGGGGGTGAATTTATGGAAAATGGGCAGCCAGAATTGGGTGTGAAGAGGGGAAATCAATTTTTTCGCCCCGGAAATTGCCAAAATTGATTAAACTGAGAGATTAATTTGGATTTTAATTTGATTCTCTTCTCTCCATTTTCAGATTGAAGATGCAATGCTGATGTTCGATAAACAGACTAATAGACATAGAGGTGAGTTTCGAATAGTCCACTTTTCAGCCATGGATTTCCTCTCGCTTGTTATGGAAAATTTAGCTCAATTCTAATGAGCATGAATGATGCGAGAAAGCATGAATTAGGCGTGAAATATAAATCGATAAATCTTTTCAGGGCCTGTCTCCTCTGTTATTTTCCCTTCACGCACCCCCACATCAGGAAAAATTTCTGTGTCAGTGAAACAAAGCTCGGGTCGGGAAGCTTTTCATTATGTGTGGCAAAAAAGCTGGCCACCCCAGCCGCCCATCGCTCAGCTCCACTCTGCCATCATCAACCAATTATTTGGGGTAGGAACGTGGTGCTTTTCACAACAATCACTGAAGGGTCAATGGCGGAGTGGGTGGCGAGAATGACGAGGGCGAAAGAGCTGTGGGTGTGGGTTTTTTCTCTCCTTCTGGGGCGCAGAGCGAGCGAAAAATACAATAATTTAGCCCACTAAATGTAGCAACAAATCATTAGGCACAGGGAAAAATTACATCTGAAATATTTACAGGGGCAATTTTTCCCTTTTGTACGCACCAGAAAAGCTCCGCACCACACAGAGAATGTCTTCTGCCCTTTCGGCCCACCGAAAGCTCGCGCGGCGGAGCTTTTGTGCGCGCGGGGGTGAGAATTGGGTGATTGATGATCCCACCACGCATACACAGGGATAATTATTATTGCGTGTGCTGGATAAGAAATTTTATACCAGCACAAATACACTGGCAAGAGATAATCGACTGGGAGATTTCTATTTCACCCCAAACTTTGAGATTTAATTCCCCGCAATCACACTTCCTATTACATTTTTATCCGGGACGTGCACGAGCTTTGGCAGTTGGAGTGAAGAAGAGAAATGAAAATTAATTACTATAAAGGCATGATAAGACGATACTTGGTAAGATTCTCAAAGTCTGTTTCTCAATTTGCAGATAAACTTTGACTCCTGACAGCTGTCAAGGAGTCCTTAATAGATCGTTTTCTAGCAAATTTAACCTCACAATATTTATCCAGGAGCATTCTTTTAGAATGATTTGTCAGTCTCTCAATAAATAATTAACGAAACTGCCTGAGGTCATCTTGGGTCTTGAAATCCTATCAGGCGGAGAAAAGGTTGGATTACCGTCTGAAAAATCTCCCCCTTCGATCTCGGTATGCCCAGGGAGTCTGGAAGGATAATTGTTGATTTTTTCCCCGGATTAATCCACCCCTCCCGCCCCGTGGAATTATCCAATCACGAGACCTCAAATTGCTCCGCCAACCCCTCGGCAAATGATGTAAATTAATACCCAGTGCAAGGGTAATTTGCTGTGTGGGGTGGTTTGTGAGGAAGTGACGAAGGAAAGACGAACATTTGGGTGTTGATAAACAAATAATTAAATTGTGAATTGGAATTATGTGGGAGTTTTCTCTCCTATCAGTTTATTTCACTGCACAGATTCGCTGGGTGGTTGGGTATTAAATGGCTCCACTCGAGAGGCATCGCACAGATTATTAATACACCGCTCTTCGTCTATAATAAGTAAAATTTGTATATAATTTTAATGGGATTAGGGTTTCCATCCCCTTCTCAGATATTCACCACACACAGCGAAGAGCGCCCAACTTTCATGTGTGATTTCACAATAAATGGCACTTTGGTGGCAACGACGAAACATTCGAATTTAAATTAAATTGCTCGGTGGGGGGAAAGTTTTTGGGGATGCAAATCCACTGCCATTGGAATCCCCAACAGTCTCGTAGTGATTAACTATGAATGCCTCTCTCTTGTATTCCGCAAATAGTATTCATATTTTGGCACAACAATGAGGATTTTACCCGCTTTTTTACCCTTGGCCGGACCACATTTTCCAAGCTGGGAAATTACTTCTGTAGGCCCACCATTTGGGCCTTTTGGGGGGCCTTCAATGGCTTCTGCGGATGGTGTTTTTTCTGAATTTCCAAATAAGTTATGAACAGCCTATGAATTGTGCCTGCGCAGACGTCTGCTGCATGTCTTGCTCGTAAAATCTCTCGAGACAGAAATCCACTCCATTTCCCTGAACATACGCTACACATCTTCAGATCCTCCCACTGTCGATATTTTACGCAAGCTTACGAATTATCCTCACTCTGGTTAATCAATAAAAATGACTGGCGAAGCTCTTAAATCTCGCCTCAGTCGAAGTGTATGTGTGTGGGAACTTTTCTCGTATTTCCCCGCAGAAAGGAGTCCTTCTCAGAAATATTTCACGTGGAGCGTCCATTTGGGATTGGGGGGCAGTAAAATTGAAATGGAGTGGGTGGGGGAGTGGCGGAAAAATGCCACATAAAATATGTAAGCGAGTGTGTCAGCAGAAATCTATATCGCATTTTCATAGTGAAATATTAAATCTCATAATGTGGTCGTAAAGGCGGTCCGGTATAATCGCGTTCGAGCATCCTGGCCATGTCTTGTGCAGGCGCATAGTCGACCCTTGTCTTGCGTAACGCACGATAATCCACCCCCGGCCCGAAAGCACAAAGCTCTCTCTCTCTCTCCTTGCTGAAGAATCCCAAGCGCAATTCAGCCGCCGAGCGTATGTGATGATGATGTTTTGCCAGTAAATAAATAACCCGAGCTGTCACCATCACATCTCTTGTTCGTCATTTAATGATAATAACAATTATTTTCCATGATATACACAATTTGCTGTCTACTTACTATCGCAGGCACGCATCACTCATGAAAATTACATCCGAAACAGCGCCGCAGAAACCTCGAGAGCGAGATTTCATTAAATGAGCCTCCCAAAGAGAGCAAACACACAGTGTGGCGCATTTGAATAAAAATGCCACGAAGAATCATGGGAGAATGATTGCGTGCTATGTGCCTTGAGAACATTTTCAGTGACACACAGCGAGAGAGGAAAAGCTCTCAGATTTTCCGACACTCGCAACTTGAAGAGGAAACATCAGTGGTTGGGCCGGTTGGGCTCATGTGGCGGGCAGAGTTGAAATGCCTCATGCGCGGGAATTACAGAAATTCAGACCTTGGCGTGTATTTTGATTGTCAGTACCCTTGTTTGAAATTCGATCTCTCATATCTAGGATTTAGAGTCGCATAATCTTAACAGTTGGAATTGCCATTTTTGTGAAATATTTAAATTTCTTTTCTTCTCATCTTTGCAGGTTTTGGTTTTGTGACATTTCAAAGTGAGGATGTAGTAGACAAAGTCTGTGAGATTCACTTCCACGAGATCAACAACAAAATGGTATTTACCAAATCGCTGTGCGACTGTCAAATGACTGACCTAACTCTACTTTCTGCTTCAGGTGGAGTGCAAGAAAGCGCAGCCCAAGGAGGTGATGCTTCCGGCCAACCTGGCGAAGACTCGTGCCGCAGGAAGAGGAACTTATGGTGAGTTAGTCGTGCTGAGTGGTGCGCCCTCCGTCGGGGCGCCCACACTGCGATACACCCCGTACCCCTTGCCGGTGTCTGGCCAGCAGCAAGCCGCCGCTGCCGCCGCCGCCGCTGCCACACACCACATCATCCCTCTAACCGCACCCTCGACCTCCTCGTCGCCCTTGCTGCACTATGCCACCACCTCGCAGCCACTCTACGACGCCGCCGTTTCATACAAGCGTCTCTTGGCCGCTGCTACGCTGCGCGGCGCACACGCCACGCCGCATTTCACCCCTGCCATGGCCGCGACTACCCAACCCCGTGCAACAGCCACTCTAACGTACCCTCTGGGGGATCTTCTGAGTGTTCCGGGATTGGATGTGTCCGCCATTTACCCAATGCCGGCGGCCACGGCGACTTTGGGCTTGTGACCCGCGGCCACAGGTGCCGCGGTTATAACGCAAATACCGCGCCCATGAATGGCGCCCCGTGCCGGCGGAAGGTTTCTTTCCCGGCACGTATTGAGGCCACCCTTCAGATAAATGGCCGATGAAGACCTTTTCACACTGGGAAAGACTTTTTTTTTATTTCACAGGATTCGTTCTCACAATCAGATTTGGTAAATTTCAAGGAAGAGATAATTTCTTTACAACATATGAATTTGTATACCAGCCACAGATTCGTCTTGTGGCACTTCTTGAGTCAAAAATGATTGCCAATAGCTCTACACGACTTCCTGCACCACATTTGTCCATATTATGTCTTCCTTGATAAATTTAAAATTATGATTTTAGACCTTTTGAATTATAGAAGTCTATTTTGGGAGAAATCCAAATTTTCACACAGAATTTCCCAGTGAGAAAAACTGCAGAGTCACAAAATTTCTGATATAATTCACACAAGAACTCTCATAAACTTTGCACTTTCTTTTTGATTGGCGCTTCAGAAAAATAACCCCACAAACTTATCTAATCTTCAACCCACCCTCGTAGAATCATGCAGATTCTCAAATCTTTATTCTTCGGAGCAAAATATCTGGTGGGAGAGTTGATACCAAAAATTGACTCACTCCGTTGTTGATTTATGTGTTTGCTACCCAGTGTCATCATTTGGGGGATTTAGTCGTCAAAATGTGTTTTTATTGAGGGGCGGCCAGAGAATTGCGCGACAACTTTCTGGCTCCCGCATTTCCGGCAATTTCACCCACTTTTCCATACCCAGCAAAACTTCTCAAGATGTCGCCCAGATTATCTCGCAAGTTTTCCCAGGGAAAAGTTCCTCTCAATGCCCGGAAAAGTTGACTGGGAGCATTTGATGAAAATCTCGGGGAGTTAATGAAATCTACTCAACACTTTGGGAATGAAATTGTGCCTTTCCTTCTCTCAATTTCTCCAGTGTGTGTAAAGAGAGGGAGGGAGAGAGAGAGAGAGATCATGATTAAAGAGGAGCTGCTGGTGGGAAAGTGCATTTTGAGGAGAGAAAATCAATGCTTTTGATATGAAATTGATAGTTTTATGTGGTGTGTTTGAGATTTTTCTTATATTTTTACAACCTGATAAAATCATCCATAAAATTTCCACTGAATTGCCAATAAGTCGAGATTAGTTTCAGACCATCCAAATTCGCCACTTTCGCGTACTTTTATTACTCCTGAAGCATTGTGGGAGTTGTTCTTGCAAAACAATTTCTGTTATTTACTCAGAAAATGCACTTGAGTGATTGGCTTGACGAAGGAAAGCTTCCCTTTGCAAACTCCATCTCTTTTGAGATATCACTCACAATTCCATCCATTATCGTGGCGTCGCTGCATGTGGTGGCATTTTGCAGTCAATTGACGGTGGAGGAAACTTTTGATAAAAGAAGTTTTTGCATCCAACAAACCCATTTTCCCTCTAAACTAACAGTCGAATTTTGTGAAATACACGAACAAAAAGAATCAGTGTCTCGGAATTAGCTCAGAAGAAGGAATCTAAACAATTTGCAAAAATATTTCCTGTAGATTTTGATTTTCTCAAGAAACAATCCGTTCAAGATGAAGAAAAAAAACGCAGTCAAATAATTGTGAAAGCTTAGTTAATTTAGTCAATTTTACAGATATTTAAAGAACATTTTAATAAAATATACTAATTTTTACAGATATTAGATTTTACAAAAGAAAATAAGAATTTCCTTTGCTATACATATTACTCTTTAGATAATTCGTTGACTTATACTTTTAAATTGTGTGAGATTAAGAGATAATTCTAGAGCAGATCATCGAAAGAATAGAGTGGCTACTGATGGAGAGACTGCAAAATAGTGAAAAAAAATTTTGGACGACACTCCTGAGTAAATAGAACCAAAGCTGAATTTTTCTTACATTAAAACTACCATTAGATTGACAAATATATATATACATATGAACTATAGTATTTCTAGACTAGATTTGATGGTGTGACTGCGCTCTGTAATATAAAGAAGAGTGCAATTATAGCGAAGATCTTATTTTATGTTTAGTCAATTACTTGTTCATGGCAGACAAGCTGCAAAACTTTGATAAAAGATATTTAAGAGGAACTAATATAAAAGAGTCGATGTAGTGTACTTTTCTTTTTTACATGTATTTCTAAATAACATATAATCCTTAGCTTCAATGGTAGTGTGAAGAGTATTTAAGACATATTTTTGGCAAAGTCAATATATATTAAAAATATATATCAAAAAAATATATTTATCGAAAATATTTATCTTGCATTTAATGCAGAAATCATGATAATTGGTGTGAAATATTATTATTGTGTTGTAGAATAGATCATAGATTTTTATACAGACTTAGACACTGTCTTGACATAATATTAGTTGATTTTTCACAAAATTCTCGGAATGCGCAATTGAATTTTTCTTTCTTAATTTTTGTCAACAATTTTTAAAACTAGAGAGTTTTCATACCTTTTTCCACGCCCTTAAAAATCGGATTGAAAACAAAGACACTCGGAAGATCCTCAAAAGAATTTTCCAACGAAAAGCTTTGAAGCAGTAAATTGACAGAGTTTTTTTGTTTTCTGCATTTTTAGATTTTATGTGGTCGCTGGGAACTTTACCCGATGGTAAGTGTAACACGCATTTCACGGGGTAAGATTAGCACCTAAGAAGCGAAGAAACTCCTCATTATCCGATGTCAAATTTATCAACGTCTGTTTTGGCAAATTTATGGACTGAATTTTTGTCGATTCATGTAAACTCATTAGCGATGAAGGAGATGATTCAATAACTCTAGGCTGAGAATCACATTTTTCATGAGGTCACGATATAAATTGCAGAATAATTCGCTGCCATTATTAGGTAAATTGCTTAAATGTAGAAAAAATGGGATCCTTTCGCATTTCCCGCGGTCATTCTAATCGATATTGTGGGTGGTGTTTGCCATTAGGATTGTTAACTGCGAAATTTTATATTGTAGTGCTGAAATATATGTTCAAAAATCCTAATCGAGTTAGTCTTAATGAAAGCCTGGGGTAAACGCTTTCGAGCTTGCACGCTTTATGCTCAAGACTAATGGTTAGAATTCAGTAAATTGACGCAATTAGAGCACGAATTTCTGCGTCAACCCCATAAATTAAGTTGAGCATTAAAATTTCTCACCCGCCCTTTTTCCATGATGAGCAACTGAGGAGTTTCTTCGCCTCGGCAGATGTTTGGGGTCGAAATCTCATGGGAGAAAGAGTGGAGTCATTAATTTCTGCTTGTGGCACACACAATGCCTGATTTTTTCTCCTAAACAATTTTCTTCATCATATTCTTTTATTTCGCCATTTTTTTCGTCACTCTTCCTCACACTCGAGAACTTTTGCCTGGCTTCTATACTCGAAAGTTTCTCGAGGGTTTGTGAGGAAGGGTGGATCGAATGAAGTGTCGCTGTGGGAGAAGTGATAAGTTATGGAATTACTTATTGAGAGGAGAGTTCTAACATCTTCGCTTGTCTTTGCAGGTTTCCCAGCAGCAGCGTACGCTGCATATGCCGCTGGACGCGGCTATTCGGGCTATCCTAGTTTTGGACTACCTTATCCGACAGGTAACCTTAGTTTGGCCACTTTGCACCACTATTACAGTAACAGTCACAACATAAATCACCACCCACTCCATCCCCTGCTCTCCTCCTGCCACCCCTTCGTCCATCACCACCACTCCTTCGACCCCCTCGGCATTTTAGCGCACACGAATTCGCTGCATTTGTGAACAGCCGCGTGCTCGCGTGGAAATTAATGGTGAAAAAAGCGCGCTGTCCACCCCAAAAAAGCGGAGGGGAGGCGCGGAATTTCCACAGAGCCATTTAAATCAATTGTCTACGAGGCCCCCCGATTTAGTCAACCCACGAGAGATTTACCCGGCGCGATAAGCGTGTGAAAAAGCGAAGGGCGCCGCGACCCGCGGTGGTTTTGCGCACCCGGAAGAGTCCCACCGGGACTAATCACGGTGACACCATTTCCAGGACACACACACTGTATTCAGCATCAAAGGCGAAAGTGGAACACGCAATGAGAGTCACTTAGATGGAATATTCTCTAAGCTTGACCACGATCGCGTCACTCGACAAAAATTAAGTGTTGCGAACGCTCCACAAATTATGTGTAGACGTTGTTGACCATATCTAAAAATATTAAGAATAGCATATATTCAAATTTTGAATTTCAAAATAATATACTCCATTGTGAAAAGGTTTGTTATAAAACATTTTTAGTTAGTTTAGTTTTGCCGTAAGCGAAAAGTCTAAACAAGACAAATTTTCAAACTCCGAGTTGTTTTGATTGCAGAATTTCCTAAAATTTCAACCACAAAACGTCCTAGCAAAACATCATGATAAATCTCAAGCAATACTTCCGGTCCGAGAGGACTTGAAGGGTGTATTGAATGTCCTGAAATATGTCATTCTGGGGTTCTTCTCTTTTGATGCTGAAAAGCAAGTGTGTGTGTGTGTGTATGTGTTGTCTGAGGAAGTGAGCTGGAGAACAATGGTGATTTATTCCGGTCATCCTGAGCAAATGAATCCTTCTCGAACATGACGTGGAGCATTATGAGATTTTGGGGGTTTTTCCCCTCATGCCCAGAAGTCAATTAAAGGCGCATAACTTTAAGATCCAACGAAGGCCACATTGGAATGTCATTAGTTTTTGGGCGCCGTGAGAACCGCTCCGAAAAGTGTGGCTTTCCCTATGCCATTGCGTGTCACCCCCGCTGTTGCAGATTATTGTTGGTAATATAGAAAAGTTTAGTCATTGAACGAGTGAGGAATTCCATGTGTAGCACTCTATTAGGCACATACTTATGGGAAAGTTTTCCGATATGTTTCACATAAAATATCGAAAGCAATTTTCCATCCCGGGCGACACAGTTGCGGAAGGAGAGGAAATCTGATGGAAATATGAAACTTTCTCCGGAGCTTTTTCCATCGACCCTCCCGAAAGCTTCGCCGCCCCCCAGAGAGATTGGATTCCGTGTGGGCTGAAAGCCACAATGTGAATCATTGTAGCATTAATAACCAATGTGTAGGATTAATAAATTCGCAATTAAAGCACAATGTCAGTTGAGCCGAGATTAATAAAGGCAGTAGATTGAGATGGAGAAAAAGCAATTAAGACAGACTTTAGGGTGATTTTCGAGAGGAAGTATTATTCCCAGAGACTTTTTATCTGCCATGTAGCCAGAAAAAGGATATCTCAATGTAGCGTTTAATATCTTAGATATCTTAGCCGTGTAAACCAAATGAGAAATATTCTCCATTCATACAATAAATATCACTCAAACCAATATGACGAAAGTGTAGTTGATGTAGAATTGAGAAAAATCGCAGTACTGCAGGAATTCAGTGGAAGTTAGCTTGTTAAATAATTTAGAATGAATTAAACCCTGGAAGAACAACATTGAATGCATGGGGTTGAATGAGTCAGGAGCAGACGTAAGCGAGAATACAAAATTGCGATGTGGAAGCACTTGCCTCATTTCACTTAAATGGAGCTTCATTCGCCGCTTGTGATTCAAATGACACAGTTGAAATGCTGATGGAAAATCAATATTTCACCTTTCACACAATTCCAACCTGCAAGTCTGATAAATTGCTCAAGTCGAGCAATGATGAACGAAGAACAACCACATTCAGATGATTAAAATGCATTTTTGGGCAACTCCAATTTCTCATTATACTTTTTCCCCCTGGCTAAATTCTCGCTCACGCTAATTGCTGACTCAGCCAACGCTCGTCGCCATCCCTAATCATGCTGTTCATTTTCCATCCTGTTTTTCTTCTAATTATTTGTTAATCCATCTTGCGGTTGCTCTAAACCTAATTTTCTGTGAATAATTTTGCTCCCTCGTTTTCCCACTTTTTTTCTGTATCGCTTCTTTTTCCTGATTTCGCCATTCTCTCTTAGGTTCTATGCCCGAGAACAGATTCATCGTGGGCGACTATCTAATACCTTCAACGCCATCGACTTCCTAATAAATCCGCCACTTTTTTATTCTTTCTATGCTTTTCTTTTACCTTTCTTCATTTGCATCCTGTATACAAAATTTTGAGACAAATTCTTATGAGGAATATCAAATGTCAGTTCTGTGCAATCATAAATGTTACAAATATGCGATATAAAACGACAATTCACTAAATAAGATATATTTCTGGCCATGCATAAACGAAATACTTGACAACGAATCGACGAGTTGTAAACTCATGTTTTTAAATTTAGGGAAAAGATATCAACCAAGAAAAAACTGTTGTATATTTTCTTGAAACGCTGCTGTTCACAAAATGCTTTTTTTTATTTCAAAGAAGAAAAAAGACACGTTCAGAGGAAAAATCCTGCCAGAGATTTAAAAATAATTTTAAATCGTGTGAACAACGAATTTTTTCCTCCAATTTACTTTCAATTTCAAAGTGACTTTTTTGGTGCTTTGTAATATTGTGACTAAATGTTGATCAAAGAATTTTAATAAATTTTTAATCGGTATGAAAACTCATTGAAAAAAAAGAAAATATGAAAAGTAATCTTTTGTAATATATTTTTTAATTTTTTAAAAATGAAAGTCAATGCGCTCCGTCAAGAAAATGAGATAAAAGCATAAATCTAACTTGTTATATGAAAATCTTTGATATTTGTTAAAGTAAAGCGATAAAATACTGTGACAAAAATTAACTATGGTCTATTCTATATAAATAAATATTTTTAGCATTAAGAAGAAAATAAGAATTAAGTGAGATAAGAAAGCTCTGTAATAATCAATTATATTGTAAAACCATATCAATGTAAATGTATCTTAGACACGATAAGGAAAACTATAATCGAAATATACTTTGGGTGAAGCCAAAAAGTGTATCTTTTGCCAAGTGAAAAACAGGTTCTTTTTAGGGAAAGTCAGGTCAGGACTGTGAAGAATGGAGATCATAGATGGGGAGTACTAAAACTTTATCTTCTACTTTTTACCTCTTTTACATTTTGGTTTTACTTTGATGAATTGAGCGAGAATTTATTTTATTTTTTTCATATATCCTTTTGATGTAATTAAGGTCTTTCGTCTCTGATTGTTTCATAATTATATATAGTAATTAAAATGTGATGTATTTTAGATAAAAGCGAGAGAAATTATATTGTGACAGCTATTTATACTAGAAAGCTAGATATTATCAGAGAGATAATAATCATAGGTGGAAAAGTTTTGTGCATCATGAATACTTGCTAATTATCTTCCCTCTTTAATATTGTGGATATAATATTAATGAATTATGGTAAATACTTCACATTATTCACTATTATTATCTCTCTGATACATAAATAGTATATCATTTAATTAAATTGAATATGTATCAGTCCCGATGCGGATTTAAATTTCTCTATAGATTTTTGGACATTAAATTTGTGGATAATCCTTTTTTCAATATCTAGATAGAACCACAAATCATCAATCACAATGAAACAGGTTAAAACTTAGTTTAGTCACAGATAAGAGAGCTAATAAATTGTTATAGTATTTATAAGTAATATTTTTTCAATCTATAGACTAGAAACATAGATCTAAAAAGATTAAAAGAAATGTAACGACGAAGGCCAAAAACTAGGCTCAATGTGGAGTGAATAGAAAGTTAGTTGAAGAAAAATTTTAGTCCAAATTGTCTCAAGAGTTGTTGTGGAATTTTTCTTTTTCTTTTATAGTGATTTTTCTGTTGTCAATATACGTCTGACATTAACAAACTTTAGATGATTTAGGAGACAATGAGGAGTACTTAATACAGAATAATCAAAAACTTTATATATTTTGTGTGAAATGCGTGCAAATTTATCTTTAAATAGATTTTTAGGACAATTTTTATGTTACATCCAATCAAAGCTCATTAGGAGCTTTTTCATGTGTTTCATAGTGCCATGTTTATTTTCTGACAATTTTCCTTGAAGTATTTGCCAACGACAACAAAAAGAGTCTCATCGTGTAAATATTTTCCGTGTCGGGATTTCTTTAGCCTCTCGCAGAGTCACTTAACACTCAATTCCGTTAAGAAAACTACCGCCAAACCCTCCGCTTTCCGCCCTGCTTTCACGCCAGAAGCCCTACGGCAATGTTCATTAACATAACAACATTAGAGCAATTATATCAGCCGCATCACAACTACCCAGGAGATTTTAATTACACTTAACAGGTTGAGGAGCGCAACATTCTCATATTTTCGACTATTTCGCGGCACGATTAAGCGAGCGCGAAAGAATACACAGATTAGGGGTTAACTTGTGAGGTGAATAATTATATGTGCGATGCTGCATCCCCGCGTTGGCGGGCTCTCAAGTGTGGGAAAGCATCCTCAGTAATGTCCTGAGTAATGGCACTTGTCTGCTGAGAGTGCTCAAGGAGTAAATAGCCGGACAACGAGATCATTTAGAGAGCGAATTACTGCAGTTTGTAACGAAACGGTCACTGGCTTTTAAGTGGGAGATAAAACTTAATGTACAATGAAAATTCCTTGCCTGTGGGCGGGACAACGGAGTGGGAGGAGCTTATGATTCCAGACTGAAAAGTGGGCCAAAGGATCAAGCGCAAAAATGCGCCCTCAACTTTGAGATCATCCCCATGAATCATTAATCTTCCGCTTCAACCACAAAGAAGATCCACTCTGGCGCTGCGAAGCCCATGCATTGGTAAAAGGGAGATGAACAAAAAGTGTATCATATGGTAGCCTTTGTAGCCGTTTAAATTTGCCATGAGAGGGAGGAAAAAGCCGAGGCACGAGATATGTGGTGAATTCTTTGCCGCAGCAACTTTGTCCCTGGGATAAAAAAGAATCCCCCGCCAATGAAACTTTGACATGTTTTTCCATTTCCCTCTAATAGCAAATACGGAAGAAATGTGTATACAAACAAAAATGTAATACTTATATGAATTCCCTTCGCCTGAGCTGTGCTTTGTGGCGGGGCGGTGCGTCAGATGTTGAGTGTGCCAGAAGCCCTCTGTGCTGTATCTTGGCATCGATTCCGCGAGGATCGAATATCGGCGTCACATATGAAATCCCACCCACTCAGGAGTGCATATTAAAATCTCTTACGTAATATCGAGACGTGAAATATCCGAGACATTGAACATCTGCATGCGAAATCGGTGGAATTGATTGATTTTTATTGACTCGGGGGTGGTTTTGCCACACCGCCCATATACGATTTCTCGTAATTTTCACACCGCTCCCCCCAATGTGAGTGGGACTCCGTTGGGATGAGGAGGAAGTCGTGAAATATCACATCGTCATCAACTGTGAGATTTTCCCTCGACGCGTCCTTCTTTTCCCTCTCAACCACGGCGAAGCTTAGCTAGGGTGGCGCGTTTGTGTATGTGTGAAAAATGATGGAAACAGAGGGAAAGGCTTAAACGCGAAACTTATGGAAGTCCTGCTCGAAAAATTCCCCTCATTGAAGAAATTTTGGGAACTTCGCAATGAGGTCAAAATAGTGGCGATCGCACAATAAAACTATATTTACATTTGGCTGGTGACGCTCACACCAATGGTACTGCCATGATCCGTTTTGTAACATATTCTCAACATAGTTTACCGTTTCCCTTTACTTATAGATTCTTGATTTCACGACTTTTTATCTAGTTTATGTGTTCCTTGTAGATTAGAACTCGATTTAATATAAATTTAGACGGTTTACAGTGCAAAAGATTGACTGGTCCAATTTGAATAAACTTTCAAACGAATTAGAACATCTAACTATATGCTTCAATCAGACAACATTTAAACAATAGCTCTAATGGGTGCCTTTATTAGTTGCCAATTAAAGCCTGACGCGAGAGACTCTTCAGAGTTTTCTGAAGACACAATTAATTGCCCAAGTTTGAAAGTTGAAAAATTGGGAGAAACTTTGCCCGAACGCAATCCTCTCGCGGGTGTTTTCTCCCAAGTCTAATATGGAAGTGCGGTGTGACGCTGGGGGAAGGGCAAAAGGGGTGGCAATTCGTATCTGAAAGAGAGGCTCATTGTGCCTTTTGCCTCGTGTCATTTGCGCGCCTACACTTTGTAGTGGTTTCCCCGGCGAAATTCCCGTGGATGGTTTGGGGCTGTCTTTTGTGCTGGGGCCGGAATACAATGTGCAGAGTGAGTGAGAGAGTGAGTCTTTCTCGGTTTTCCATATAATATAGCGAGGGGTTTCCCAAAAGGCGCGCACGCGGGAAAGTTGGGTGGAAAGTTATTGTATAGGAATAAAAAGTATCTCCTCATTCTCTATCAATTCCTCTGTCTCGCAGCAAAAACAACAATCTACCAAACATAAAGACTTGTGGCGCCGGTAAACTTTTCCATCCACATCTTGCGTACGATTTTTATATTTTTGCACCACCCGAGATTGCCCTGGCTCTCTTCTCGCTCCCCTGCACCGCATATCTCTCAAGGAGTTGTAATGATAATAATAAACAAGGAATACAATTCCGCCAGCGTGAGAGCTTCCCTTGCGCCACTCCTTCAAATATTTATTGCCAATATTCGCTCGAGCAATTGATTTCCTCTCGATGTCTTCGGCTGGTGAATTATGCACACAAGGCTCACCAGCCACCCTCACATCCACCCGCCAGCCAATCGATTCGCAGTGGCATTAGCTAATTTAGCACATCAATAAAACTTTCTGCACATTGAACGTGCTAAATTGCATCACTTGTCGACTCCCTCAACTATTGATTTTCGCTGTTGACGGTGAAAAATTCCGAAGCTCCCCGCCTTGACAGAGTATTTCCCAACCCTCATTGGCACCTCCCGACTGTTTGAAGGACTGGAAAACGAACTTTTTTCACATACAGGAATGGCAAACAATCAATATGGAAACGCATTGGGATTTTGAGTGTGCTGAAAAATTGACAATCTCAGCCATGGAAAACCTCTAAATGGAATTAAATTGACCTTTCCACGAGGAGCTCAGAATTAATGATTTTTTAGAAAGAAATTGAGGAAATAGTGCACAATTTACCCAGACTAAATTCTCTGGCTTGCAATCGCAATGAAAGTAATAGCCCAGAATTGAAAATCACTCACCAGAACTTGGAAAAAACACACGAAAATTCAAATGACTCTTAGTAACTTCCTTTCACTCTTGCCAAATTCCCCTTGAGAACACACAATAAGAGCATTAAAATTTATAGTCAAGTCTGGCGATGGGACTTTAGAAAGCCATTAAATGCATGATTTGCGGAAATTCTGCAAAATCCTCCCGAATTTGCAGCGTGTGATTCCTTCTGTTCCACATTTTCGGGCACACTGAGCTGTTGAGAGTGTGAGTGACAAGCGGAAGGAGCAGAAAAATGCTCTTATCAGTGAGAAATCGGGTCACGAAGAGTTTCCTTTTCACCGGACACACACACACCCACTCTTGACCGGAATTGTGGCGGTCTATTTTCACCCTGCGGGTTGGAAAATGTCTTGGAGCTCTTGCTCTCACGCACAGAGATCGTCAATTCATTGTTTAATATCTAACAATAAATTTCTTTGGCCTTCCCAATCGGGAGATCCTTTCCGAAAAAAATGGGCACAGGTGACTCTCTAACTATTCACAGTCACGCAAACAATTTATTGACTCCAAATTAATACATAACAATTTATTAGATCATTTGCATGAGTGTTTTCTCCCTCGTGTTCTGTCCCAAATGATTCCTCTCAGAATTCGTTTGGTTTCTTTTTCCACCACAAATTATATTGTTTGTTTCGTTTTCTTGCTTTTGGTTGTGACCTTTCGTGGGGCGTGGTAAATATCAAAAGGAAAGAAGACGATTTGTTAAAATTTGAATTAAAATTTGACATTCGGATAGCTGTCAAAAGATACTTCAAGGAAAATTTCATGAAAGTAACATGAGAAACTTTTCTGTAATTTGTAACGAGATGAGCCAAACATTTGCTAATATAAAAAGCAATTACATATATTTAAGCTAATGAATGTCTTTGTTGTTTATTTTTCGATATATACAATTTTAAATATTTGACTAACAGCGAGTTGTAATCTTTTACACGTTTATTTTCCGTATGATACCAATTTATGCCATATCGCAAAATAGAGATTTGTTTCTTTTTTTTATCATTCTTTAAACCAGAAAAAGCAATGCATTTAAAAACCTGTGACATCAAATTTATTTTGGCAATTTTCTGTGCATTTCAGTTGATCTAACAAATGGCCAACTCACTCCAAACAACAACACACCACTTCTCACTCAAGCGCTTTCTGGTGAGTTTTTTTGTCCATCCGAAATTGGTTCTCCATTTCTTCTTCCACCCATTCTTTTTTGCCTCTCTGTGGCAGTCAAAGGATTTCATGTGAAATCCACGCGGATTTACCCAGAGATTTCCCCGGAAGTCTTCCTCACCTCTGCCGTTGTCCACTTTGCTCAACTCCTCTTAATTACTTCCTCTCCATGGCCATGATGAAAAATCTCCCCATTTTCCACCCTGTCACCGGGAAAATTAATTGTGCTGTCGATTTTCCTCATACCCACAAGAAGAAAACCACCTCCTGTGCCGTGTCAATTTTCCTGCGGAAAATCCAATATCAGCCTTCGGGATGTAATCAAATATTAACCGCCTCGAGAGCTCTAATACAATCCGGCGGTGGTGCATTTTTAATCGAAAGGAAGCGCTGCGGTTGAGGAAAAGGAGGCCACCCGCCACGAGAGGGCGGTGGGGTGTGTGAGCCGTCCACAAGGAGAAATGGCTTGTTTACTCACAGCTCACTTCCGTCAACCTAAATTGATCAATTAGTCTAATTTTAAGATAAACAGTCTTCGCAGTTACGGAGCTTCTTTGGAAAAAACACTATGTATAGGTTGTGCTGTGACTAAAGTAGCCTTGAATCTGTCTAACACAGCCGGTGATGATACTCCACGATACTCGTGATCTTTTTTTCTCTTCCCCTTCCATTCAATTCACGAGGGCACTTTAGGAGAACATTTCGCAGTGTTCCAATGACTTTGAGCATGAAAAAATCTCATCAAACCCTTTTCCCACTTCACTGTTTCCATACCTTTCACCATTAATTTAATCATATCAAAGCCCTTCCTGCTTGACCCACTTCCTCGCTTACCCCGCCTTTCGCCCAGACACTCAGAATCAAGGAAAAACTCTCCTCTCGCCAGTCAAACCTACAGTGCAGGACTCATCTAGTAATTGCCTCCTTTTCTGGCCTTCTGCAGTCATGAATAACTACCAGGCGGCCGCTGCAGCCGCCCAAGGTTTTGGGCCGCCGGCATCGCCGCACACCGCCACCACCAGGACCGGCTTCCCGCCCGCCAATTCCCCCGGCCCCACCATCGACATGTACAACTCCAGCGGCGCCGATAGCGTTGGATACGTCCAGGCGGCCAGTCCCCAGCCGTCCGGCTTCCCGGCCATCGCCGTCAGCCGTGCGCCGCTCAACTACAGCCCCGTAAGTACACATACACGTGATCCCAGGGCAGGGCGCAGCTGAGCATTTTCCCCATACGGTTGTCATTAAGATAGTTTGCATTGCAAATATTGGACGAGTGCAGAAGTTTTTGATGAATTCTCTCAATGAGGTTAGCAAAGGATAGTCAATTTGAATTATGACTAACTGCTAGTTGTTCTGAAAATAGAACTAATTGTTGGTTTTCGTGAATATGTATATCCGAGAAATTATCATGACATCAATTTGATGTAAAACATGCTTTCGGCCTGTCTCTTTATATACATTTCTGGGATTGTAATGCTTTGCATTCTGAAGATTAACTGCTCTCTATAAAACCGAATATCAGGCCGAATACTTGAAAATGCTCAGTTTGAGTCCCCCATAATATAATAGCCCCTTCTAGGTCGTCACGTCAGTTTTCGTTAAAAGATCTCTCAAACGTTTCAGGGACCTCTAATTCCAGCCGCCTTTACCAACGGCTACCACTAAATAAGTCCTAGAACAATTTTTTCTTCTTAAGATCTCTATCGCGAGAAAGAAACACACACAAACATTGAGACAAAAGACGAGTGGCTGTAGGGAGAGCAATTTTACCAGAGAACACAAAGTGTCTAACAAAAATTGTAGTGAAAAACATAAACCGATGGATAAACTTTGCGCGACTGTGTCGAATTTTAGGGGGTTAGATGAAAGAATTAAGCAGATAAAGAGTCTTTTTTGAACGATAGAAAATTATGGCGAGAGAGGGAATTTTTTGCGTCAGACAGAAAAAGAGATGGTGAAACAGTATTTGTTCAAACAACCTACACAAATTTACTAAAGTAACACAAAAACTCTAAAAAAAAAATGGTTAAGAAATAAGAAAAGAAACCCAAGACAAAGTGAACAAGGAGTAATGAGAGGTGAAGTAATAAATTAAATATTTAAAGTGACAAGAGAAGTGAAGAAGAAGTAATAATTAATATATATATTGCAAAAATGAAATATGAAAATCCGTGGACGGAGAACAATGAAGTAATTAATTGTAATATTCATATACATTACTTATTAATTAAAATTAATAATGAAGAGGGAGTTTGGAGAAAGGAATACCAAGAGACATGGAAATCTTTGCAATGAACATGGAATAATTGCAGAGGTCATCGTATTTGTAAGTTAATCATTGATAATCCTCACAATTCACGTGATAGCACGACACAAATCTTATTTTTATATCACTCCTCGAGCTATGAACGGATAGTCCCTGTAATGCAACCTTCCATTTGGGAAATAATACCATGATTGTCACTGTAATGTAATTTTCGAGACAGCTTCGATCCCTCAGTGGATGAGCTTGAGAGTCCCTCTGTCCGATTGACAAGTCCCACAGAGGGACTGTACGTTCGCCTCATTACCCCTTCGGGACGTCCTGCAATCCTCTTTTATTTCTTAATTTCCTCAAAAAGTTGTACATAACACACAGAGGCGGAGGATTTAATGGGAAGCGAGGTGAAGATGAGAGCTAATTGAGGCATTACAATTAATAGGCAGTAATAAAAACTATTTATAAGTGAAAAGGTATATTTTGATAAAAATAAGCCAAAAGAACATAAAACACTTGGTCTTATTCTCTTATGCGCACTCATATAAAATACCCACTTCATTGGAAAGAAAAGATGAAAGATTGTGTAATTCTTAAGAGATAAAACTCACATTTTTTTTTAATTTGAAATCCCTTATTTCTAAGGTTAAGGAGAATGAATATTGAAAAGAAACACTCTCTGTAGATAAATTTCCATTTTATAACATAAAATACGGAACTTTTCTAGGCTTCTGAATGGAGATTTTTTGAAGCAACGCCAAACATCTCCTTTCAGCAGCCATAAAAATTCTGATTCTAATGAAAGGTAAATGGACGGTGAGGAAACCTTGAAAAAATCTTATGAATGACCTTCAGATATCCCTTCCCTTTTGGAGAGAACGACGAGAGGCGCCTAAAGGATTCTTTCATTTCAAACTAAATAGTGGTGTAAAATTTGAAGCAATAAGAGACTCTAATAATTTTCTCTTAAACAGAAATGAATAATGAAGAAAAAACGTACCAACTTTTTTACATTTTCACATAAAGAAAAGAATTTGAGAGACATTTTAGGAGTTTTAAGTAGTTTTTAAAAAGCAAATAAAAAATGAAGATCAACACTTTGGGAGAAGAGGTCATAATGCAATTTATTTTATCGACGATGATGATAAACTCGATGGGAAGCTGATGAAAGAGCCCCAAAAGGACTCAAAGTAGTTATTACAAAAAAAAAAAATGTATTTGTTATTGTTAAGATGAGAGTAAAAACAGGAGGTGAAACTAAACGAAGAAGATTAAAAAACTTAAATGTAAAGAAATGAAAGCAATTAATGTTATTTTTGTTCATCGAAAATTTATTTCTCACGATAAAAATATTATGAATTGGCTTAAGGACACGTTTTCTTGTTGTCCGCACTGTGAGTTAGAATTTACATTTGAGTTAGAATCCTCCTTTATTGCCTTTTCAGTGGACTGAAAAATCAAATGTACTTTTCACTTTTTTGATCTTTCCATTGAGTTATTTGCAAAGCTCTCAAAAAATACTTACCAAAGGTTTTTTATCCACTAAAATGCGACAATATTGAAAAAAAGAAGAAATATTTAAAAATAAATTGAGAAAATATTCATTTGAGTGTGATTCTCAAACAATACTTTTTAATCAAATATATATTAAACATCACAATTCACTCTATATTGAATACAATTAAAATGATCATAGTGAATAATGAAGAATAAAATTAATTATGAAGATGAATGAAAAAAAACTTACATGGTTCTAATGTTTATGATAGCTATTAAATGAAAATGGTGAGAAGCTCTATTGGGAGAGAGACATTTCATAAATTGAGAGATTCAATATTTTTCCTCAGATTATTGACAAAAGCTCGTGCTTTCTCACACTTTTTCTTCCCTGAGAATCCTAAAAAATGACAGCCGTGAGGATAATCACGCTCAGCGCGAGCTTTTGACGACAGCTCCTCAAGAAACCTACAGAAGGGCCGTTTGAGATTTTGATGAGAAGGTTTTCGACTAGACAGACGGTGAAAATTCAATCTAGTACAGATGAAAAAAACCACACATACACACCCATGAAATTATAAGAAGGAAATATAAGTAGTACTTTAGGATAGAGATGAAATTTTTGCAATAAAAACGTTTCTAATTAACTTTATGTGGGAGTGAAGATTGAGAAGGGGAACGTAAAGCATAGGTGAGGTGAAATTGTATGAAATGAAGGCCACACACAAGATTATGATAGTAGTCAAAAGAAGAGGACATAAATAAAACATTTTATATTATATACAATACCATTACAATACCTTTAAAACATGAAGAACAATTGTCTTAATTCACGTGGAAGAAAAACAGCTTTAAATATTTCGAGAAGACAACAAAAACGTGGTTATTTTATAAGAATAGAGGGTGAGGAGGGCCCGTAAGTTTAAGGACAACAAAAAAATGAGGAAATACAGTGAGGAACTATTCCATTTGTAGGTTAAATTGATATCTATGATGTGTTTTCAACCCGCACACGCTTCGCAAAGCTTTCACAAGCCCTATACAATTCAACACAAAAAGCACCCATGAAGTGAAGGGAAAAATCAAAAGATATACTTTGATGTTAAGCACAGCGAGAGCTTTCTGTGGAAATGCCATTTGGATGTCACCAAGAATCCTTAGTTTGAACTGTGTAGCTCCTCAATCCGAGTGTGGCTTAAGGAAATCCCTGGAAAAGTGCAATTCCATCCTCTCTTTCTGGTCTCATCAATTTTCCCACGCAATCCCGTCAATATTCGTGACGGAAAAATCCCTCAAAGGCGGAGAGAAAATCAACACAGCTTTTTCTGCACATTTATTTTTAATTAGACCAATCTTATCACGGACTTTCCGACGGTATAAAACTTTGCCATTGACATCGCGCGCGGAGGAGGGATAAAATAATTGAATTGTGCTGAAAAGTTGCACCGACCGAGCAAGGAATGAAATAATGAAATGAAAGCTGAGATGATTTCATGTGTATTCGTTAAACTTGCAATTTTATCCATCAAATTGCCAGAGGATGAATTTCCACGAAAAGCTTTACGCTGTGAACAAAGATAAGGAGCAGTCTGAAGGGAGGGGGAAAAGCCGCTGGGAAAGCTCTTCTGGAGTTGAGACCAGAAAGAAAATTTATTGGTAGCTAATAGTGAGGAGGAGAGTGTCTGAAAAAAGCTCATTTTGTGGGTATTTTGTCAAATGAGACAGTGTTGATGGCACAAAAAACGTATGAGCAAGAAGAGACACTTGAAAAAAAGATCTCCACATCCTCAAACGTTATAAATTATTTTCGCTTTTTCTCATACACACACACACACGAGGAAATCTCTTTGTCATTGATTTTTTCCTCTTCCCCGCATTTTTTTCGTCATTTCAACAATCACCCTCGATGGACATGTTAGCAATTTATTCTTTCAAGTACAAGAAGTATGTAGCAAAGATGAAAAATGCTGAGGAGCCAGCAGGAGATTCAGCAGAAAATATGGCCATCATATTTTCGAGGGAAAGGAAAAGCATGAGATGGAAGACATATTAATCTTTTTTGCGTGTAGAATTCGCACAGACTGATTTTAAGAAGCAATACAAGAAGATATAAAAGAACCATTTTTGAAATGATAAACATGATTACTAAATAATTCAAATATTTTAGTGGCCGCGCAGTGGAAGTTTAAATGTCATAGGTTTTAGCTGATAAATAGTGCTTTAAAAATCTGTTCCCGGGCTAAAGAGCATCGACAACGCCATCAGTGTATCACCCTGTAGTATACAAACTGTTAATGGAAAACACTCGAGACTCTCATAATTACTTATGCTCACCCTTCGCCATGTTTTGCACAAATGGCGAAGACAACACAGACAAAAGATCCTCACGAATTCATTCGGTATGCATTTTCTTTTTCCTTTCGCATTACGCGCATGAAGAGGTCTTTTCGTTTGGGTACTGCGAGAAAAGCGCATTGTTAGATCGACAATGCCAGAATAGTTAGAAAGAGGAAGTGCGACTAAATTGACTCGACGCCAACTTCACCCAATATGGCTTTCTTGGCTGCCAAGATGGTGTAAGTAAAGCTGTCAATCTTGTCACTTGTGAGCAAAGTTTTCCCATTTCCGTTTATAAACCTATAAACTAAATCTTAAATGGTAATAAAAGAGTCAATATAGGATTGAGATAAACGATTTTTACTCATAAAACGTGGAAGAAATGGAAGAGCAGCGCTCTAATGGATGTCAAAAGAAACACTTTTGACAGGAGATAAAAATCAATTTAAATAGGTCAATTAAACAAATTGGTATAATGTAAAATAAAATTCCTGTATAAATAAAGGTTTTTTGTGTGTGTATTGTCAAATATACAGACACTTTGTACATAATCCTAAAATATGATATGAAGAGGAGAAATTTTTAATAAAGTAATATATTATTATATATAAATGAGAAGAAATCACTTTTTTGCGTCACAACTACAAGAAAAATAGGGTTAAATGAAGTTTATTCCTTTCCCCCTGTCCCGTCCTAATAAAATAATGGAAATTTTAATGAGAAATTCACACTGAAAATATGATGAAAATCTTGAAAGCTTCCCAAATTTTGAGAAATAAAGAATCACTTTTTCCAAAAAATATGGATGAAAGTAAAAATACTTTTAGATAAAAAATCAAATTATTGATAAATCAAAAATATTAGTTTTTTAATAGTTTTCTTTGACATTTAATCCTCACATTTGTTTCTTTTCTCATTTACAGTAGGTTAAATTGTATTGGAAATTTTTGAAAAAAAACCAATCAAAAGAATCGACTTTGACAAAATTTATCAATTTGTCTCTAATATAATGTTAAATTTGTGTCTCTTTAGATAGTTCAATAAATCCGAATATAAGGACAGTTATTTGCCAAAAATCGGCCCTACAGCGAGCAAAAAACAACACTTGGTTCAATAGAAATTGTAAATAACACGGATAAAAATCTTGATTTGAAAGCCTAAATCACACAGAAAAATCTTGATTTGCAATCTCAACACTACGAGGCTTTGCGATTATAACAAATCAGTATTGTTTTCCATTAATTTTCATTTTCCTAGAAATCAAAAAAAACTATTATAAAAAAAGTAAACGAAGAAAAGTTAAAAGAAGAACTAAATACAGGGTAAAATTTAGTGACAAAGTAATAAGAAAAAAAATGATGAAAATGGTAAAATTCGAGACTTAATATAATTCATTTGTTACATTTTTTCACACAAACTCCGTCGATGACAGGAATGAAACGGATTATGCCAAAAGAAATGTTTATTTCGAGATGAATTCTTTGTACCAAAAAAGTGAAGAATATCAAATTAATATCGATAGAAAATCTTGAAATGCAATGAAATCGCTCCAATGTCAATTTATTGATAACATAGAATTTACCACTTTAAGAAACTCCTTTTTTGTTGTTTCAACTATTTTTCTTCTTTTTTATACTTAGTTTTTTCATCTATACTTTCAAACCCTTTTTACGTAATTTTTAACTAATTAGACAAAAATATATTATGGAAAAAGGTGTATGGAGTAAAAACACCAACTGAGTTGAATAGTGAAAAATCTTTCACAGAGGAAGTATTTATAAAATAGTGGATTTTATGATAAAACAATAAGAAAACATGAAACCTTTAAATGAATGGTAAAATTTAATAATATGAATAAATCCCGGCCTTAACATCACGTGAAACTTCTTTGTAAGGTTATATTAGTACTTTAGGTACAACTTTCATATTTAAAATGAAGAAAAAGAAATTATGAAACTATAAATTGAGATAATATTATGATAAAAGTATGATCAAACATATCTTAATATGTGTAAATGTGTAAATAAATATTATCAGTTGGTCTTTTCCACCCAAATTTGAAGAAAAAAAATAGATAATACAAAGCTTTCTGTTGAGGCTACAATGTATCCATGTTGACTTTACCATATTTCCTTCAGTTTCTCTTAGGAAAATATGACTCACAATGTTAAAAATTGCGATTTTGGGGCAGTTTTCTCTAGAAAAAACCACACCTTTTTCCAACCTCAGTTCTCCTTTCGTTGAATATCGGTGACATTTAATGTGAAACACCTTCACAAAGGGAATAATTAGACAGAGCTTAAATCTTTGAGACGCTTTCGAGGGATGCAGCTTTAATAGAACTACACCGAACATGATGTTTTTCGAGGAGGATTTTTGAATAACTAAATCCCGTTAAATGGAGAAAACCTTGCCTCAAAATTGTATTTTCCACCATTACAAAATAAAATTGTATCCATATTAACAATTAGGAGTAATACTTTTTAGATAAATGAAGAAGAAAAAAATTACCAGAGGAGGGAAAACATGTTCTTTTCACCAAAATCTATCCTCCAAACTTTTTGTTCCATGCATAACAACAACACCGGATAACACTGCATTTCCCACAAGAGAAGATGAATTTGGATGGTCTATTTTTTGATAGAGAACGGGAAAAACCAATTAACGTTGCATGTAAATATTTAAAGGACGATGAACTATTGAATGACATTACAATTAAACATGAAGGCGAAGTGAAAGGCATGAATATGTAACATTTAAAAAATCTCGACAATATTAAATTTATATTCGTATTTGATAGTGGAATGAAACTGAGTATAAAAATACTTCTTTAAAATGATGGAAAAATGTCTTATTTCAATATGAAATCCAAACCTTATTTTAGTGAGAAAAAAATGTAGTTGAAAAGTATAAAAATATGTACTTATTATAAATTATTGATATCTCCGTGTCATGGGCCTTATACTATATTACTAAAAAAGAAATAAAGAAGTGAAAACATGATGGTGAAATGGTACGAAAAAATGCCATGAAGAAAGAGATTTAAACGTGAGCGACATAAAATGGAAAGAAAATCGATTTGAAGGTGAAGCAGCACGAAACGACAGAAAAATCAGCAAATAATGCAATAAAATGGTCCTTCAATCAAAAGCACAATGAGCCGATGATGGTGGGTGTGGAGAAAAGCGGAAGAACATGGACAGAAGTTCACCCTTGAAATGACGGAAAAGCCCAGCCGGAGGCTTTCATTGTGCTCTCCCCGAAATACTTCTTTTTCCACTCCCCTATTTTCCCATTGTTTTCCTCCTGTCAATCCCGAATTTTCCCTCCAAAAAAACCATCACGCAAGAGAAGAGGTAAATTTGCAAGACATAATTGCCATGAATTCTTCTCAAAAACACACAATTGGAGACGGTTATTATTTCGAAAAATAAAAAGAGAAACGAATGAAGGAAATTTTTGTGATGTGACTCACTCACTAATACTATGTGTAAATAAAATCATTTTTAATACCAAATAAGAAAAAAAACAAAACTATTGAGAATCGGAAGAAAGAAATTAAGATGGTACTAGCTAAAAAATGAGGTGAAAAACCAGATGGAACGGATGGAATATTTCTGTGAAAACAGTAGAATTTCCATTCACCTTCCATCGGCACAATATTGTCTAATTGATAAATAAAATGTATACCCCTACTTTAATAATTGTACTATATGCAGTTATATTTATGTGTAGTTATTTAACATTGCGTTACATTTAAGTTAATATCACCTGTCCTCAAAATTGAGACAGAATGAACGGAACCCAGTGAAATGATAAAGGTGAGCGCGACAGAGTAGAAGAAAGAATCGCACTAAAAGTTAAATGAGTAATCAACAAATAGAAAATCTTTATTAGTTGATATTGTAAGGTTCTTTTTTTAAACCCACCCACCCAAATTCTATGTGCGTAACATATAAAAACTTAATAAGCATAAATGGTGAAGAACAAGATGAACTTAAGTTACATAGCGAGAAAAATGATGGATTGCATAACAAGTTGTACGGATTTAATATAAAATTGAAAAGACAAAGAAAAGTATTAAAAAAATTTCCTCTCATTTCTTCTCCTCCTTAAATTTTATTTAAAAGCAGTCCCTATTGATCTTAAGCTAAAAAAGCGGAAAAAATCATAATACATTATTTTTACGTGGAAAAATGAGAAATAAAATTCATTACAGGTTTAACAACAAGTAAAACATTTTTATATATACGAAAAAATGTTCTTTTTAAACATTACTCGAACTTTCAAAAAAAAAAATAGATTAAAACATATAAAAAATCAGCGACTCTTTACGCAATATTTTTCAGAGTCCACCAACATTAAGATGTAACACAATATTTTTTAAGTTTACGAAATAATGAAAAACTACATGATATTCGAGCATTTGATAACAAGATGTAAGACAACAACCACAGAATCCTGTAGGAGGAGAAAATGTTATTATGATGAAGAAATAAAAATTATGAAGTGAGAAAAACATCACATTTATAAGATTTACATTATAGACGAGGATGAAGATGGTGAAAAAATGAAATGAAAAGAAAGTAAAAGCAATAACCACACAAATTTTTCTATATATACATTACATTATATATTAAATTATTATATATTTAAAGGAAAAAAGAAATAAATAAAAGATTAATACATTATATTAACTGTACATGAAAAGCTTTGAAAAGGTATTTAACAATATTATTAAGACGATGGGACAGAAGAAAGAGAAGAAATTAAGAATAAACACTATATTTATGAATTAGTAAGAAAATATATCTATTATTATTAAACTATATTGAAAAGAAATGAGAAAATAAAATGAATTAAAAAATGAACAAAAATATTGACATTAATTCTTATTCAATTATTAAAAGAAGATAAAAGGTGGAAAAACCCGCGGAGAAAAATACATAAAAAGAATATTTAAATTTTAAGACAATTACATATTAAATACATGTTGAAAAATATGATGAAAAATGATCCCTTGCAGTGTAAAAGAATTTTGAAATGAAAATAAAAATGAAAATCACTGTAATAGACGATTGTGACAGATGTGAGGAGGACAAGCTACCTATTTAAGAAGATATATTTAAAAATAGTCAAGAATATAATAAATAACAAGAACAAATACAAAAAAATACTGAGGAAATTTACACACAAACAGAAATTGAAAAAACATCTTGAGCAAACACAAAAATTCACCTGACTATGAAATGAGACCTTTTTGAGTTTTTCAATACTGTAATCGAAACACTTTTTTTTAACATCGTGCTCATACCGAAGTTCCAAAAAGAACCCTTAAACACATTAGGAAATGACGTGATCAGTCTGAAAGTGATGCAAAGCTAAAAGAATGTAGAGAAGCAATGATAACCACCCTTTTTGACGAACTCACATCAAATTCCCTTCCATTTCCCGCCCATTTTTCACCCCATCCAAAATGATAAGAAACTGATAAAATGTTCGACATCAACTCATTACACTTCACCGAATTTTATCTACACTTTATAGATAAAGAAGAAAATATGATATAGAAAAGATGAAATACGTATTTAAGGAACAATTATTTAATCATTCTAATGTAGATTTATTTACTCTAAAAGAAAAGGAATGAAATGAAATACCATTTTCACCAACAAGGGCGCTTTTTACACAGTTTAGAAGGAGAGATGAAAAACCAACCCTTGGGAAGTGAGAACACGAGGAAGAACATAACACTATGAGAAAATAAGCAGAGAAGTAGAATGGGAGAAATTATACAGTGAAATTAAGATGAAACTCGCCACTCACGAATACAATTTCTTTATTTTAGGACTCTTTAACCATAAAAATTTATGATGAAAAGAATATTTACTAAAAAATGGATTAATCTCGTAATGGCAAAGACACCAAGTCGGTGGAAGATTGTGGAAAAGAATAGTCTTAAATTAATTTTAAAGAAAGAAAATGTGGAAGACAAGAGGAGAAATTATAAAACAATTAAATAAAATTTTAATGAAATACATGAAATATTATTATGAATGTGTGATGGATGTATACATAAAATAATTGTACAATGTACATAAGATGAAACAAGAAATAAAGAACCCTATAAAGAATTCATTTGGGTTTTCCTCGCCAATTTGGAGGCTGATTTCCAAGGTAAGATCGTGAGCTCTTGAGGAGCATTATCACCATCAAGACACACCAAAATGCATGCCATAAATTTGGCGTGTGGAGTCCTCTGAAGATGCTCGCCTGGGACACAAAAGGATCCCTTGCATTCAGTGCCGTCATTATTTTCCCACTGAGGTGTCTCACTGATTTAAAATGCAAAACCCTCCCACTGCCACCCAAGGAGTTGACGAATACCAACTCGAGTGGAATATTCAAGTTGCGAGACGTGTCAGGAGATGAAACAACGAAAGGTCGCCCCCTTTTCAATGGGACGCAAATGACTGACTCAGCTTCGGCGAAATGAGGGTGGAATAATTACGACGAGAGGGTGTCTCAGCACAAATCCCGCATCATCCCCGCCATGGATTCCTTCCCGGTCATTCCTTGCCTTGATCTCTCGAGCCACTTCTGTAATACAGAGCCGGCTGAGGTGCATTTGGGGCGCACACTTGACACTTGTGCATGCTCAGAGATTGCGAGAGATTGGCGGCGAAGCCTCACTTCCTGTCTGTGAATATTAATTAACCATTGAAGATTGACGCGATTGATACCAGAAGTTGACTGCAAATTTAAGGACTGCATGAATGAAGTAAGTTTGGACCCAAAAAGATTCTCTACTCAATTCAAATCGATCTGAAACTCTAAATCTAGAAGGATTTGGCTAATACGTTTTTGGTGTTGGGTAAATGAGGTCAAATTTGGAGCAGATTAAACCAGCATAACTCATACTTTACAGTCTGAATTTTGAATAAAACTGAGAATTCTATTCATAGAAACCATTTCATAATAATCTGTGTAGTCAGAAGGCAGTCAAATTTATACCGCTGAACAAAAGACTTTCATATTTAACACATAAACTAAGATGACATATTTCAAGTGGTACGATACTCAGGCTCCAAACGAAAGAAATCATTTAACTCTTAAGGCTATTTTCTCACTGCAAAATCATAAAATTGTGCCACTTCTTCATATTTGAACCAACAACCGCATTTTATCTAAATTCATGAAACTACATCACACAATGTATTGTCCTAAATAATAAATTACACAGTCATTTGCGACAATTGTGATCCATACTAGTGCAATAAATCAAAGTATTATATCTTTTTAAGTTTAAAATGTAAATTTTCACTCTTTGCGGAAGCCATAATGTGGACGAATAAAAGGTCAATCCACTATTAGATAAATTTTCAATGCCCATATAAATTTAGTACTAATAAATTGTCACATACACAAAATTTTGCACAATGTGTGAGAGAATTCTGGGAAAATGGCGTGTGCCCCTGAGAATGAGAGACGGAAGAAGAGCCCCGAAAACTGGAGTGGAAATCCTGGGTGCGAGATTTCCTCGACGGGCGCACACAACCCAAAGTGGGTGGCTCGAGTCATTAATCAGAAGATGTGTGCCGCTTTCTTATCTCACTTCCTCCAGGGAATTTTCGCACTTTGTGTGCTGATGATGTGCGGGTACCTGCGGATTTTCTCCCGTGCAGGCTCAATTTCGTGAAGCGCGACATGTGCAAAAGTGCTCCTCATTTAAATCCCTAATACCATCCACCCATCCACCCACATGACAATCGTTTTGTCGCACACGCGAAGCGCCTTTTTCCACATACAAACACACACACACACACATCTCGCACAGTTTCTGAAGAATTATTTGCATCATTACGCAAACCCCCGCCGCCCGCCGGATCAGCCGCGCGCTTTCCGAATCATCCTCGCGTATTAATGTCTCAATTAAGTAAGATTCGCGAGGCAACGCAGCTTTTGCATTTATTGCACTACTAATTGCACACTTGAGCGCTCTTATTAGACTTTCTCCACTGGAAGTTCAATAACTCTCAAGATGCCTCGGCAGATATCATTGGAACTGACAGTTTGTCCCACACTTGGCTTTCTTCGAAATTCATGAGAACTCTGCTTTTAATTGATACTTGATGTAGAACGACGTTTCCTCGAGAGTTACACTGTGGAATGAGATGGCCAAAGTTGTTTGCGATACTTTACAAAACATGCGTGTTATTGACGTTCTGGTGCAATAGTATAATGTTGAAAGTACTCCATCGATTTTACAAGATATTTCTACAATGAAAATATCTTTTGAGATATTGAACGATTTTTTTCTCTCAAAAAATTTATTACCCTTTTATTGGATTTTAAATTGTAAAAATTGAAATACCAAATGAGGTAGGTTTTAGTTAAGCCAAACCCTTTATCAAACCTCTGACATTGAATGTCTAGCTGATTGTCCTCTTTCTCTCTCTCTCTCTCTCTCTCTCTCTCTCTCTCTCTCTCTCTCTCTCTCTCTCTCTCTCTCTCTCTCTCTCTCTCTCTTGACTTCCTCATAGGCTTGTGATTCTCGCTCGCTGCTAAAATATAGCAAAAGAGTAATTAGGGGAACTTTAAGAGAAATGGCGGGAATTTAGGGGATTTTCTGAGAAGGCACATAAACGATTTCTGAGGATTTTCGACTGGATTATTGCTTCATTTTTTCTCCTTACTTAGGCAACCTGTCCTCAGTAAACGGGAGGCTCGCGAGGGGAGTCCTTCAGGGCTAAAGAAAAGCGAGTCGTTTTGTGCAAAAATCGATTCTCTTCTCTCCCCTCTTGCCTTCACTCCTTGTTGCAATTTATTTCTCTCGAGGCGTCTCTCATCCAGCAAAATAATCTCAACTTCCGCCTCACTGAATGTCCTGCCACCCCCAACCCATCATCTTCCACCCACCATCCCCTCAAACCACCCGGGAAAACTGAGGAATTCTGCACGAGTCTGTGTGTGGCACATTCACATGATGTATTACGGGTTATGAAAATGATCTTTTCAACATGAAAATTGTGACAAGGACAGAAATCTCCCGAATAAATCATCCGAGACGCGCCGAGTGGAGTGAGATGGCATGGCCGGTAAGGGGTTGAGAGATGGAATAACTTAAGGTGAAAGTCTCAATAACAAAAATTTGATTTATTTGCCAACATCGCACAATTCTGACAAAATATCCTTTTTTGCCCTTCCACATTTTCTTGTTTGCCCAGCCACACTCCAGATATTTTCGCCAAAGTCTTCTCTTTTGGGCAATTGATGGGCTTTTCAGGGGTGGTTTTCTCGAAAGTTTTGCCAATTTTGCGTGATTTTTCAGCCAGAGCGTATCTGGGAAAATATTTGAAGAGGAAAGTCAGATAGATCACGTCTCTAGAGCTCTTCATAGATTAAATAAGAAATGAATATTTTTTTCTGCAAACTGTGTTAGCGCTCTGGTCATACGATGCGCAATTGTGTCATATTTTGCATTTTCCCACTTTTTATGTGCCCATAACTATTGCACACCATATCATTGATTCCTAAATAATGGACAACGTGCAATAATTTTAATGACATGCTCATGCATCATGCAAATCAAATAACAAACATGATATGCATATTACATCCAAAAAGTTGATCCAAAAATCCTCCCCAGTGTGGTGCATTTTTCGGCGAGGGCGAATGTGCGTTGTGTATTTCCCTTTTTCTGAAAGATATTCCGCTCGACGTACTTCAATTTTGGGCGGATTTTTGCGGATGCCGTCACTGTGCGAACACCCACACACACAGCAGATCAATGCGATGCTGTGGAAATAATGAGAAGAGTGTCTGGAGCATCGCACGAAAAAGTTGTGGAGACTTAAGCCAAGAAAACACCTCACAGAGAAAAGCAGGGGAAGTTGGGGGCCGGCGAGATTCCATCGGAAAGTCTTGGAGACAAGTTTTTCTGTGGGATTTATCGGGTGGAAAATGGAATCACATCGTGAGTGATAAAATCAAACCCTCAAGAAGTGGCTTCCTTAATCCTTCGAAATTAAAATGTGGGAAGAAGCTGAGCCGAGTCTGTGGGGAGTAATTCCAATTCCTCGTGTGTCTTGCCTTTTCCATCTCTCTAATCCTGGGGGCCAGAGAGAAACACTGAGAATGGTGGGTCAGGAGGGACTCTTTGGGCCCAATTATTTATTCAACTCACCAAGTGAGACACTATCAGATACAAATTGTAGCACTTTTCCACCGTTGCCCACATTGTCCAACCCCACGATCCATTTGGCATGTGTATTTTATGAATTATTCGCCACAGAGATCCGGACAACTTTTCGCATAAAAGCTGTGGGGCAAATGGCCTGTGACACTTTTTGTGGCTTCGGGCCATCATTTCAAAATTTTATAGTGCAATCAAGGAATAATGCTCATGATGAACCTTTTTTACCACTCATCAATTATTCACATACAAAGAATTACCTATTCTCAAGCACCACACATGAAATTTCAACCTATTCTTTGGCATAGGGAAAGAATGGACCACTGACTTCTCTATAGTCAAGACGCCCTCCGATGAACCTACTAAACCTGGATGATCCAGGCTCAATATTCATAAAATACTCCGTCAAATGCTTAAATGTACTCACAGTTGACATATGAATAATCTTCTGCCACACATCTTTGTGATGTAGGAGTCTTTAATTCCTGCCATACGAGTTCCCTCATGACTGTAATGAAGTGTTCCATCCCCGAAAGGGCGAAAGCCACTCAAAGGGACTTTTCGGGGAAATATTTCGAGGGTTGTTGAACACAAGATGACCACATTGGCGAGCAACATAATCGACACAAAGAGGCTGCCAATTAACAGCCTTTTCCGTTTGAATTCCAATCACGCTTCTCACACAATTTCCCGTGCATGGAAATATTCAGCAAAAACAGTCACATTTTAAACTATTGATGTGATTTCCGGTGCCGCAAAATTTTCCAGATAGGCCGAACGGAGGAGGAATTATTCACACTGCCATCAATTTTCCATTGACTCCATTGGCTATTTGACGTGGAACATCTCTCAAAAGTGGGTGTATTTTTTCCCAATACTTGTCTAGAATGTTGCTATTCGCTGTGCTAAATTATATCTCTCATCCTGAATTACCTGGGAAAATACCCATATTTTCTATCATGGCATTTCGCCATTTGGAGCAAATTTTGTGCATTTCACGGAGTGCATATTCAATTTTCAGTAAATTCATCACTTTTCCCGTCCAAATTCACCCTTCCCATGGCTTCCGATCATCTGCATTCGCGCTTCTCCGTCCCGCCCGCCCGGAAGCTGCAGCCGCTGGCCGAACGGCGGCCGGCCGAGTGGCGGGGGTGGCACGGAAATATGGGCCCCGGAGAGCGTTTGCGACTATGTTTTACAAGCTTGTCTCTGTGTTGAATTTGTACGTGTCGGGGCACAATTCGGGGGTGAGCTGGAATGTGTGTGAATCGATACTGTCTGTATTCCATTTGGAGCGCCTCTCTCACCCCCGCCCGGAGATTAATATCACATGTCCGAGCATCTAATCACAACCTCCAAAGATTAATTGAACAGCATCCTTCTTAGCCAATCCCGCAAGACGCTCAAATTGAAATAACCCCTCGGAAAATGTATTTTGTCATTGTAGGTCACAATGCGCACGTGAAAAGAACGCCTGCTGCCAATGAAATCGAGACGATTTTCATGGATGAATTTATGTCTCATTACGAAATATGAGTGCAGCATCTAAAACAAACAATTCCAATCGATTAATCACTTTTAGAGAACCCCTTTCAATGCAGCTGACAAGAAGATCAAGGGGTTTCAATAACAGGAGAAGAGAGCTGTCAGGCAGGATAAAAGAGTAGTTATGAATAACGAAAAATTCCAGATGTATTAATTTTATAATATTTTATTCCAATATAATATACATAATTTTTCATGGAGTATTAATAAAAGAATATTTCTGATTGGGATCTGTGTCTGCAACCCCCTGATTTGCCACCCCAAACTATGTACACACTTTTTTCCTACGTCCCAATAAAACACTACATTCGTCAAATCAAATATCGATGGGACAGGGAGTAAACACAACTGGCAAGAGTTTCATTAGAAACGGGAAATAATTTATTTAATTTACTTTTACCCCTGCATATTGCCGCCTGTTCCACGGGCCCGCGTCGCGAGGCGCATTCCCCAAAAGTCGTTAATCTTTAATGGAGTTTAATGACGAGTGTGAGGTGTCACTGCCAATATCCTGGCACTTTTGATGGGATTCGAATGGTGGTACGTGAGGAGCGGAAATGTGCGATGACGAGGCGGATTTCAGCTCATTTGTCGCCGATCAACTCGCGGCGGTGTCTTTCATACCAACTGGCGCTGTTCTGAATGCACTGCGCCTCATTGTAGGGCGGCTCGTAGTCTAGGTGAATGCTGGCCCTCAACCTGCAATACATCATTATGGATGAGGAATAGGCGATGAGGCCGCGAGGCGGGAAAGGCAGTGAGAGTCCAAAAAGTGGCTTCAGCACGATCAAAACCAGTAACTCCAGCATCCATGCGAGAAAGTACGTGAGGAATCCTGGCAAGGACCACCACGTGGGCCGTAGCTTCGCTTCCTTGGGCAGCGACTTGGATATTCGTTGACAGAAGCGAATGGTGTCCTCGATCGGAGTGTCGTCAGTAATGAATATAGGCAATCCGGAGATCTTTTGCCTGGCAAAGGCATCACCCAGGGCTCTCTTGGCACAAATGTGAGCCCACGCGGCATTGCCCACGTACGTGAGTTGCTGCTTTCCTCCCACGCCCGCTATCCGCGGAATCTGGCCCCCAAAGCGAACACCAATTCGCATTAGCAGAGGGAAGAACCTCTCATCGCACTCGCCGTATAGAATTGTGGGCCGCAGGGCAACAGTTCTTAAAATTTCTGTGGAGCAAATTCAGGAAATAAAGGAGTGAAATTTCACAAAGAATCAATTGAATTGTCAAAACAAGGAGGAAATAACAAAGGAATTTACTGTTATAGTACAAAAAAAAACATAGTTTCAAACATTTGGTATATGCCATTAAGTCATGAAAGTTTAAAAAGACATATAAAATTTTATTCTTCCATCCATTAATATGCAGGTCAATTGTGTCACTCTGCATGTATATGTATAGGGATTATGTCACAAAGCTCACCATTTGAGTCTCTGAGAGGAGTTCCGTTGGCTTCCAGAACGACATTTTCTGCTCTCAACTTCGAGGCCAAATAGCCTGGAATGATAAATTCCCTCTCGTCCTCTGGTACCCTGGCTTTGCCCTCAGTTTGGTTCAGGATCACGGCGAAGGTGCTGCCCATGTAGGGCACCAGAGTCACAGCCGAAGTGCTGGTGAAAACTAGCCTGGGCACGCGATGCTTCACGCACAGCTTCACAACATTCCTCGTGCCTGAAAAAATCAAATGGACCAAAATGGGGTGAGAGATCTCTTATTGGCGAAGATGCCACGTGAATGTCGTAAAAGAAGGGCAAAGAGACTCTTTTTATTGTAGCACGATTCGCTTCGTCCTTTTCGATTTATCAATTTGGGCATTGCTGAGATTCACACGAATAGGAATCACATCGCATTGCTAGCAGTACACATGTATGTATTGAATCTCATGTATACTAAGTCAAGAGCATACTTTTGTGCTAATGAAGAGTTTCTCAAGTGCATTTCATAAATAAATACATAATGATTTTGCAACCGACAAAAAGCTCTTCCAATGTTATTCATAAAAGCCAATTAAAACTTTTCCTTTCAAAGTCTGAAAAAGAAAAACTACCAAGAAAGGATACGCAGCAAAAAAACTCGATTTCCTTGCATTCTTGCAGATCAATTTGCCAAAATGAACGGAAATAATTCGCACAAAATAATTTGGCAGAGTTCCCAAAATGAATTAAGAGTGTTAGAATTCATTTGATTTATTTTTAATAATAAATCGTCAGCAATAAATTAATTGTTGAGCGAGCCAATCAAACGAGAAGGGCATTAACAACAAACTTTTCCGCTTAAATTGGCTCCTTGCTTGCCCCACTTTCGCCCATCCCCAAATAAACGGGAGGATAAGACAGAAATTGATTGAAAAATAGACGCTCGGTGAAATTCATGGAAATGCGCCATTTTTTGCCAGACCATTTAATTTTTTGCTGATAGGACGTTTGAAAAATGATACAGCAATAAAATGGTTCGATACAATTCAAGCAAATTGAAACAATTGCGCCTAGTCGAGATTCCAGACTGAGAGAATGACATTTATAGAGTGCTAAATAATTATTACATATATGTCAAGTATCTAAAATTAGAAGATATGCATTAGAAAACAATATTATTCTCTTGTCGGAATTCACCTGTAAAGGCGAACTCGTGAACTCCATTGAAAGCAGACGGAATATTTTCCCATCAGGCCTTCTCATTGATTTGCCATCCGTGAAAATGTCAGTGACGACCCACGATTGGGGGAGAATCGTGAATTTGTAATGGCGCTGAGCGTTTGGAGGAATTTGCAGCGTGATTGAATTTCCCTGGGAGTTTTGTCCATCGTGAGTCATTTCCTGTGACGCCGGGAAAAGGCGAGACGCGCGCGGGGGAGGCGGGAAAAAAGAGAAGAAAATCACTTACCATCCACATTCACACGTTCTAATTCAGTTACATTGGGAGGATATTGAAAATTAATGTAGGCAGCGCAGTGAAAGACACAGTCAACACCCTCAAATGCCATTTCCCATTTCATATCCACATCGCAAATGTCTCCGATGAACGTGGTAATTTTCTTCGATGCACCGTGATCTGCCGGGGAGAAGGTGGAAAAGTGCTATTAAGTTGTCTCGCGTGAGGAAATGAAAAATTAAAGTCAACACTAAACTGTACAGTCTGATGAATAAAGTTCTTTGTGATGGGATATAATGCTTTCTTGTGTTTTTCCACGTAACTTTATCAGTTTTTCCTATCACAAAAGTAAAAAACAACGCAAAACTACAACTAGTTTTAACAAAATATGCGTTGAAAGTTTTTATTCTTTGCACTGTACTGAAAAATATGTATAATAGTACTGGAAATCATTTTCCAATAGCATTGATTCAAAATGTAGAGTGTTTGCATTTCACGTCCAAATTTATTTTGGATGTGTTTTCCAGTTTTTCAAAAAGCCAATTGCAGTTTCCTCCAGTCCAGTGTTAATGGAGGGCGTGAATGAAAATTGTCAACTCACTCAGTCTGTTCTCGTATGGCTTAAGGTCCAGCACACGGATTTCCTGGACACTGTCCTCCTCCTCGATGAGCTGCTTCACGAGGTGCTGCCCCAGGAAGCCGCTGCCGCCTGAAGGGGTGTTCGCAGTGTCACCCCAAATCAGGCACCATGAGAAGAATCAAACGATGATGAGAATTTTTCACTCAATGGCACGCAAATTGCCATTAAAAATAGCGCCAAAAAGTGCGCGCCACAGAAAAGTTCTGAATGGCGGATTGGAGAATACAAAAAAAAACACATTCAACTCACCCACAATTAGGACAATTTCGGAGCTTTTCTTCTTCACTGTCATGCTCGTGGCCTCTATTTTTAAAGGCACCCACGATGATAATTCACGAGGATGGAGAGGAAAAGCAGAGTGAATGAAAAGAATAAAATAAATTAGATTGAGAAATTACATTTGATGGAAATTGTGAGGCAGGCAAGAGGAAAAAATGTCTCTCTCTCTCTTCTTTGCCCGGAAAAAAACACCACACAATTGGGAGGAAAAAAGTTTCAAGTGGGGTTTCTACACCCCAAATTCTCCCACCAATTCCGCTTCTTTGCAAATAAGAGAATTACAAAGGCCGCGAGGAAATTGAGAAATGATTTGATAAAACAACAAGAATCGAAAGGGAGAAAAATATTTTTCAAAATAAAGAAAACGTTTATAAAGCTCGTGAGTGTTGAATCAGGTTTTCTTGCAAAATTCATGGCATTTTGCGCTGTTTACATATCCAATCGACGGATTGACATATTAGGCTAAGCAACCAATTAAAATTCCCAGTGTTTAATCATCTACCACCAAAATCTATTGTATCCGATGCTTTCCCACGCGTGCTTTCTGGCTAAAAATACACATGAATACATTATGATGAACTTTAACTGGCAATGGACGTGAAAAGATTTTCTCCTCATTCTCGGTAAAGAGTTGATCTTTAGAAGAGTGTGGATTTGGAAATACATAAGCTATATAAGCATGTTTCGTCAAGTGCGATATTATATGAAATAATTTCGCATTAAAATGTAAATTGTCAAATCTACAATTTAAATAAAACTCAGCACCAATATGTCACCCTGAACGTATGGAAATTATCACAGCTTTTTTTTATGCGAACCGAGAGCATAATTACAAATCAAGAGTGATATTTTCCACATGCATTCCAGATGCAGTTTTTTGGGGTGAAATATTCGCAGCCCATTTTTGAGTGGTGAAAAATGTCAAAAGACTGTCGCTGTGATGCTGTAAATCAAAACAATCACTCTTTTAGCAGAAAATTAACATGGAATAAATTGTGACTCATTCGCTGAACCACTGAAAATCACTCGGCATCGCGTATTTTATAAGGTTTCATAATTTTTAACACCGCTGAAATGCCAAGCAAAGTTAGAGTGTAACAAAAAAGAGGTTATTTTGACCCAAATCGACAAAAAAGCGTCAGAATTACACTTTGAAAAATCATTGAAACTTTCACTCTTTTGCTTCTTTTTGTCCTCTTTTTCCTCCATCAAGGCTTTCCGTGAATATTCATCGATATAAATGATGGCACGAAATAATGTTTTAATATAAAAATTCCTCCACTTTCATGGCAACAATTGCAATATTTAATTTATTGCTCTTTTTTCCTCCTTCCCTCTTTTACACTTTTTATATCCTGTGTTCACGGCTTTTTCCAGCACTCTGTTAATAACATTATCATATTTTTTTTAAATCCCTTACATATTCACTATAGTTGCGCCGGAAAAATTTCACCAATAAATCGATTAAAATGCTCATCAATTGAAAATTTTATCTCACCATCTCGCTTTTTGTCCAACATCACAAATAGTTATATCTTTCATACAGTGACTGTTTGTTATTGGATGATAACAGGACATTTTTTGTTGGGATATCTTAATTCTATGAATAATGGACATTTTTCTCCCACAAGCAATCGCATATTTTCATTGGGTTTTACAACAAATTCGTTTTAATTACTGACTCTCATGGTATTGATCGCCTCGTAACAGTTGAAAAATTAGATAATCATACAATAGTAGTAGTTTTGAGAGGGAAATCGAGGAAAAATACATGTTTATGAGTGAGTGAACAGAGTTTTAAAAGAAAAAGCTCGATAAATGCAAGATGAATTCACGATATACACACGATTGGAAATGGATTAGAGTCTCAGATAACGAATGTTTTAAAGGTTGTCTTACGACAATATCATGTTATTGAAAGAGATTTTGAGACAGACAATCAATAGGGCTGGTCAGTTTGGCCTTCAAAAGGAAAATAATCATCTTTTATGTTTTCTTTGCGCAACACTTGCATGCTTTTGTCAACAGTTTTTTTTGTTGTTTAGAGGAAGACCTCAATGTCATACAGTTCTTATATTCAGAAGAATTCCTCTTCACATCTGCATGCAAAAAATATCTCGATGTGTCTAATTATTTCACAGATATTTTCAGAAATATCCGAAAAGGTTGCTTCACAATGAGACAAACGACGAGAATTTAGCGGATTGCACGTCCAATTTCAGGACAACACTGATAATGTATATCGCTCATCCACCTTGCATCACCACTCCACAGTCACCCCGATGTTCACCCTTCGCCCGAGGCCGCGTGGGAGCCTTCGGAGTGCAAAAAGCTCGGCACAGAATGCCATCTTTCACCCTGAGAATAAAAGGGAGTCTCCAGAATGGCACAAAGAACACCCACTCACACGGAATATCAAGTGAAATGCGTGGATTTGAGTCCGGCTGGCAGAATCGATCGCGAGCGGCTGAAAAGTTGATTGATCGAGTGCAATTGTGTGACTGAAGGGGCACGAAAGTGAAAATGATGCCCGAAGAGGCAAAGAGAGGCGCACACAAAAAGAGACCCCAAGCAACCTTTTTTTTCTTGCCTTCACGCAGTCTTTCATGTCGATGTGTCTTTCACAACATACACACTGAATTCCGACTCTTTTCGACAGCCAAAAGGCCCCCAAATTGCCTATCTTTCTTCTTCCCTCTCATTCGACACATAAATGCGCGTCTATCCCTCCCACCTGGTCAGGTTTCGCGCCATTCAATCACGAAAGACACTCCATTGCGCGGCTCACACTTAACACTCCGTCTGGCCGTGAAGCGGCGAAAGAGTAGAAGAATTTGAGAGGAATCGAGGCGATGGTAGGCAAAGTGTTGAGCCATGAGATTGTGTAAGCTTTGCTATTTCGTGTATATTTTAAAATCAAATTTCAATGTCATCGGCAGCTAATCGCACTTCTGGGGGATATTTGAGTGGGATTGCCAAATGTTTTGGCCACTCAAGAGCCACACACCGAATTGTTGCAGTCCAGCGTGAAAACGCAGAGAAACTGGCTGCCAAGCACACCTGAAGACCACTTCGAAGTGCCAATAAACTTGCTCATAAGAGGGGAAATTAATTGGAACTATGCACTTGCTCGAGAAATTATATAAAATGAGAATAACTAATAAACTGTTCAAACACACAGTCGCATTCGACAAAGTACTGATTATGAACCCAAATGATAAAATCAACAGAATTCATGCAATATATTTTATATATTTTCGTTGCCTTCGTCCAACTTAAACTCACCCTAATAACACAATTAAAAGTAAATAAATATAATACAATACACTGGAATAAAATTTTATAATAACATCAGAGAACTTCTCCCTCTCTTTCAAGTAGATGAAAATTTCCAACAAAAGTAAAAATTGAGTAATTTAACCCTACAAAACTAAGTGCAGATGTGAATATTTAAATGTTCCAACATTTGCCGACTCTTTCCTCGTGTTATTTTCTCGATACATAGACAAAAAGTAGTACTGAATCACTTGAAATTGAGAGTCATTCGAGAGCGGCAATTGAGCTACTGAAAATCATCTTGTATCTTCATGTGCCTTGTTAAAATTTCATTTAAGTACCTAATAAAAATGTTTGCACTCGAAGGAAAACTCCCAATGAATCCAATTCAATCAATATCTGAGTGTTTTCGCTTCACTCTGGGGGTTTTTTTTTTGCCCTCTCTGTCTTTTTTTCCTTGTGTAATGATTTGTAGATGAGATTTTGAGGCATTGTTTAAGTTTCTCTCCTCATGCTTCACACACAGCTAAAATGTCTCTTTGGAAACTCTATCGTTATGATTTATTGTCTCACCTTGAATTTCTTCTCTTTTACTCGTTTTTTTTGCTGTCTCCCGAGAGACACAATTATCGCGTGAATTTGAGTAACATCCACCGATTAAGGTGACTATCTATGTGAATCTCTACGTTTTGTTTAGGCATTTCTTCTCATCTTTGGGTGTGTCCTAAACGCCATTCATTTACCAATTTGAGAAAGATTCATTATTTTCTCACTATGTAATTTGCATTATTAGACTCTCATCTTTCTGCCCTCCCATGAAAAACTTCATCCACCGAGAAGTTTCCCTCAGTTTCTCTACTCCTCAATAAATCAATTTTCGGAGAAGCTGAAAGAGACAGACAATCAATTAGCAAAAAAACACAAAGTGTTCAGCAGACACACAAAACTCACGATTTTCTTCTTCTCTGGTGTTTGTCGAGAATCTTGGCAATAATTGACACAGTCAATTAGTAACTTGTTAATTTGCATAATTTCTCTCTCTCTCCAATGTTTCCGCACAAGAAATAAATATTCACTCTCACACTCGCCCTTCGGCACTTCTGCCACCCAATCTCATTAGGCAGCGCCTCCGCCTCGCCTCAGTAGGACAGCGCTGAAGCCGATCGCGATCCCACCGTGAAGTCTTTGTATTGCGAAAATACGGAAATCTGCAAAACAAAGACAGCTGAATTAGCAAAAGTTACTCATTTGTTGTGATTTTGTGTTTTTCCCAGAATCCGTGACTTGATTTCAATTCCAGGTCAAATTCATGTCTATTATGATGAAAAAATTTTGATAATTTGGACAAATACGTAAAAAATTATTTCTAATTTTTATTCAAAAGAAAAAAGTAATATTAAGAACTCTTTTGCACTAGCCTCATATTAAATTTATGGACTGTACAGTGAAATAACGCCCATTCCTAAACCCCGCCTACTGTCCTACTTATAAACTCAGTACTCAGCGAAGTGACTTCAAAATGTCACATGAATAATTCCCTTACTGCACTAGGAGGAGAATTTAATCACTTTTAAACCCTTAAGTCTCAGTTGGACCCATTTCTCCGTGACATGTTAATTCTCTGTGCATTTCACATTGCCCGGAAAAGCACTGGGTATGAAAATTTGCCACAATGATTCGATTTTCTCCTATAAAATATCGATTTTTCCTTCGTCAGGTTTTCGCATCTCATGAATATTTCATCACACTTTTCCTGATCAATATTCATTGAAGCTAGAGTGCGACAGAGCCCAAATATTGCAAATTCTAGACTTTGTGAACTCAGTCTTTGACTGAGGTGTTAATTCACACTCAAGTGTTTCACCACTTGCGTCAATGCGACGCGCTGAGTATCGATTGAAGGCAATATTATCGGGCAATACAACTGATAAAAGTGTGTGACCAAGAAAAAAAAGGCAAGTGTGTTTAGAATTCAGCGATAGAATAATTCTGTTTGTCTGCAATTTGTTTGCCACAATTTGTATTTGACAATCACTGTTTTCCAAATATTAATATTTTATCTTTGGTTTTGTTCTCATTTAAAAATTACGTGATTGGCATCGGCAGTTTGGAAGTCAATTGCTCTGTTCAATTATTCAAATGACAATATTTGACTTGAATGCTTTTGGCAAATGTTCTCCTTTTTCCCTTTGCACAACAATATGTCTCTTTCCCTCTCTATTATACATACAGGAAATTATGTATGAGGATGAAAAATTCAGGAAAAAATGTGTGTAATTGGAGATTTTTGACATGAAGAATATTGATGTGTTTCAGTGCACGTGAAGGCAAATTATCTAATGTAAATATTGTCACAATGTCTTTATCGTTATGAAATCAGTTCAATCGCCTCATTCAGTATTTATGTTTTCTTTCCATAATCACAATTAATTCCATGTCAAGTCTCCAACTATTGCTCACAAGGCCCAATAAATCTTGGAGCTTCTCTCTTAAGTCTCGCATTTTGCAATACAAGTGGCGTTTATTGCCTCTGCGATAAATGATAATCCATCATTTCAATGTCATAATTCAATTTGGAACTAAGAAGCGATGCCACAAAACAGAATCGTTTCAGCTGAATAAATTTCATCAATAAACTCAAATGGTTTTTCGGCGCTTGTTTTCGCCATATCGTCTCAATAGAGGAATTAATGTCAATTTACCTTGTCCTTGAGTTGCTGGCAGAGTTGCAGAGACACTGTGAAGAGGACCAGGACGTCGTTAAGCCACGGTACCGAGCATTCGCCCTGGTAAGTGTCGAACTTCATCGTTCCCTGGATATTGGTTAGTTGGTACACAGCGAAGATGAGCTTGTGGCTCTGCAGATAGAAACTGATGGCGAGATCTTCAGGAAGATTCGGCGACAGGGATTTCTGTAGGCCCAAAAGAGGGATTAAGAACACGATTTTAATCGATATATAGTCAAATACTTACCATATTTCTACTCTTCATCAATTCATCGATGGATTTCTTCTTTGGGATCACGAGACTCGATCTTCCTCGACTGAGAGCATTTAATATGTTACTCAAAACATGGAGAACTTCATCAGACGTCCTGAAATAGCCAAAAAGTCATTAGTATTCACTTCCAAGCATCACATGGAAACAATCACGATAGAATTAACATAGATCGACATTCAGCTAGTAAATTTAGTAATTATCATTCTCACGCGAAAATTAAGTTTCCGCCCTTTTCCCCGCCTCGCACTCTTGATCACTTACTTGAACGTGTAATTCTCATCGACGTTGTCGATGTGATTGATGGCCTGCTGCAAGTGATTGGCCGCATCCTGAACTTGCTGCAATTTCCACGGTGAGTCCTGATTGATTGAGGTGCGCTGGTTCTGGTGGCTCTGCTGCTGTCGCTGCACCTTGAAGCTGATGTCCGCGTGCGTGATTGCATCCCCCGTGAGCGTCACGACACACTTCAGCTGCTCCTGAGGCACTGTCAACACAAATTTGTCCTGCTTCTTGCCCTCATTGTCATACAGAGGCACCGGAAAGCGTCTGGCGCACTCCACCAGGATCGTGTGAAGTTGCTTCAGCACTGCGTGCACCTCCTCGTGAAGGATCCACTCGAACTCAATTTGCTGAAAAAACACAGACGAAATGGTCAGGAAAGCCCTTCAATCGCCCACGGAATCATCGATTTTTCTTCACAGTAAATCTTTAACATTTTCCCCTGTCCGGAAGTAGTTTTTCAACCACCCAGCAACACTTTGATCCATGAGAAGATAATTCGACAAGGAAAAACCTGAGAAAACACTCTTTAAATGGCTTTTTCTCACACTTACGAGGTTCTGTGCTTCCTCCTTCTCCGTGTCAGCGGCCATTTTTCTACGTTTCCGACGTCGCAACAGAGAATTTTGCGAGATGGCGCTGCGGCGAGTGTGAGGATTTCCGCCATAATACCAGTTACTCATTTTCGCGGCAAAAGCTTGCGCCAAATCAGATGATAGTCAAAAATCGTTGGAATACCAGAAAAATGAATAAAATTTTCACTCAAATAATAAAAACGCGACTCTCTGCTGATGGTCAGGCAAAGACTGAGAGCAATTTGAAGTCACGGTGTCAATAAAAGCTTAAAATTCGAGATAAGATTACACTAGATTACATAAGTATGCGAACGGTGGACTTTAATTACTTCTATTTGATAATAAATCAATATTGATAAGGAGACTGATCGATTAAGAAATGTCAGCTCAATTCATGAATGAGACCTGCCAGGGACGTGATTTCCTCAGCGCATCCTTATCGTAAATGCTTGATTACTTGTAAAAGAATTTTTATTTCAACACTTTGTTGATTCTCTTTCAAATATAGCGGCATTACATGAACATCCAATGGGAGACACATTTAACTAAATATTATCTCAAAGATAACAAAGAATTCTTCCCCTCTTTATCAAGAATTTTGCTAGCAGAATAGCAATATTGGGACGATTTTTTCCACTTCACGTGACAATTTTATCTCACCACTGCTCTTTTTTTTAGCTCGTCACTCTTTTTGTCCGGAGAACTCAAATAAACACTCACAAAATGATATTTGCTTTTGCATAAAGACAGTAGAAAAAGGATGCATCTTTATCTCTCCTTCTCACCATTTTATCAGTCCTTTGAGACACGACAACCAAACAAAACGTGCCACATTGCTCACGAAGACGACAGCACGGCAAAACGCACGCGAGACTCCAGCCGCCCTTCCGGGCGAAATGCAGGGACACTCTGTTGGGACTTCGGGTGGGTTTCCGCCTGGCTAGTCGCTCTGCTTCTTCGGCGACAAATCCAGGTAAATCTTGAGCGCCTTCTCGCGACGCGGCGAATACGTTGAGCCCGAGAATTGATCGGACTTGAACATCTCCTTGGCATTCAACTGCTTCCTGTCCTCAGCCGTGATCTCCTTCAGTTCCTCCTTGGCATCGCGGTAGTAGAACACGTTGCCGTCATTCGTCGACCACGCTTCATAGTCCAGAGGTGTCTTTGTCCACTCTAGCACCGTATTCATCGTCATCAAAGGGATGTTGTTGCGCGGGAAAGCACTGGAGACCTGTGAATGCATCAAAAGGCCTTACAATTGATCCTTGGATACTTTTACAATTCGTCACCTTATCATACTCCACATCATCAAGCGGAATCTTGGACAATTCAGAGATCACCTTTCTCAATTCACCTCCAGACTCTGAAACATCAAAGCAAAACATCAGTCATTGGTTTAACAAAATTTTCCTGAATAAGCAACTCACTTCCGAATGCGATTTCGTGGAAGGGGTCCAGTGTGAGTGTGCTGGGATTCCATCTGCGCAACAAGAGCACCACATCCTCTGGATCCACTTCTGCCGGCGCACTCTCATCCACTTCCTGGAGGATCATCTCGAAGTTCAGTGAAATTGAGATGCCATCGTTAAAGACCTGATCGTCTGTGAAAACCTTTCCGACTGTTCTCCAAGACTTCTTCCTCAAGCGACAGCGTTCGGGCGTGAGGTGGGCATATTTCTCATCCACACTGGCCAGATACTTGATCAATCTGGCCTTTGTGTCCGCCACAGTTGTGCCATCCTCCAGAATCCAGTCACACACAAACGGCAGCTTCTCCATCTCCTCAGACAACTCGGATATCTTCAAGAAGTACACCTTGCACATGTGTTCAGTCTCATTGAGTACACGTCCCAATTCCACGGTTAAGCCTTCGCACTCCTTGTATGAGATCAGCGTCTCAGTCAGCGTGCACTCAATCGATGCCGAGCAGAACTTCCTGATGACATTGAAGAACCGGTCAGGCACACCAACGTGCTCCTCAAGATGCGTCTTCAGCTCCCCAATCTGCATCCTCCTGTCCACCAGCACTTTCATCACATCGATGGGCTTCTCCATGCGATTCCCAGTGCTGCGCTTCTCACACGGGAACGCCTTGAACGTGTACTGGGGCTTCTTCTCATCCTTGGCTGAATGATTGAGCGATACAGATGGTAAACTCTCCACCAGTGTCTTATCCCCATCACTCAAACTGCTGTCCTCGCTGTTGCTCTCCGGCAGAGGTGAAACTCCTCCATTTTCTACCGGCAGCGCTTCTTGGACGGGCGTGGCAGCACGACTGACGGTCTTTGGCTTGTATGCAGGAATTGACAGCTTATTCAGCGTCTCCTGATCACGTTCCGGCAGCACTATATACACCGTCATCAAGTGACTGCACTTCTCCGCCATGATCTTAAATGCTGCCTCCGCATCATCGTCAAGATCACCCTCAGTTCTGGTCACAAACACTTTTGTCGACGCCCTGAGATGCTGTCTCAGTACATTATCATCCTCCTCAAGAATCAATACATTATCCATGCACATATACGCCACATGAAGCTTCTCCGTCTCCGGAACATTCAATTTCTTCTTGATTGCTTCGCGATACTCGCCAACCTTGCTTTTGCCACCATTGGCAAACACATGAATCGGCCCATCGAAGTCCATCGTAGCCAAATCGATCAGGAAGACTCTAGTACTGATTCCCGACTCTTCGTACACGTCAAAAGTCTCCTCTGGATTCCTCGTCTCAATCAGGAGATCGTAAGAACAGTAGGGATTCCACAAATCTCCAATTGGATCTTGTTCTCGCCCTTCAAAGCTTCTTACGGGCGCCTCTGAGTCACGATCGTACGCCACAAGACGGCAATTCTCCATCGGATAGAAAGGACTTACTCCCAGATAGTTATAAGCCCGCGTCAGTGCCACATCCAATGTTGAATTGGCTGTGATAAACCGAAATTGTTAATAAAGTAATAAATGCCAAAATAATAAATTTAAAATACAAACTCACACTGAATATCAATCTGCGAGTGCTCCATCTTCAGCGCAACCGGATGGTAAAAGTACACCTTAATCTTGAGGCCACAATCAAAGATTGGACGATCAGGATCCGACTGTTGCTTGTCCAATCGCTCCGCCAAATCCTTGATATGCTGCGGGAAATCATCCTTGCTCATCACCGATGTATTCCTCTGCGGATCCACTTGTCTGTACATCAGCATGTAAGCGTTGATGCTTGAACTGTAGGCGCCAGAATAGAGCGCTCTGCCACCTCCAAAGGACTTCTGTATATCCTCTTGCGTGATGCTCGTCACAGATTGATCGTTGAAACAATACCACTCACTGGAGTCAAAATCCTTGATGTAGGCATAGTAGTGACCACCGGAAGCGCTCCCAGAGTGGATCATAATGGAGAACAGTTCGTAGATATACGGTCCGGAGGCATGCGAGGCGGTGGTCTTGTGATCAGTGCTGGTGCTCATATCAATACCCTCGTCATCCTCCTGAATATCCTGATCGTTGTTCGTAATGGTGGTTGTGCCTGAACAATTCTCCTCCTCTAATGCCGATCCACTGTCTGTGGTCACAGTGCTGCAATCATCACTAACCTTTGTTGCCACTTCAGCCTCCGCCGAAGCACTCCCGAATCCGGGGTTCGATGTATTCACCAAATTGTTAAGATTCAGCGTCTGTGGGAAAGTCACCCTGCAAAGAACCAACCATTAAATCCTTCCTCAAGACCTCCAAAAACTCCACTCACTTGTCATTCAACTTAATCCTCCGCAGCGTCATGTAGTCAAAATCGAATCTCTTAAGGTGCAGTGTCAAGATGTAGGGAAACTGCGAGAACTTGAGACCCTTGTGGGCATTGCACTTCTTGTTGCACGTCTCGCAGCTGTACTGATTGCCCTCTTCGAGTGTTTCCGGCTGCACAAATGCCCGCAGCGCCTCCTCGACACTCCCATAAGCCACAGTGCTGCCAAAGGGCTTCACCGAGAGCGGGATGTCCAAGAAAGTGTCTTCGCGCGACTTCTCCGTGCCGCACTCAAGACACTTCACATAGTCAGTCATCTTTCCCTGGTACAGTTGATTGATTAAGTCCGCTTGCTGTGTGTTCTTGAACTTCTGCTCCAGAGCGTCAAACATCACACGACACAACTCTTGGATGTCGTGCTGTTGCCACGCTTCAGTAGAGTCCCAGCCAAAACTGCGGGTCAAGTCCGTTGTCTCAATTGAGGGCTTCTCTGAGGTCTGCAAAGAAAAAGATGCTAAGAATATAAAATCTCACTTAAATGGAACTGAAACTCACTTGGAGCTTGAGGAAGAGCTTCTGCAGTTGATAGGGGATATTCTTGCTCTCGCCCACACCGTCAAATTCCCACTTGTAAAGTGCATTTCTGAACTCTGGCGTCATGAAGAGGGCCTGCAAGAGGCTGTTGAGGTAGCATGTCATCGCCTGATTGACCAGACCCACAAAAGCCGTGGTCTTGCGCCTCTCCTTGAACGCCTTCAGCGGCTTCTGATCCTCAATCAGCTCGCAATTAAACATGAGCGCCGGCGGCTGCGGAATCGTCGTGCTGTCGGCGGGCTCTGTTGGACTCGCCGAGGCTCCCAACGCCAGATCGTCATCCGACATAGAGTCCGCCATCGGGAGAGTGTTGATGGATATCTTCTCTGTCACTTCACTGGCCGTGTCCTCCTTCTTCATTGGACGGAGGAGAAGATCATTGTGGCTACCATAGTCAAAATTAATGCCGACCTCCAGCAAAGTCTTGTCCTCGTGTTCATTCAGAAAGACCTGCTGAAAAGAAGCAGAAATAAAATGCCAAACATCCACCAAACCCTCCTTCGGACGAACTCACAAATCCATTTGCCTCAAGCAGCAACTCAAAGGACTGTATATCTGTATTCCTCGCCACGTCCCTGATGAAGTCCTTCACCAGATAATTCGGTCGCACCAGAAATGTGTACTTATTCTGCGTTGAAAGTGTCCTCACAATGCATTTCGTGGATGTGTCGTCCTCTGAGCTTACCATCTCTGCAAGGAAGAGAGAAAGATCATCAATTGACATCCCCAAAAACGGTCACTCAACAGAAAAATCGCATGAGGAGGCGGAAAATATGAAGTCAGTTCCTGTTTTAGCCATTTGTCCGTCTCTCAGCTTAAATTCCATCAAGTATGAATAACTTTTGCTCGACTTCTCATCGCATAAACAAACAAACAACGCACACCCAGGAAAGCACTTTTCATGCCTTCAAGCTGTAAAAATTGTCCAATGAGTGGAAAAAGTGGCTAATTTGGCAAAATGTCCCAAAGAATGATTGTTAATTTGGCTTATCTCTAGCACAACTGTCTCGCAACTTTAAACATTTCACAGCTGAGAATGAGGATCACTTTCAAAGCAAGGCGAGAAGAGGAAAAAAATCGATTGTACACCATTTTAAAGATCTTTCATACAAAATAATTTACAAAAAAAACCATGCAAACACACCACAATTTCGAAATATACGCGCCTTGGTGGCAATCTTTTAAGAAAGTCATCAAATATATGCCAAAAAATTGGGTGAAAAACAAGCCATTCCAATATTTTCCACTCCCTGACTTTCACTTGGAATCCTTCCCAAAAATTTACCGAATTCAAATAGCTGAAATACCATAATTAATCCCCAACATTGCCAAATGTACTTCTGAAAAGAGAAACCCTCCAGAAGCAATCCACGTGAGATTTCCGGGGATTTTCCTCAGCGCGAAAATGGCAAGGCGCACATGAGATGAAAGAAAATCACCCAAATATCTGTATTTGTGTAGATGTGATTCACGACCTCAGTACCATGGTGATCTCAATATAATTCCTCGTGAGAGAATCTTCACGATCTCTCGCACATAATTGTACAACACGCCTTTAAAAATAACTCCCAATAATTTTAGCCACGACGCGCTTTTCTCATATTTTTTGCCTTCCTTCATCATCTTTTGGCCCACGAACACCCAAAAATCTCCACTGCTATTTCCTCACTCGCCGTCCGCGCGCACTCAACAATCCAGATTCCATTCCATCGACTTACCGGAGAAAAATGCCCGCCGCAGGGAAATCAAAACCTAAAGACAGTGTCCAAGAAAGAAGTGACAGAGCGAAAAGCGCAGCACAATTAGCAGATCATTTGCGCGGAGCTGAGAAATGCACTTTTTCTCAACGCGAAGCAACAAGAGTGACTGAAGCCTTCTGGGAATGTGTGTCTCTCACTCCGGTCTTCATCCTCTCAATTTGAGAGCATCACACTTAAGACGTCACGGAAACGCACATTTGCAACACACTTGCGCGATCGAGGGAATTTCGGGAAGAATCTGCCGCACGCGCGCGGACTCACGAGAGAAAGCTCTCGAGGTGGTCGCGCGCAGTTCAATTTTTGCCTGCAAATGCTGTGCTTAAGCGGTGTATTTTCTTATTCCTGGATTAGAAGTAGTGAAAAGAGCTAAAAAAAAATTTAGGTTGAGTCTCAATGCCATATGGCAGCATGTTAGTCCGTAATTTATTATTCTTCAAAAAGTGAGCCATAAAAGAGCCAAAAACATATATACAGGACAGCAGATCTCATTCGGGCAGTAAGTTTGCCATTCAGACATTTTATTGTTTATTGAAAAAGCGAAATTAAAGATTTATTTTATAATAAATTGAGAAATCTGCGTTGATTTTTTAAAATATTGACTTAAAATTATATTTTTCAAAAGGCTTTTCAATCAATTTGACTTTTTGTATTTATATTAACTATTTTATTAATTCATCGAATTAATCATTTAGCTCTGAATTTTGCATATTGCAATTAATAATTGTATTTAAAAAATCTTTTGACTCAAATATTGACGTGTGAAAAAACTCATCAGTGCCAGTTAAGTCGGTTATGTCAGCGACCAATAGAAAATCAAATTCCCCTATTTTCTAATAAGAATTCTGTCATATAAGAAATCTACAAAATGCTTGTTGAAACCATTTTTACCTCATTATTACATCTTCTGCAAATAATTTGCACCCAATTTGCCACATCTAATCACGAAATTTCCAAATGTGCAAGCAATTAAGCTGCGAGGAAAATCCCGAAATGCCCTCGAATCTCTTGCGGATTGTGTTACTGAGCGGAAGCGAGTCTGAAGCTGCGTCTGAGTCTAAAATAAGCCCAAACACATCTCACACTGTCATCCCGCCTGGCCCCTCCTCCAGACTCCTGGGCAGCTTCTCCTGCAAGCGCCTCAGCCGAGGACCCTCCTGGCCGATCCGCCCGCCGACCGTCTTCTCAGTCGCTCTCAACACACTTTGCGTGCGACGATGGGCAAGAGGCCAAGATTGCGCAGCTATTAACGATACAATCGAAGAATTTATTAGCCTACGTCGTCATCTTCAGCTACTCTTGCCACTTTCGTGTCTAAGAAGCCCTCCGGAAAGGCTTCACAGCTCATTCGGGAGCCCTAAAATCGCTTTTGCGTCATTCCTGACCCACCCAGTGGCATCACAGGTGATCGGATTAGTTAGTCGGTGGTGTTGTTATCAGTTTCTTATCAGTTGAGGCTGGAAAAATCCGGGAAGTAGGCGGAAAAAGGGGTGATGATAAAAGAAAGTGATCTGGAACCGGCACAAATGTCCGGGACGCTCAATTTTCACCTAAATACACAGCTTTCTATCACACATATGCGGAAAAGTCCTCATAGGATCTTTTCGCACTCAATTAGGTCACGAAAATGCGTGAAAAGCTCCCAAATACCTGAATAATAGATGAAAATGTCTAAATCTTCACCACCTTTCGACACACTTGAGAAAACTCCTTTTCCACCCCGGCGCTTGCTCAATTTTCCGACGCTTTCACAGTCGGCAAGCTTGTTCTTATCATCCGATGTGGTAAAGGGTTGCTAAATGGCCGGAAAATACAGGGAAATAACTCACCGAAATGCGAAATACACTTCAACGGAGAGAAAATCTCGCCATTCCACTACCAATCGCTGACAACTTGGAAATGCCAATGTTGGTAGCCCTGCACGATCGCAGCGCCACGACTTAGTGAACTCTGGAAGCATGTGCAGTTCTTAGGGAATTTTCTAGAAAATTCTGGAAGATTCGCAGGAAAAACATTAAATTCGCCAGCACACAATCAGTGCATCTCAGTTAAAGATCATCAAGAGGACAGTGATAAAGCCACGAGAAGTGCAGATAGTGACAAAAAGCGACAAACAAGGATTATTGTGTTGAATATTAAGCAAAAGTAAGTGTTTTTATTAGGAAAAGTTGATCAACTTGGGGAAAAATGTAATTTTTCCTTATTTGGCCACAAAATCTCGTGATTTTTCACATCATCTCATTCATGTGTCCCCTTGTCAATCCCCACAAGAGCTTTTCCATGCCGACAAGTGTTACAATGAGGGGGAAAATAGCGCCCCGACCTGTGGCATTGAGACTTCTTTGAGTTACTCTCAAGGGCATCCCACGTCATCAAACCCACGATTTTCCCTCAAGAGACACCTAAATGAGAAAATAACTCTGTGATTCATGCTCTCATGTGTTGGGAAATTGCCTCAAGACCCCATCAAGGGCTTTCCACCGAGTTGATGACGTTTCGTAAGAGCGCAAAAGGCGTTCAAGATGGAGGGAGGGCGAGTTCGCACCCGGAAGCTTTCGATTAATCGACTTTCTCGAGAACTTTCGCAAAATCTCGCGATTCTGGGCTATTTTTGTGCAGATGAGGCACTTTTTCCTTACTTTCCTCTTATTTTCATCTCGGTTTTTCATATTTATGGAAAATTTATCGAATTGGATATTTGGGGCCGTGTTTATATTCTGAGGGTCATTGACCATTTATCCAAAATAACCCACTTTTTTTTTCTTTTCTCTTTGAGCAGAAACAAAATACAATGGGAAAGGATTTCTACAGAATTCTGGGCATCAACAACAGTGCTAGCGATGATGAGATCAAGAAGGCGTATAGAAAGTTGGCGCTAAAGTATCATCCGGACAAGAACAAATCCCCAGCGGCTGAGGAGCGCTTCAAGGAGATCGCCGAGGCTTACGAAGTGCTGTCGGACAAGAAGAAGCGCGATATCTACGACAAATACGGCGAGGAGGGGCTCAAGGGCGGCATTCCCGGAGCCACAGGCCAGGATGGACAGTTCACATATGAATTCCATGGCGATCCGAGAGCCACATTCGCGCAGTTCTTCGGCTCCAGCGACCCTTTCGGGGCGTTCTTCGGCACGGATCCTCAGCGAATGTTCGAAACACACAACATCTTCGGCGGTCTGGATGATGAGGACATGTTTGGGGCACAGTTTGGTGGCCGCGGACCGGCTGGAGCCTTCCGGTCGCAGTCGTTTAACGTGCAGGGCGGCGGTTCGCCGAAGAGGAGGAATCAGCAGGACCCGCCGATTGAGCACAATCTGTACGTGGGACTCGAGGATGTTGATCAGGGTTGCACGAAGAAGATGAAGATTAAGAGGATGGCCATGGGGCCAGATGGGCAGCCCTACAAGGAGGAGAAGATGCTGACGATCACCGTGAAGCCGGGCTGGAAGGCGGGCACGAAGATAACGTTCCAGCGAGAGGGAGATCAGGTACCAGGAAAGATTCCAGCTGACATTGTTTTCATCATTCACGACAAGCCTCATCAGCACTTCAAGCGTGAGGGCAGTGACATCCGATACACGGCTAAGATCAGCCTCAGGGACGCTCTATGCGGCACCAGAATCACCGTTCCCACGCTCCAGGGTGGATCTTTCGCCCTCGAGACGACCGGTGAGGTGGTGAAGCCCAACACGGTGAAGAGATTCCAGGGAAAGGGTCTGCCGTTCCCGAAAGAGCCCTCAAAGAAAGGCGATCTGCTCGTGTCTTTCGATATAAAATTTCCCGACACAATATCTTCAGGCACGAAGGACATTCTGATGGATTTGCTGCCCAATTGAGCGCAGAAGGCGCAAGATTGTATATAATTTGCTGTATTTCTCACTTGAATGTAACCTCTCATGTTTATGAATTATTATTGATATTACTGTAAATAAATTAAGTACGTTTTAGTACAAAGAAAGTCTTGTAAATTGATACCTAATTGTCAGCCAATTCTTTTCGGAGGACCTGTTCTGGAGGAGATACAGGATGTCTTTAGGCGAAGCCATAAGGAAGATGAATATAATAAATATCAATTAAAATTGAATTTGTTCTGATAAACTCAATAAATCATCGGAATTATGAAAAATGCGCAGTCTAGAATCCTCAATCTGCCAAAATTCATCTTCTCTCACATCCATCTAGCATTATTTCCTCTGCAAGTCAATAAAAAAACACATCTTTCCGAGCATTTTCCACTCTCAGCTTTTCCTTTCCTTCAAACGGTTGCACCCGCAAATTCAAACAACCTTTTCAACACGGGAAAGTTGGCACCCTGTTCGCGGTGCTCAGCCAACTTCACTTTGCATGGCGTTGTCATCGTTCTTGGGTGAAGAAAAAATAAATTCGCTGTGCTGCTGAAGGAATTCGTCACTGAACAGGTAATTATACTTCAAAACGACCCAAATCTTCTGTAAAGTGCCCCCCAGTTGTCCGGGAATTGGTTGTGATTGTAGTTTCACGGGAAACTCGCATTTTTACCGCTGTTTCGCATCGATATCCGTGGGAAAATTCCAACATGCCGATGGAGGTCTTCCTCATGCGTGTTTGTCTTTTGGGCACTTTTGCGGCTCCGAGGTGCTGTTCGTGGCGTTTTTCCTTGCTCTGTGGGGTGTATGGGACATTCTCGGAGCAAGTTTTGGGCACTTCCTGTGTGTAGCTGTGACGGAAACGGTGCGTTGGCCGCCCGCAAAGCCGCCCATTTGCCGATGAATCAGCGTTCGAGGGGGCCATTTTCCCACTCCAGCTCATCTGGATGACGACTGAGGTCGCTTTCCCGCTATTTGAGGGCTCCTTCCGGCGTCGAGGCGCCGCCCAGAGACTCCCGGAATGCGCGGCTCCCCCGCAGAGTTGCCTGAAGTGCCCTCTGGCGATGGGCCGCGGCGGCAGCGTGCGAGCGGGACAGCAAATCAGATGCTGAAGCGGTCCACTTTCCTCGATCTTTTCGACTGTGGCCCACTTTTGAGGCTCCAGAGGCTGCTCAGCCTCCCGGAATTGGAGTGTGAGAGGAGCATTTGCGAAATGCAATACTAAAAGTGCATCGGGAATGCCATTATTTTAGAAAATCACAAAAATGCCAAATCAAAACTGCAAAAAAACCAGAGCATAAAGATAAGAGATAAAAGAATTGGATATTTTCCCACAGAATTCACTGAAATGTGAGACATTTCGTGAAATTTCCAGCGTCTAACCTCACCATTTCACTCAATTTCTTCACCCGCGAGTGGATAATTGGGGGAAAAATTATATTTTTCTCGTCTTCAGCAATCAAGTCAGCAATAATGATGATCACGTGCAATAAACACGCGCCATTCGTGCTGAGATTTATGGTGAAGTTGACAAATCTCATAAATCCTCTTCTGCCTTTCCTTTTACCAACTTCTTCGTCACCGATTTTCCTCGGCGCTGAATAAATTTCTCCGCGGGTCAGGAAATGCGCGCGAACTAGGCAAAAATGTTGGGTGAGGCTGAAAAGGCGGCAGCGAAGCGCAAAATTATGCTGTGATCATCACGCTTTTGGGTTTTGGGGCTTCTCAATAGCTCATAAATTGTTCAATTGCTTAATTGGTTTGGTGATCATTTGGGATGTGTTCAGAACATGCTTTATTCTCGACTGTATCGGAAAACACAGAAACTGAGTGGCTCGAAAGCGGAAATGACACTTAAGCGCTCTGCGCGATTGTGGTGCTGTTTATCATCAAAAGATTGACTTTTCCTCCAATTTCTGGCCTTTCTTTTGGCTCTGTTCATGAGTCAATTAATTAAATATTTACATGATTCAGTGAATTTGTGACTCACTCTCATCTTATAATTCAATTCTTTCTCCTTCTCTCTCTTTCTTCCAATATAGTAAAATAATGGCGGTCAACGTGTATTCGACAAATGTGACGACAGAGAACCTTTCTCGCCATGACATGCTCTCGTGGGTGAATGATTGTCTGAACGCTCAGTTCACCAAGATCGAGGAGCTCTGCACAGGTAAAATATTGAAATCTATCAAATTCACAGCGCTATTTTTAGCCACATGATAAAGACTATCATGAGGCTTTCATCGCGTTCCAACCAGCTTTTCTACATAATTGAATAGAGCTCAGCTGTGCTCCTAATTTCCACGCAAACAGATTATTTTGATCGTTTGGTCAATACATTATTTTATTCACGTGATGATGAAATTTGATGGGAAAGTAATGGAAAAATGAAATTGATTTTATCATCAGCAATTCGACAATTGGCAGAATTGATGTGATTCTAAAATCTAGATGAAAGATAAAGATGTAATTTTAAACGGGGTGAATTATTTGAGATTTTTTAAAGAAATTATGCATGCAAACAATAATTGTGAAAACATAATATTTTTATCTGTATAATCTTTCATTTATGTTTTCTGTATCCACTCAGATGAAACCCCTGAAATGCACCGTCACGTATCATAAAACACCTTTTTAGACGATTTTGCTACTCTCTTTCAGGTGCTGCCTATTGTCAGTACATGGACATGCTCTTCTCTGGATCGGTTCCCATGAAGCGAGTGAAATTTCGCACAAACCTCGAGCATGAATACATCCAAAATTTCAAGATCCTGCAGGCCGCCTTCAAGAAGATGAGCGTGGATAAAGTAAGTGACTAGTTTAAAAACAATCGAAAGCTGTACTCTTTTTGCTCTCACAATTTCATGAGTTGGTTGTGTAAGATTGAATTTTGAGAGAGAGAGAGGGAAATTTCTCAATTTTCTGTGCCCTGAGTTCAGATCATTCCCGTGGACAAACTGATCAAGGGGCGCTTCCAGGACAATTTTGAGTTTCTGCAGTGGTTCAAGAAATTCTTCGACGCCAATTACGACGGGCGCGAGTACGATCCATTGGAGGCGAGGTTTGGCATTCAGCTGGGACAGGGCGCCGGTCAGGTGGAGGCCCCCGTGCTGGAGAAGCCGAGGCAGATTCAGCAGCCGCGCGCCCGGACTCAAGGCAGTTAGTGTCTTGCTTGACGAACAGAAGACAGACACTCAATTTCCCTCTTGCAGACTTGATATTGCTTTGGCTCATTTGCACATTTTGACTCCTCACCAAAATCACATCACAGTTCATCTTTCATTTCTCTGTTATTTCGTCTGCAAATTGGGAATTTTACACGGCATATTTCTTTCAAATTTCATCGCATCGAGAAATCGGGAGGAAAGTTATGACTCTTCCTCAGCATCTCTCGGTGCCTTGTTGCGTGAAATTATGTTAATTTTTCTCATTTTTCTAGAACACAGGGAGTGGCGGTGAATTTATCCACTAAATTTATGTATAGATTCTCTTGTTTTCTAATGTTTTTCATTTACCAATTTTATCTACATATAATTTCCATCGCAAATTGGTTGCTGCTGTAGAAGTTCTTCGATTAACAGTGAATCAAATTAGCGAGTTTATTAATGAATATTTTACCACATTCTTAATATATTGCAGTGATTTTTGATACTTTCACGTTAATCTTCAACTTCCGTTTTGTAAATACCTCATAATATTGTGTGAATAGAGAAAGAGAGAGAGAGAGATGAAAGAAAACATGTCAGTTTTGTCTTAATTCTGTTGATGAATATATAATGTGAGAGTATCACAAGTCAATGCGTGCTGGCTGAAGAATTAATTGAATCAAGTTAACCAGCTGTAATGAAATAATAATAATCGAAGAATTTTTGCCTACAGAAATACAAACAAAAGTTCCTTTTCAGATTTGCCATCTCTTGAGTCCGTCTGTGAAAGTTGTTGTTTTTTTCCAAATTGGTCTTCAAAATCACTCTTCTATGTGTTTTTTATATGTACAATTGTTTATTTATGTCTCACCGTCAGTATTTGTTATGTTTTTTTTTCTTTCTTTCTTCCCATTCTAGATAATCCCCATTGATAGATTAGTTAAGGGGCGCTTCCAAGACAATTTTGAATTCTTACAATGGTTCAAGAAGTTTTTCGACGCCAATTACGATGGGAAAGATTACGATGCGCTGGTGGCGCGCGAGAATTTGCCGATGGGAATGGGATCGGCGGCCTCGTCCAAGAGCGCTCTTGCCGCTCCGCCGAGGCGCTCCATTCCCGCCATGGCGCCCGCGGCGCGCGTCCCGGCGAAGCCTAGTACGTCTCTTTCTCATGCATTTTCACCTTACTCTTCCTCCCCAAATTTTGTGTGAATCCTGTGAGAAAATCCCTTCCGGACGACTCTCTTGTGGCTTCTTGCCAGCTGTTGTGTTGTTCGTCACTTTCACGCTAAGCGCTCTCAGTTTACTGGCCAAAGATTCTCTTGGCTGACTTTTTGTGTATCAGAGAGGCAAATTGTACAAAAGACTTGGTGGAGGATTGGTGCTTGTCGGCAATTGTCGGATGATTTATTTGTGATAATTTCAGTAATTCATTCTAGTCCTTCAAGAATATTTTGGAAATCTGAACAGTGAGAAAACCCAAAGCTAGGTTTCTAATAGAGGAAGGAACACAGTCGGAAACTATTAAAAAGTTCAATAGAGATATTTAGAATGTTGTTTTATGAAAAATTGTCGTTAAATTGATTTGTTTGTGCCACTCATGACCTGAAATCGTACAACATACCATGATCCGACAATTGCTGCAAGTGACGCTCTTTTGAGACCTCTTCACAGAAGCTTCTGCATGTTTTTAAATCACTAAACTCTAAACAAAGTATCGCGCTTTGCATGCTTTTCACACTGAAACTCTAACATTCTCTGGAGCTTTTGGAAGTCGAATGAGGAAGACTTTCTCACTCACTTTCTTGTCGTTCGCCACAGTCACCAAAGCCCCGACGAGACCGGCCGCTGCTCCTGGGCATCGGGCTTCAAATTCGACGCCACCGAAGAAGCAGGACAGCCTTGGAAACCATCAGAACGCGACGGTGACGAACCAGCAAATTGAGGAGCTTTCGAATCAAGTGAGACACATCTTGCTAGCGCTTTATTGGGTGATTTTGCATGCTTTTATGACTATTTTTAGGTCATGGACATGAGGATGAACTTGGATGGCCTGGAAAAAGAGAGAGATTTCTACTTTGCTAAGCTGCGCGACATCGAGATATTGTAAGTGAATTTTCCGACGGGCTCTAAAGCTGATGGAAAATTGGATGCTGACAAATGATTTTCATTTTCACAGATGTCAAGATGCGGATGAAGGCGAACCTCAACCCATTGTTCAAAAAATCCTCGATATTCTCTATGCGACTGAGGTGAGTTTTACTAGGCGATTTTATGATTCAATGAAGTCTAGTGATGAGTGTGAATTTTCAGGATGGTTTCGCCCCTCCGGATGAATTAACGCCGCCTGATCAAGAGGAATATTAGAGAAAATAAGAAAGATTTTGTCGTTCAACTGTTGATCAGAAAGAAAGTGAGAAAAAATCCCTCTTTGTGCTTCATTATTTGGTTTTCTTATTTTATTCATCAGGCCTCAGAAAAATTGTAAAAACAGAAGGAAATGAAGATTTTTTTTAGAAACTACATCTCAAGAAAAGAAAAGGACGATAACATGAATTCAAATTAGAAATGGGAACTATTTTAAAATAAATATCATATCTTAATTGCAGAAAGAATAATGTGAAAAATGCATCGCGCAAGATTTTTTTAGAGATGAAGATATATGAAAAATTCTACTGGCCATTATTTAAACATTTTTAGTAATATTCTTACCATTTTTCTTCATTCATGCATTTTGTTTTGTGTATCGAATAAGCTCTTGAAGACATCTTTGAAGTATTTTTGTCATATCTTTTTTTGTTTACGAGAGAAATGAGAATGAATATGAGACTTCTTTTGCGAATCATTTGAAAATTCCATTTAATGAGGTTATAAAAGTCCAAATTTTAGACCCGGATTGTTAAACACTATCATTTAAATAAAAAATGAGAAGAAATTTGATCGAACTCTCAGAACTAATGAGCGATTTTGTGTTAGGAAAGTCGACAATAGATAACGAGTTGCAATAGTCAAAGTTTTAGAAAGAGAAAAAATGCATAGAAAGTTAGAGAACGGGTGAAAAGTGTGCTGAAAGTATTAGGGAAAAGCAATTTTTGCCGTGAATCCTGATTTTTCGTAGGTCTCTGTGAGAAATTTAGGACGATTTCGCACTGATCTTGACAAAATAAAATTGTGAAGCTATTTCGCACACAAGAATACATTTTCTTACTTCATTGATATTTTGATCCTTTTTTGAGTGCTGAAGTGAGAGAAATTAGGCAATATATAGTCCAAAAGTCGCTTTTACTAGCTTTATCAGTGGAAAATCTCAAGATAAGACATTATGAAGGCGTGTCAACAATGCATTGTCGACAGAAACGCATCAACAATCGCTCAACTCAGTGCTTTATGAAGAAAAGTCTCTGCAGAGAATGAGAAAAGAGAGAAAACACTTAAATTACTCATTTTATATTGTAAAAGAACCTATGAATTTAGACATGCATTAATTTTACACTCTATTTCCCCTCAAGATTTATATTTTAGGTAATTTTCACTTAATATTTCTTACGATTTTTTATACTCCCAAACGCAATTTGCAATATCGAGCCAAGTCGAGTCTTCACATGATCTTCATTGCATTTTACAAGCACACACATTTTTTGTCAATTGTAATTTAATTTAAAAACACAGACGAGAACGGGAAGAATAAATGTGAAGACGAACAATTCGGTGAATGGTTTTTTACGCATTATAAAAGAAATTATATTGTGAAGAGAAAAGCAGAATTAACAAAGTGAGATGGAAATCAGTGGAAAAAGTTTATCAAGCTAACTTTTTAAATGCTACTATATTGCAATTGTATAAAATATTACAATTTATTAAATTATTATGTAATACAGCGTATTTGGAGTGTTTTTGTGGTTTTCATTGACTCTCGATTTTCCTCAGAATCAAAATTCAGAGTTTTCTTCGTCCCGTTTTTGCGCCCCCTGGTGGTGAACATAGCTAGTCGCGTCCGTCAAGTTCCTCAGTTTGACGGATTGAAGGGTGTTTTTCCGTAGCTTTCCAAGGAAAATCACATCAGAGTGATGATTTTCCTGCTCTAGAAGCAGTCATGAGTGTGTCAATGAAGTCTCTGATAAGTTATCTAGTGGTAGTTCTACTAGGTGAGTCCTAAAATCTCTGTTTACCTCCTGGACATTGATAAGGATTCCCGGACAGTCATTTTAGGGCATTTCTCAGCTGGATCCCGTGTCATTGAGCTCAGCGATAGATTTCTGGACGTGAGACATGAGGGTCAGTGGTTTGTGAAGTTTTACGCTCCATGGTGCGCCCATTGCAAGCGCCTCGAGCCCATTTGGTAGGTGTTTCCAATCGTGCTTTCCGGGAGTCGTTCTGATTGTCCGTAATTGCTTCCAGGTCTCATGTCGCCCAGACGCTATACAACACAAACGTCCGGGTGGGCAAAGTGGACTGCACGCGGTTCACGAGTGTGGCGCAGGCCTTCAACATCAACAGCTTCCCCACGATTATGTTCCTGAAGGAGGGCGTGGAGTTTCTCTATAACGGCGAACGCTCCAAGGATGAACTTATTCACTTTGTGATGCGCATGTCGGGTCCGCCGGTGCAGCTGGTCACGCGCACGGACAGCGTGGACATGCTGAAGGCCAGCCATCCGATCTTCTTCGCCTTCGTGGGTCGCCAGGAGGGCCTCTTGTGGGACACTTACACCGCCGTGGCGGAATCCTTCCAGGCTCACGGCTTCTTCTACGCCACATCCGTCGAAATCGCTCGTGAACACTTCGACATCGACGTTCTGCCCGCAGTGATTGTATACAAGGAGAGAAGCCACTTTTTCTACCCTCGTGAGTGACGAAAGAATCCCTAAAACACATTGAGCACCAATCAAATTGCTTTATCCTCTATTACAGTGTCTGGTGAGCTTCCGGCTGTGGAGCCCAGCCACATGAACAGGACGCTACACATGTGGGTGAACGAGGAGCGCTTCTCACTCTTCCCGAAAGTCACGCGCAGCAACATCAACGAATTGATGTTGACTCGGAAATTCCTTGTGTTGGCGGTGGTGGAGGAAAACCGCCTGGCGGAAGTACAGGCGCACGAGCTGGAGTTCCGGGACATGATTGAGGGCATCATCAGGACGCAGCACGAGCGCTGGCACTCGCGTTTCCAGTTTGGGTGGATCGGCAGCCCGGAATTGGCGCATTCCATCGCCATGGACACACTGGCCACGCCTCACTTGCTCGTGCTGAACTCCACCACGTCTGAGCATCACATTCCCGATGACGAACCACTGAAACTCACAGCAGAGGCTGTACAAGTCTTCCTGGAGCACATCCACAACCAAAGTGCACCGGCTTTCGGCGGCAATTCGCTGCCGGTGCGTTTGTACAGGACATACTTCGAGGCGAGGAGGAGCTTGAGTGAAATGTGGCGTGGAAATCCAGTGCTGACGTCTGTCCTGTTCGGACTGCCGTTGGGTTTCTTGTCACTGATTGTGTATTCCATCTGCTGTGCCGATATCCTCGATGCAGACGATGAGGATACGGATGCTCACGAGAAGAACGAGTGAAGAGCGATGAGAGGATTTATTGAAGCTAGTCAACTTGAGATCTCACCAGTCACCAGGCCTCGGAAGAGGATTTTAAAGGACGCTCAGTTGAAGAATTGACCGACGAGTACTAAAGTCAATCTATTCCCAATGTTTTGTCAAGACAAATCAAAATCAACAGTATTATCAATAGAAAACTCGAATATCTGAGCTTAAAACTAAACAAGAACTGAAAAATCACCGGTTTCACACGCAATCGTCCTTTTGATAACTCCGAATCATTTTATGCGCACCTTTCGATGTATTTTTACCATTTAACGTCTTTATGGTAAATTCTTCAACTGAAAAGCTTCCTAAACCCCTGACCATCGGCCTTGCTGAAGCCCAGGAAACCCAGAAAGTAGAATTTTTACCCGGGAAAGGTCTTGTAAAAATTATGTGACAATTTAATCATTCTGGCAGATTACAATAAACATCCCGCGAGAAGTGCGTAGTGAATTACTTGCCGAGTAAGCGCGTGAATTTGGGGATGAAGATCAGTGATTTACAGTCCGTAGTCTTCGTCATCAGAGTCCAGAGCCGTGCGCCTCCGGTCAAACTTCACAGCAGAGGTGCTGCGCGGCATTTGCTTATTTACACTCTCGAGGAGTTGCACAAGCTGCCCATCGTCCAGTTTGCCTGAAATTTGGCCCATTTGAGCCATCCGGACGACCATCTGTTCCACCATTTGCGCCTTCTCGGGTTTGCTGAGTTTCAGCGTGTTGAGACGCGCCCTAGCCGCCTGATCCATGATCTGGGCCAGGATGGCATTCTTCATATCCTCCTCCTGCCGGCGGCGCTCCTCCTGAGCCTCTCCTTGCTGCTTCTGATCAGGACCTCCCTAGTAAGGTTATGTCGATCTATCAGAAAGTCCTTTACAACATTCTTCAAGCCTCTCACATATTGCTTCTGCATTTCAGCCAATCTCTGAGCACGGATGGCACTTAATTCGTCATCTGCCATTGTGATTTTCTGCGAAAACTTCCGTAAAATGCAATATTTCCAGCAACTTCCTCGACAATTCACCGGAGACTAAACACAACACTTTTTGACATATTGAGCGCTGCAATCGCGCGACTCCCGGACTTTCGTTGAGTCGTAAATAGAATTTTCCAATAAATTTTCTCTCCTTCATATTCATTTTATTACTTCCTAACTTGTTGGTCGTGGCCTCAGAATGAGCTTCCCCGTGTCGTCGCAGGACATGTTGAAGTCGTTGAGGACAGTTCTCGTGCGTGATGTGATTATTTGCGGTGCTATGACGAGTCTATGGATTCCGTATGCGAAGAGCATCACTGAAAAAAGCACAATATTAGAAAATCCTCTCGAAATATTAATGTAGAAGCTTACTACCGAGGATGATGATGCCAACTGTGAAAATTGGATGATTCAGCAGGGATTCTGTGAATGGAACAACTGATGTCCGAGGATCTGTCAGCCAATACCAAGCGCCCAGCGCTGTTAGCGTGGATATCACAAAGAGGATTACTGCAAAATCCATAAAACTGATTAGAGACCTATCACTAGATATCTGCCATATCATATCAATGTACTTCTCCAGCGAAGTGTGGGCGGATGGAGGGCTGCAATCACTTCCGTCAATCGCCTCTCGAAGGCTTTCAAGTCTAAGTGCAATTCAAAGAGATTTTCTAGGTCAATCAGTGGAATTTCACTTTAAATTGATACCAACCTTCACAAGCAGATTGCTCCATTTGAGACATTGCTGGTGATTGAGGAAAAACTATACTTTTTCATAGATTTTCACAGAGGAGAAATTTTTCACAACAAACTTTGCCAGAGTGTGGTTATGTAGACTTAACGAAAAAGTCGGCAGCGCCAGTGGTGTCCAACACTAGTATTCTCTACACGCCGTTTTGTTGTGATATCGTGTGATGGTAGAAAATCGTGAAAAACGCGAAGAAAACTCAATGGAGGTGGAGAGGAAAAACCTCTCACACCTTCATACAGTGAGGTTCTACAATTTGCCACCTCGAGGAATTACGTGTATGGCCTATAATGCTGAACAGAAGAAACTGGCTCTTTCGAGGTTAGATTTGTTTGTTTACTTCAAACCGGGAGGCTTATTTGGGGTCCTTTTCTTTGCAGGTCAGATGCGTCAATAGAAGTGTGGAGTGTGTCTGCAACGCCATTTATGGAGAGAGTCATATTTGGAGCTCCTAATGCTTCTATAGAGGCTCTGGCGTGGGTCAATGGTGCCTTGTTGAGTGCAGGACTTTCCGGAGAGATTGTGTACTGGAATCTGCGAAAGCTGGAACCACAGCAGAGTCTGATGGTTACAGGAAGTTCTGTGTGGTGTCTAGATGTGCATAAGAATGTTGTTGCGGCGGGAACTGAGGAAGGGTACCTGAATATTTGTCGCATGGAGGATGATTTTCTGGCTTATGAGCGGATGTTCGATCGACAGGAGGGCAGAATTCTCTGCTGTCGCTTCTCTCCGACCGGGGAGTACCTGGCCACGGGATCCATGGATGCGGTGAGAGTGTGGAATGTGCAGAATGGACATGCTTTGCACCGGATGACGCTCGTCAGAGTGGAGAAGAGAAAAGAAATTGTCGTCTGGGCGATAGAATACCTGCCGGATGATGTCGTGGTATCTGCAGATTCTTCGGGGAAGATCACCTTCTGGGATTCCAAGCTAGGATGCCAGACAGAAAGCTATCAGGCACTGAAAGCTGATGCTTTGTGCTTGGCGAAGAGTGAAGATTCCTCTAGAATCTTTATTTCAGGCACAGAACCTGTGATCAGGACTTACACACTCACGGCGATGAAGAAGGACAATCAAGTAGTGAAGAAGTGGGTAAAATCTGTTGAGAAATACCATCACTCTCACGATGTGAAAGCCCTTTCTGTGGCGGAAAATCATCTATTCTCTGGCGGAGTCGACAGTCATCTGGTGATCTCAGCTTTGACTACTACGAGAACAGCGAAATTCGCTCCTTTCCTGCGGCAAACATCGGGAGAAGTGACGGAGAATCGTCTGCTTCTGTTGCGCTATCTTAATCATGTGGAAGTATGGCAATTGGCGTCTTTGGACAACACGCAAGAGCTTCAGAAGCTCCTGGAAGTGCAGAGCCGCGACCAGGAAGCTATTGTGAGCTCCTCTTTGTCGCCATCGGGAGAAATTCTGCTCTATTCCACCGATACACAGATTAAGATGTTTCAGTTCGACTCTAGCACGAGACCGGCTCTTCTCACGCCCCTCAGAATCACGGCGGAGCAGTTTTCACCATGTCTTCACGCCTTTTTCGCCCGGGATTCTAAGACACTCGTGTTGGTCAAGGCTTCAGGACAAGTTGACGTGTTTACCATTACAAGTCAGATGGATTTGGATCACGTTCAGACCATTGAGACGCACAAGTGTAAGTAGAAAAGTAGTTTTGACGGAGATTTTACAGGGTGTGGCAGTCAATGTGATAAATTTAGTGCACTTGTTGAATTCTGAGAATTTCCATGAGTTGCTTTTCTGGGGTTTCTGAGCATAAATTAATTTGGTGGGTTTTGGAAAAGACAACAAAAATGGTTGAAAGGAAAATATTCACTTTATGTCTGTGTAATTTGAAATTAGCTGTTTTGATATTTCCATTCATGCGAAAAATACCTCGGCAAATGATGAGGAGAGATTTTGAGAGTCAACAGACGCTCTTCTGGGTGGAATTTTAAAAGTGGGAGGCTATTAAATGTGGGTGTTTTTCTTGACTGGTTTCAGATATCAAGGATGTCATTCACTTGGCATGTTTCGACGGCAGATTTCTTGTTCTGGTTGGGTTGTGCAACAGTGTTGTCGTGTGGCGATTTGAAAAGACGACCAAGAGATGGAAAAGACACATAAATTTGCCCAAATACACGAATCCTCCGACGGCGATGTGTATTCATCCCGCTTCGACGCGTCTTGTGGTGGTTTATCTCGATGGGAAGATGATTGAGTATGACTTGGAAGAGCTGCAGTTCACATTTTCCGTTCATATAGCCGAAGAGGCGCTCCAGAGACCGATAAGCAATATTGCTTTGGATCCTAGAAATCAGGATCTCTACATTCTTCAAGACGAGAATTCAATCTTCAGCATCAGGAAACTTCAAGAGGACGAAAATGCGACCGAAGATGGCCAGAATCAAGGAAAGAAAAGTAGAAACACATCGGATTCTAATGAGCAGAGAAAATTCTCTAAGAAAATCATCAGAGAAGCGAAGGTGAGAATCTTAAGTGATGTTTTTTTTGTCTTAATTATTTAGAAAAATATTTCTTTTTTCAGCACTTGGCGTTTTTGGCTTGGTTAGGAGACGAAGAGTTGGTGGCTGTGGAAATTTCCCCAGATTCCTTCCTGGAACAATTGCCAGCACCACTCAAAATTAAGAAGTTCGGCACAGGATAAGTTAATATATATTTTTTATTAACGCATTCCCGATTTTTGTACATGAAGCCTAAGTGTAAATTCCCAATTTGTTCGCAAAATCTCCCCTACGCAAAGTGAGCATGAAAGAATTTCCATCTCAGCGGGGAAAATGGTGAAAATGCGTGAAGGGATGCCGAGGGAGTGCATATAAATCTACGGCGGTGGTTGTAAATCATTCACGTCTGTCTCTAATGCAATGATTTAAGTGTGTTATTTATGATGGCATTCCACATCCTAATCGCCACTGAGCAGCGTCAGCACTTGGCCGGCACTTCGGCACAGATTCGCCGCCAGGATTCAGCCGATGAAAATGCTGTCGTACGGCTGATCTTGAATTCGAGGACCGGGCATTGTGTAGCGCGGCGAGATGTACTTCGTGGATTTTTCCCACTGTTGATAAGTGTGCTGAGGCCATCCAACGACGCCTGAAAGTCGTCTTGAACGTTAAGGTGAGTCCCTTTAAAGTTCAAATTCTATGTAGATGGTAAATTTTCTACTAAAAGCCCTTAAATATGCAATAGGTATGCATAAAATAGTATTAAATTCATAGTTTTTAATTATCATATGCAAATATGCAGAATTTTCCGTGATTTCCAAGTACATTTCGTGTGTTAATAGTCAATTTGAAAGAAAATATTACGGAATGCAAAAAGTCATGCCAGATCACATGTATTTTTCACAAGTTACTGAGAATTTATTGGTTCGAAAAACCTCCTATGAAGTTACGAAAGATCATTGAAATTGTATTACTGAAGTCAAAATTTCTATTTTATCAATGTGCGAAGTTTCGTGTCTTCTTTTATCAGTTTTGCTATTCAAATCTTGGTCACTAATTCTACCTGCAGACGTGGGCGGCAGTCTTCTGAGGAAGTTGCTTGTAGATTTTGCATCCTGTTCCTGATCCTCATCGGCTCCGGTCGCCTGAACATCCTCAATGTATTTCGCCTTGACCCTTTGCAAGCACTTGAGCACGTGTCCTTCAGTCTTTTGCCTACCGCATCGGCACACCTTCACCAGGGCGTTGTACATTTCGCGGGATATGAAGAAGGAGTCTCCGCTGCCGCTGTACTCGTACGGGAAGGTCTCTGTTTCCACCTTGAAGCGCTCTCTGAACTCCGCGTTGCTTTTGCCCGGGTTGTAGAACTCGTTGGTGGCTTTCTCGGCCAGCATTCCCCACTTCCGGCCGTAGTCCCGCCTCATGCGGTCCTCCAGCTCCACCTGCTCGCGTCTGGTCAATTTGAGGGTCATCCATCACGCAGGGATTCAATTAACTCCTGATATACTTACATTTTTCCGTCTCGGTGGATGGGCTCCATGGCTCAGGCCTCGAGAGGATCGACCAAACACCGCGTGTGTGATTGCCATGGTTTCCCAGTCCACAGATGTCTCCATCTCGAGTTTGTCCGCAAACTTCTTCACGTTATTTATGGCTTTGGTCCCCCTTTCTTGTGTGCGGTGAAAGTTGTCGAAACTCTTTTTCTTGCCACTGTGTCTTATCATTGCAAACAGGGGTAACTTTATTGGTATTGGATTAGTGTCCATTAAAGAGGCATTTAGGAAACGGAACTTTATTGAGACGATCTTGTTTCAATCGTAACTCGAAACTTGAAAGGTTTTTTTTAAAGTCTCTTGAATATGTTGGAATGCGGAGAGGACAATAGATCACCCTTGAAGGTTTTTCGGAGAGCCTTAAAGGTAAATCCCTAGAGTATTTCATGCCTCAGTCGTGGAAAGTGGCTTCAAGGGGAAAATTTCAGGAGCGAAATCGGTGAAAATGTGGCTGGCACGACTCCAGCTTAAATTTTATATTCATCATCGGTGCTTTTGTCTGCTCTCAGACGCAAACTTTTCCGTCTGCCGAATATGCTAAAGCGGTGTCTGGGTGGGCGGTGGGTGGGACGGAAGTCACAGACGAAGAGACACCTGAAGGAGTCTCTTTCGCAAAGGCTCGAGGACGTGACTCGCCTAAATCGCAGCCACTTCACTCACTTTCACGATGCCTCCCAGGATATCTCGTCACTTCTCGGCCACCTCCTCATCCCTGGCGCTCAATCCCAGATCAATCTGGGCGAATGTGGGTTAACAAATCTTCCTCTCACGGCATGGTGAAGAAAAAACGACGGCCCATTGAAGAATTTTTGGCGCTTCTCAGCGTCTAAAGTGATTTTCGTGATGGATTCAATTCACCCGCCCCAAAGTCACTCCCACATAGCTAGGCAAAAAATGAGAACCAGCAGAACTGCTCCTAAATAAACAATCTCCTTTTGCCTACCTTTGCGCCTCGAGTGAAACAATAAATCAAGATGACAAAACAGAAAAATTGTGCGGCGATTGAATTTTTGATGGCCAACAGAATTGCTGAGGGATTTTCTCTCTCTCATTTTCCTGAGGAAAATAAATTGATCGAGAGACGGCTGAGAAGATTGAGAATTAGGATAGAGATTTTCGTGAAGAAAAATTGTGTTAGAACACAATTTAACCCAGAGAGAAGAGCACTTTTCCTCTCAATATCGTGGACGAAATTGTGCTGAATATTTCACGGGGATAATAAAAGAGTCTCCCACGAGAGGAGTAATCATTAAATAATAATCTGCGCGCCGATGGGAAGCTGAGTTGATTCTACATGAAAATGATGTTATTTCCCATCTTTCTCGAGGCACACCTTTGGCGCCCTCAAAGTCATCTCGAGCCTCGTGTGAGCTCGCGTGAAAGTGGGTGGCAGGCGCGCACACACAATAAATTCGACCGCCCGCCGACCTTGAGACATCCCACCCACTCCCTCCCACCCACACCGCAGACTCTCGCCGGCTGCACGCTTTCGCGGAACCGCAGAAGATGCGGAGTTCAAGAAGAAACCCTGACGAAACTCGAGGCGCCTCGCGTGATTGCATAGATTCAAATTGCCGTCAGTCATCTGAGACTTTTCCGACTGCAGACGCCTCCCGCCCTCAGACGGAGAGCCACCCACCCCAGGGCGGGAGATTTTGTCTGCACAAGTGGTGAAATTGTGTGATGTCGTCCAAAAAGATATCGAGCGACCGAGTGAGGGTGAGAAAGACGAGTTTTAACAGGCTTCGCAGCGCTGCGTTGATGTACTTTTCCATCGATTTTTCACGAATATTTAAAGCTTCAAACTATTTTTTCTCTTCTAATATTGTACTTTTAAATACCAAATAAATATCCGTGATGTTTATTCCTTAAAACTGACGCATTAAGTAGTCATCATCGTACTCACTTGTCCTCAATATTTTCAATAAATACATCCAGTATTAATGGTAAATTTAAGACGTCATCGTTCTTCTGAATTTTTTTTACCTTTTTCTTCGACAGTAACTATGACATTTTGAAGAAAAAATTGCATTTTGGGTCTCAATCCTGCTCGATGCTGAGCCCCTCTCCTGGAAGGGTTGTGCGACGTGTTTTGAAGAATTGGACTGGGACGAAGTTGCCCAAGTTGAGGGAGGCCGAGAGACTCGGCGGATCACACATGGCGCCCATGGGATGAGCCACAAATTTAATTTGCCCCCCTGAATTCGTGCCGCCCCTCGGGTGCATTGCAAGCGGAGGAATGCCGGGAGGTCGGAGCGGAGGAAACTCGTTAACTGCCAGCGATTGCCACGGCAACGACGACAATGTAATTTCCGTTCATTCCTCACAATTTCATTATCTGATGGAGACAAAGTTGCACTGGCAAAGTAATCACTCAACATATCGCCAAATTCGACAATCAAATTAAATCTCAGGTAAAATCTTCGGGGCTGTTTTTCTGGTTTGTCCGTCTGCATGATTTCATGCTCTATCTCTTGCCGGGCACATTTAATCAGGCTGTCGTCAAAGACGATGAAAGAAGAAACAGGCAATTTTCTGTCTCACCTTCCGTCTCATTAAGTGTCCTTTTTCTCAGCCGAGTCCTTTCATAATTGCTCGGCCTCTCGAGCACAGGAGGTGCTTAATCATGCAAAAATATACATCTTTGTACACAAAAGGCGCTGACAAGTCAGAGAAAGGACTTCATTTCGCCCGCCTGTAATTAATTCCCGCCCAATCTCGGAAGCCAAGTTGTTCCTGCAACTTTTAATCCATCGCCCAGGGCGTGTCAGGTCGCGGTGTCGTGTAATTAGCAATATTGAGCATTTTCCAAACACCCCCACCCCAATCTTCTGCACAAGGAGAATTCCTGTGATTAAATGGGTGTCTTTTGTGGGATTAGCGCGAAAGACGTACACCTTTAACTCGACCCCGAAAATCTCGGAGATTTTCCAAGTCACTGCCAAAATGATCCACATTGACTTTGATATACCAGTTGAATTTATGCCTCTGATTGAAGGGGGGATTTTGAAGTGTGTTTTTTGGCCAAAAACATCATGTCGATTTTAAGCCGTAAAATGAATCCTTTCGCCGCTGATTTCGCAATAGATTTTTCACAATTTCACTCGACATTAACTGCAACATTATGCTCAATAAAACAGTCGCAATCTCATCCAAATTGAGCCGTATTTTCCGATTTATTTCTATCTCTCGGTGCGACTATTTTATTTCGCATCTCACTTTTTGGCTGTTTAGGCATCCGAGGCAGTCGTAAATCGGGCAAACCGCTGAGGATTTGCCGCTCCTGCAACCGTCAGACGACATTGAAAAGCGTGGCTGGGGCAAAAAAGCGCCTTAGATGGGGCGGCGGTGGCCTTGAAAACACGGGGAGCCCACCACCCATCGTCCTCACCCTCGCAAAGCTCGGAAATCCCGGCGATGCCAAACATGCGTCTGACGCAGTCACGGAGGGAGTCGTAAAGATAAGCGCAGAAAAACCCGATTCCAGCGTCTGTGTCTGAAGGGCGGGTGACTCTGGAAAGGGTGTGTTTCCTCATTGGCATGTCAAAGGAGAGCTTCTCCGGGAAGTGAGCACCAGATGCTCAGTCATCTCGGCAAATTGCTCGATATGTCCTCAATCCTTCTCGTTATCAGCTTTGGAGCTGTTGAGTTAAGGCAGTGATTGGAGGGCAGGTGCAGCAACATAATACGATCTTAGGAGAGAATGAAGGGTTTGACTAAACGCAATTTACAGCGAAATTCTCACCTCTCAGATTACATGTGGATATACATTCGGAGAAAGATGTTATTGGAAATAATCTCGGAAACTCCGACAATCTTGAAATTGAAGAATAATTACAGGTTCGAAGACTAATTGACATCGAGCAACTATGCTCAAAGAGATTAAATAGTTGTTTTAATGCATACGAGCCGTATTAGTTTCGGTCTAAACTATAAAATCGACATCCACCCCCAATCAATACATATGCAAGCCATTTGATACAGTCATCAACGCATCTGTTTCCAGCCATAAATCCTGACTGATGAAGAGGTTTTTGTTTACATCGCGCGGGCATTGGCTGGCGCTCCCGAGGGCGCCTGGCAGACAGGGCGTCCCCGTTCCCCAGAGTGCATCCGCAGGCGGGGTGCACACTGCATCGGGCTCGTCTCGCCGAGTCACGAGGCCGAGCGGGTGCCTTCGGGAGCACGTGCATCGCGGCGGCGGCGTCGAGGAGCGCCCGGAGAGCCGTCTCGCCGTCTGCCATCGATCCACTCTCCTCCCGGAGTCCTCACGGCTCTCCAGAGCGCGCGGGAGAGCGTCTCAGACGTCACTCGACCTTCCGACGCCCCCCAAGCGCGGACCGCATTCAAAATCCCCACTGCAGCTCCTGGAGAAGAGCCTTCAAAGGACTCACGGATAATGTCGTCGCCCACTCGAGACGCCTCTTTCCCCTGCCTCACAGTCCCCGGGTGATTATTAATTGAGCGCGAAAGAGTCGGGATGACTCAGAGGACCGCAAAAAGCACCTTCGCATACACAGTGAAAAGGCACGAGTGGGTGGCGCCCGCCCACACAGAAACTCCCACCGAAATTGTCTGGCCATAAAATTCTCCCGAATGACTTTTGGGAGTCAATTTCACGGCGGCAGAAGCTCAATGAAAAGCTCATTTTTCAGTGATTACCTCCGGAAAATTCATCTCACATTCAATTGGGGATCAATTTGGCGGCCAATTTTATGTATCTTTCTCCAAAGTATATAAGACTCGTGCATAGAGTTAGTTACGCTCTGAAATGAGGACTTAAATATGCTGTTAAGAGATCTGACAAGAGCTCGTCTGTGCTAATCCGAGCATTTAATCCCTCCTGGGATTTGTCCAAAGATCACTTTCGCTCGTCTGTTGCCAGTTGCTGAATATGAATTCTTAATTCCTCAATGATTATTTTATTACGGAGAGTGCCGAGACAAAGTCAAGGTTAGACATTGATTTTTCCATCCGAAAGTCTGTGCCGAGGGCGAGACGAAAATAGAAGATTGCATTCATCCATTGTCGGGCATGGCAAATTAAATTGGTGGGTGCAAAAAGGCAGTGTGGTTGAGATCCAAATTCGATTTTCCTCCTTCGCCAGACTCGCCTTTTGTGCATCCTTCCAGACACTCACACGCCTCGTCGTCTCGGTGACGTCACGACGTGCTGAAAAGGAAGAGCCAAAGTGCGAAGTGAAGAATGCCTCAGTAAATAGTGAAAGCGAGGAAAATTCCACAGTCAATAAATCCAAGCAAATTTCATTCCCTTTACAACAAAGTCGTCTCGACGGAATTGGTGGCAATTTTCCCATGGCAAAATACCTGAAGCACTTTTCCGTATATGCAAATTGCCATCATTGAATTCGTGCATTGGGAAAAAGTAGACAAATTCAGTTAGACTGACGCCGAAAAGATGGCGCATTGATGGTGTAAGCAAAGCTATGAGTTTGAATTTGCACACCGTTTGGCTGATAGACGAGTCTGCAATTTTCCGCTTTCACAATGAATCATATTCGCGATGATTCACCAGAGAAGAGCGAAAAAACTCCCCTGGAATATTGCTGTCCTGCCCCCAACTTGATCCCCACCCGTCAAATCTACCTACATTGGGTGTTATTTTGAGGAGCTTCAGCATGCTTTTCCACTCTATTTCACATGAGACTGTTGGATTTCACGCTGTTGCTCTTCCAATCGACTCCCACGGAAAAAAGGCGAGGGCAACACCTCATCTTCTGTCTCCCCCTCTAATCCGTTAATATTGTTGTGAGGACAAGAAAGGAGCTGCAAAGCTTTAAGCTCTGCAGCTCATGATTGAATATTCCCGTGGAGTGGAATGAGGCGAGAGGACAGAAAAATTTATCGTACTCTTGGCTGGAAATTGTGAGCTTTTTGTCCTCTTCCTCTGCATTTTGTTCCTTCGACCCGAGCAAATGGATACAAATGTGGGATTAATTTATGACTCTGGCGTCTCTGTTATTCTTTTTCTCGCCCCATGAATGACTTTTATTGCTGTCAGGAGATCCATTTGAATTTATTTCACATTCGCGAACAGAGAATATAAATAACTGAGAAGCTTCTCTGGATCAATGGTGAAAAGTCTTTCTTGTTCTTCGCCCATTAACCCTTCGATCAGGGCTCATATTTCAATCCACATGACAGGAAAAATTGATCCAATAATAAATGGAAAATGAGTCCCTCATGCGAGATTCCGCCAAGCAAGCGCCGCAATTGAGGATGTTTATCATGAGGTCGAGATAAAATTTCAGACAATTAACACTTCTCAGACTCCGACGACGCGCACTCAAATTTAATTACAACTCGTCCAGACGGCAGCCAATCGACGCCGCAGAATCCCGACAACTTTTCATTTGATCAGGGGAATTCGGGATTTGCCGGTGGCGCTTTTCACTGGGGGGGTTTCGGGGTTGGAAAGGGGTTCGGAAGTCCCTCGAGAGACGATGGATTTGCCAGAGAGGCGAGACAAGACCATAAGAAGCAACTTGTTGAACTTCTTTCCCAGCAATAAATTCAGTCAAACAGGATTTATTGTTTGCCTCCGTCGCTTATGGTAGATTGTCGATATTTTAGGCTATTTTTTCCTATTTTTACCATATTTAAGGCGAGTGTGAAATATGAGTGAATATTGAGATTGACAATTTCCGTCAATTTTCACTTTAATAGTATTACATAAAAAATGGGAGGAAAATGAAATGTTAAAGGAGACTCTTCAGCCTTGTTCGAATTCTACAAAGTAAAAGACTAAAAGATAATCACTCTCACAAATTATTCAGAATTTTTGTTGGAACAAAATCCTGACAATTGGATTCTTAAACAAAATTTCAATTTGTTTAACTGTATTTTCAGGGGAGATACAGAAGAATACATAGAAAGGGGAGAATACATTCAACTCCAACATAAATTATAGTTTGACTGAAATGGAATGTTTGAAGTTACTTTTCAATGCCATGTATTTTCCAATTTCAGTAATAAGCTTATAAACATTAAATATTGATATGAGTGCTGAACATTGAACTTCTCAGTCGTCCTGCTGGCGAAAAAGAACTCAATTCAAGGCATAACAAACAAACTACCCGGCGTCTCCATTGCACCAGGCGCCTCCATCTCGAGAATGAAACAAAATACGTGGGGAATGTTAAATTTCTTTTATTATTATCATTATTCTTTTATTTTTATAAAATAATAATTGAGTAATAGTAATAAGTTCCTCATATTTCCTTGCGTGTTCTTTCCATCTTTTCTCTTCTCGAAAAAAATCTTTTATTTAGGACACAGAGTTTTCCTTCTGCCATTCTTGCCGCTGCGTTTTTACTCACTATGGGTTTAGTGGGTTTATCGCTGCAACTGTCAGCTTGTTTTCTTGCTTTTGTTGTGTTAAATTAAATAATTACATAAATATAAACTTGTGTTGCTTTTGCATCTCTTCGTCTTCACAAAACATCGGAAGATTTCTTGCTTTTCTTTCGCTTCTAAATTATGAATAATGATTGATCTCTCTCGCTTTTCAACTTTGCCTCTCTCTCTCTGTCGGATTTGTGTTTTCTTTTGCATCGCTGTTTGATATTCCATCTTCTATGCATACATTTAAATACCTAAAAAAGAAGTTGTGTTTCCTCTTCAATATTTATTACTTTTATCATTTCATTTTCTCCTGCGAACTTGACTGTCTTTTCAAGAAAGCTTTGTTACTTTGCTGTCGAACTGCTAGGTTTCTTTTGTAAAAGTTTTCTAGGCGAGAGAAGAAATGAAAATAAAAGTCAGTGTAAAGATTGAATTGTCTTATTGAACTAATCACCGTTCTTGGGCTTCCTTCTTAAATGCACGAGTAAATTTTTCTTCTTCATTCTTTTGAATCCTTTTGAATTTTCCTTTTACATCCTCGCTCGTCATGTCACCATAATTAATTTAATTTAAATGTTCTATATTACACTATTTACAATTTCAAAATATAATTTTTTTATTCAAAAAATAATATTTGTCTAGTTTCTATTATATTTTTCTCTTTCTCTTTAAGACAGTTTTTCTCATGCATTTTCCGATGTTTCTTCATCTTTTCTAATTTAGGACTAGTTCAAAAATCAATTTCTTATTGTTTTTACATATTTTTCAAATGGAATATATTTCTTCGTGTATCTGCAAAATTCCATCAATTTTGTTGTGTGTCCTTTGCGATTAAATACGTTATCTTTCTTATTCTCTTTTCAAATTGGCTCGAGTATATACAGTTTATTATTATGTTTTGTAATATTCTTTGTTGCACATCCAGAAATGCTTGGTTTTTACTTTTTTCGAAAAAAAAGAAACTTCAGCAATAGATTTTTTTTATTATCGGGAGTGTAAAAATGAATATTGTTCAATGTTTTTTTCCTGTACAATCTTTTCTTTGCTGTTTTATTTTCCTTCATTAATATTGTACGGTAATTGTGCTATTTAATATTTCAATGCTTTCTTGATTTCTTTTGAATTCATCATTCTTAATTATTTGCATAATTTCTATTGGCTATTTCTTCATTTTTGTATGATTTTTCACATCATTTTTGTTTAAATATTGGCTGAGACATCTAAAAGCGGTTTGAAAACCTAAAATTTCTGAACTTTTCTTCATTATCGCAATGAGATGGGAAAGAAAAATTTAGAAAATTTGGTTCTTGAGCGATTTTCTTCATGCTTTCCTCTCTTTGAGATTGTTCTTCTTCTATTTCGACTTGTCTTCTGTTCGAAGCTAAGAAAAATGACATATTTGGGTGTTTTTATTCTTTCATCTAAAAAAGTATTTTAATGATAAGAAGTCAATTTTTTGATAGGAAAGCAATTGAAATGTCGGAAAAAAGCTGTTTTTGAATATTTTCAGAAAATCAAATACGTCACATTCAACAATAGAAAACAGAAATGATCGAATTTCTTACACGTTGTACTAAAATTCAATATCAGACTGAATTATAAGTTTTTTTTCTCACAATTGCCAAATGTCCAGCATTTGACGATGATCTTTTCCACATTGATAAGGTTTCTAATTCTCACTTTCATTTTTTAGAATATCTTTTTTTCAATTATATTTTGGATTAAAAGAATATTTCTGCCTGATTTCATCGAAATTCTTTTTTGCACTTTTAGAGCGACTGAATACAATTTTTCCACCCTCTATCGTCTATTCTTAGACGAAAATTTAAATAAGGAGTTAATAACAAGTGTTTTTTTTTATTTCTTTAATTAATATTAATTTAAGAAATGAAGAATGGATTTTACTGTCAAATATTACAATTTTCCTTCTTCTTCCCTTCCATCTAATATTTCTTAATTCATCTCTTTTTAATTATAATTTTATTTAATATTAAATTGGTAATTCAGTCTTTACTCTTTGAATAATTTGTATGTTAGCGCGTTGTCGGCATTCCTTTATCCCGAAACACACCGAATTTTGTTCACCAAATTCACTCAAATTCTTTGTCAATCAATTTCTAAATAATCTTTGTATTTTTATTCCTCATCATAGAAAGATTTTTTTGATACTTTCTTTATACATTTTACCCTTTCTCTCTCTTTTCCTCGGGTTTTTTTTTCTATAGCCAATGGATTAGGAGTTTTGTTTGTTTTCGTCGATTCACTTAATTAGTTAAGAATTCTAGCTTCAAATTTTTCAAGTGTTTTTTTACTTTTTGCTTTTTTGCCACAATAACAACAACAGTAACATCAACTTGTAAATTATTTTAATTTAATGATTTTTCTCTCTCTCTCACTTTTGCTTACGTAAAAAATACTTTCTAATCTGCGCTTTCCTCACTTCCTCAAGTTTTTGTCTCTTCTTTTTCCATTGATGCTTCTTTGTTGTCTTTCTCAGTATTTGCCGTCCATCATGGCGTCCCTTTTGCTGCACCGTGCGACCTCTCGTGCTGTTGTCATTTTTCCGCTTTCCTGGAGATTCTTGTGATGATTGTTCATCTTGCTAGAAGTTCGCACTGCACTTGTTCACTTTTGTCCTGCCCATTTTCCTCTTCTCCTTTTTGGTCACACACATATTCTCACCGGTATCACAATCGCTGGTCTAGTTCATTATACAGAAATTTGACTTTGCTCTAGGTTCATGCCTACAAGGATTACACATTCCCAGCCATTATCGTGATTCATCAATTTGCCCTATGTCCACACTTCACACTTTCCCCTTTCACATAAATTTCGTTAGAGTAACAAGGTAAAAATTTTCCTATCAAAATTAATTTAACGCGATTTGTTGCTTTAAGAGACGCCTAACCCGTTCAGCTGCAGGGGGGTCAAATATGCTGGCCGTTTTCCACGATGTTGGGCGCCGTGACCACGGGCCGGCCGGGCGGATGGCAGGCGGCCGGCGCTTGGCTGCGCGACGGCGACTCCTTGCCGCGCCAGAACTTGAACGTGCTGGACTTGCTGGGCTTGCTGGAGCTGGAGCCGGCGGAGCGCTGCGACAGCGCTACCGGACTATAGGAGGTGTCTGGAACGTCTAGAGCGGTCTTGTTGGGTGGAGGCCGGATGTAAGTCCTCGTAATCTCCGTCTGCAAGGGAGAATGTTGGAAAGAGGCATTAGAATAATTCGAATCTCAACTTGAGGGTAATTTAGAGCAGCAGTTACAGTGGATAATTTCAAATTATCATCAGAATCCTCCATATCACATATTGGAATCAATCTATGACTGAATTAAGTGAATACAATACCAAACGAATGGGTGCATTTGAAGAGAAAAACCATAGGCTTTAATTAGCAATACTAAACACATAAGTAAGCAGATAATATCAATGCTATATCTTGTGGATGCACAAAGAATCTTCAAAGCAACACTAATTTTTCTAATTAAAAACATTGCAATCGCCGAATTGCAAATTTCCTGGGATTTCGTGTGAAAGAAGACTGCAAATATGCGCCCATGGGTGACCCGAAAGGCCAGGGCAGCCGCGGAAAAGTGTGTCAGCAACGGTAACAGCCACCGGCAATTGGTTCAAGGCTCGGCGATTGTCGACTGCAAGTTGCAGATCGGCCCCTTCGCCTGTTTTGCATTCGTGAATCTTTGCAGAGATTCAATTCGATGCTGCTGATAAATTAAACATCGTGACGACAATGCACAGTTCAAGGCAGTGCACAGAAGCCAATCTCAGGGGCTGTCAATTGGTTGGCTTTACCCCAAATCCGCATGGAATTTCATCAAATTATCATCAATGCGGGTGCTTTTGATCCCTTTTCACTTTTCAAATGCGACATTTCACCCCAAATTGACCTTTCACTGGCCATTCTGTGTCCTTTTTCGGGTCAGACGTGAATTCCATCGAGATAAATTGGCTCAGACGAGCAGATCTACCAATCCTTGGCTTTGATAACGCAAAATAGTCTACACATGTAAAGTATGGGCATGAATGCAAAAATCCAGCCGCGAAGGGGTTAAAATGCAGGCCTCTTTTTGCTCATGGCACAGCCAGACTAGGAAGCGAATTGGCGTGAGGCGAACGAAAGATGCAGAGGAATGGCGTGGAACAGACTTTTTGGCCAGAAAAGAAATAAGAAGAAAAAAAAGCGAAGAGAACAAGAGTCAGCAAGAATTATCGACAGCAGACGAGACATGCAGAGGGAAAAAAGGCAAGAGAGTCTCTCCTGCAGAGCCAGAAGAAAACCTCAAGAAGGGACTCTTCGGTGGAGCAAATCAAATTTTAACAAGGCCATCGATTTCTTCACTTGCCAGACACTTTCTCACGATTCAGGGCAGCTGCAGAAAAGCGCATCCCATCGAAGAAATTGGCCCCTTGGCAATTGCACAATTGTCATGTAAATTTTTCCTCTTATCTTCTCTCTACGCTTTTTCTCATCTCAACTGACGCATTTCCCTCGATTTTTCCTCACCACTACGCAACTCAGCTGCCGCTTGCTTATCACCAAAGAGTCAAGGAAAATATTTCACAATATCCCCACAAAAAACGATCAATTCGTTCAATGGAATTTTTGACCACGAAAACACTTTGAAGAGGCACAGAATTGAGCAATTGAAGTGACATAGAGAGAATATATATTTTTTAATCAAAGCCAATTTCAGTTAAACCTCGCTTCATAATCCACATCCGTGTAAAAAACGCATTCTAGACAATCGAACAGTTCTTAAAGAGTGCGACAGCATATTACGATCATTCACAAGTGGGATTTTCTCACCTGATATGGAGCTCTTATGTGTAATTCTCGATCCGCGCTCCATTCACTGTCTCCACCCCGAGGGACGTGGTGTGGATACCGAATCACATTTTGATGCTGGAGTGAATCCCTGTCCTGGATGGCATCGACCCGCATCCTTCGACTTATGTGGTTTCTGCAAAACATTTGAGAATGAGCATCTTCTGAGGCGGAAGGCGCCGATCTCTCACCTGTCATCATGGATTGATGGAGGATTGAGTGAAGTGCGGGCAGGAACGCCGAGCCGCTCCATTCCCGCGCAGCCGGGTGACTGTACCGAGAGCATCTGTGGAAGAAGAGATCGTTAGAAGACTAATTTCACTAATAGCTAAGTCCATTTTAACCCTATTTTGCTAACTTTTCATGGTTAACGTAAAAAATCGCATGGAAATCTGCATGCATATCATGAAATGCGTGGACGTGACAGTGTGGGAGTCATTAAAAATCAATTAAAAGGGAATATAGCGTGCTGTTTCTCTCCGCGAATTTGCACGCGTGACAATTGAACGGTGGCGGGAAGGTTGAACGACGTGGCAAGACAATAAATGTCAGTGAGAGACTTTTGGCTGTGCCGTGTGCATATTAATAAGAAGAGATAATTCAATTTTTAACACCTGTCACCTGCACACACCAACCGATCCAGAGGCTGACCATTGTTTATGGTCTGGCCTTTTTTGCACCTTTCACCTCACACCGCCATCTTTCCAGCAACTCTTTTGCGCTTCCTTCGCGAGAGAATGCCTCTCTCAAATGCTGGACAACTCGGGCAACATTATTTCCATATCTTTTGCATTTTGTATGCACCATCGAGTGACTCTCTCGACTACAAATTGCATTATTAACATGTTTCCCAAGCCCGGTGATTGCATTTTCAATATGGGAATTGCCTTTCCATACTTTTCCACAATTTCACGAGAAAAATAAGTAGCCATATAACCTCACAATACGAATAAACTGTAGAATATTGAGGTTATGACGCTTTTTCCGGGGAAAAACAGATTAGAGACACATGCAGATCCTCGAGACCGTGACGAAGATGCCCGGTGGATTCCCACAAGTGATTTCAATTCGCATACTGTAAGAAATGCGTGAATGGGAAAAAAGGAGAGAAGACGAGCTGAAGTCATTGCCAAAGTGACTTCACAATCACATAATTGAATGAATAGATAATAAAATGCTAATAGAGTGAGTGACATGAGCGCGACGTGGAATAAATTACATGCGAAGATGTTCGCATTCGCGCAGACATGAAAGCCCCATTCCGTGGGCGGACAATTGAGATGACAAACCGAGAGAATCATCCATTGGTCATTTGCATGTCTAACACATTTCCAATGCCCAATGCACTCCCCGGGTCACTTTCACACGCCGTCAATTTCCGCACGCTCCCCCCGCCCAATTTGGTTTTGTTTACATCTTTTGGGGCTGCTTTGGCACATCGTCTTTGGCATGAAAGTGCCAATGTTGCACGAAACACCGGGCAAAATACGTAAGAGAATGCGTTTTTGCCACTGGCCAGAGTGAATAAAAATAGCCATTTTCGCAATCATATGACACTCAAAATTGGAGTGCGGCGAGAGAAATATGAGCCAAATGTTGAGGCTTTTCTTGCTATGGATTTTTCTAAAACAGGTCAGCTATATGCAAGTAGACGAGACAAGTAGGTTGCAAGAATTGAGAGAAATTGCAGTTCAATCGTTTGTTTCTGTTCAAAAAGAAATTTGGACTGTTTTGAGGGTTTTTGCTAGAGAGTATGATATTAAGGTGAAGTCTCTAAACAATTGAATGAAAAGACGTATAAGAAATCAAAAGTATTCATTTAACTGTGATCGAAAGCGAAATGAGATAAATGTGCCGCGGATCGAATTCCTATAATCATCTTCTGTCTCACAGAAGACATAAAACTGAGAAAAGCAAGACTGGTGACCTAAGTATATTATGATTTCCCCAAATTATCATACTTTTACAAGATTTCTGTAACCTTGTCGTCGTGTAAAGGTTAAAAGGGCCGAGAAAAATCATTTCACGATACTACAAACCATCTTGACATGAGTCACATGATTTGCTTACGATAGGTTTTCACCCTAAAATCCGCCTTTCGAGGCTTGAATGGCATTTTCCCAATTTTCCACCCCAAATCAATGTCGACCCAAGTTGTCTCTCCCGTTGAGAACCCTTCGAGGAAGATCCCATAAAATCCACTCAAATCCCCTTAGAAACTGAATGAAGACGACTGCGTGCAAAAATGGCATTGAATATCTCTTGGTGGGATCAAATTTTCTCAATGTGAAATTGTACAATTTTCCCAGAATTGTGCCATTCACACCGTCACACAAGAAGCTGAGTGTGTTTTTGTGCCAAATTTCACAGCAATTACTTTTCCCCAATGCACTTTTTTCCATGTCTCGACGACAAGGCGCAAAAAACACACTCCATCGCGAACCATAATTCAAAGTCTAAAGTGCATTTTCTTTGGTGACGAAAAGTCGTCCAGAAGCAACAATAAATATTATTCGTCGCGACTGATTGCATAACACAAGTGATTCCTTGAGTGACTTTTTGCACTTCTCGATTTTGTGTTAATGCGATATTAATTAAAAAGCCGAGAGGGTGGAAAAGGTGGGAAATGTGCAGTGAATACAAATGAAGTGCTTTCTGAGAATTGACACGGTCGCATGACTTTAAGCTGCAATTGCAATTTCTCGGCACAGACTTGAAATGGAGTGAAGTGGAGGGACAAAGGCCAATCCAGACGACCGGAAGGGTTTTTCGGGCGCACTTCCGGATTCGAAGATATTCCCGAAAAATTGATCAGCTCATAAAAGTAGTGGTGCGCCTTTTTTTGCTCATTCTTGGCAATCTCAATTTATCATCACACTCAAATTCCGCGCAAAGGTGTGCATTTTATGGAAATAGTTCTGTGTATGTGGCCAGTGAGTAGAACGCCAGACAACCTGGCAAATTCAATTACCACGAAGGGCCGGGAGAGAGTCAATTAACGCACTTCTTGAAAATTGATGGAAATTGTGATATTACACGACATGGAAGGCATTTTAATTGAGAGACAGAGCATCACAGGAACACTCACGCGCTATTCTTTTCTCACACACGACGGACTCTCTTCTATTCTGTGGACAAGTCTTCACTGCTATTGTTATTCGCCTGTTGAGCGCGATCAGCGCCTGAATATCTTAAAATTTGCAGGCAACTTTATAATAACTTTTTCCTCAGAATTTAATCCACACGCAGAGACTAATCATGCCAACATGCACTGCCATGTGACTGATCCTTCGATCCTGATGAAATGATCTTACAAAAAATAAATTTAAATTAGAATCCCAAGTCTAATAACTTTAACTACGCTCTGCCTCTATCTTTCTCAACTAAATCAAATCCTCAACAACTGATCCTTTCATCTTCACGGTGACCCTTCATGTGGGCTCTTCCCTTCCACGTGCCGACATTTCAACCCCTCATCATCTGCACACCTCTTGCGTCTGCATGTCCAATTAAGGGTCTGTCGCGCAGCTGAAATTTCCACTTTGGTCGCCGTCAAGGTCGCCTGAGAGACATTTTCTGCACCGCGACGGTCACTTTGGGGTGCACAGCGTCCCTTACCCTTCCACACCACGCGAGGGGAAAACTCGCAGACGTTCGTATCGATTTTCCCAGCCACACACACACACACTCACACACAGACTACCGGTGGATTTTCCTGCATCCACACCGACTTCTATTGGGTCAAACGTGCGTCATTGCCACAGTACAGCCTCGATTGCACACGCGAGAGATTTGATCCACGCCCACGCCAAAGCGGAAAAATCCAGTTTTCCGCGATTCCCGTAATAACATAGCACGTGGCGCGAAAACGGCCTTTGCAATTCACTACTTGCATAACTGTTTGTTTTACTTAAGATCAAGAGCTGGACTCGTGTATCATTGTGTCAAATGAGTGATTCAGAGATTTTCCCACTCGATTATTCAAATATTACCTCCACGTGGAAGTAATTGCTCGGCTGTTTGATCTGCGTGTCTCCATGCGAAGGACTTGTGGCGACTGTACATCAAATTATCTAATTTGTTTCATATTTTTAATTTTCTTTATCGAAATGTCAATATTATGGTGGAATTCGGACGAGGACACACACTTAAGAGAATGTAATGAAAAATACAATAACGTTACGCAAGGTTTGACTGTATTTTGAGGGCGGAAAAAGGCACCAGCGAGACTTCCGCATAGGGAATTCCATGGCGCAGGGTTGAAAAGTACGAGCGAGAGTACAGAAATTTTCCTCTGCATAGTGTTTTATCTTCCAAATAACTTATCTGATACTTTGCTCTGTTTTCTATCGAGGTTGATCGCGTTTTTTGCCGCCTCTTTTGATTTTATCTCATAGATAATTTCTCTTTGTTCACCTTCTTCGGCGCACTTTTTCGCGCGATTTTGGCCGATAGACAAACACATAGCGATAAAACACGTACAATATCACGAAAGTGTGCATATGGAAAACGTTCCGGAGTACCGAGGATGCAATTGTGACAATATCTTCTCTCCCTTTGCCAGAAGATTCATGGTTGGCGGATTGAGGCTAATGGGCAATTCTGCGTTCGAGCCACGAAAATGCTCCCATTTCAGCCGCCATGCGATCAATAAAGGCACAGTGACGAGAAGTGGCCCAAATCGAGAGTAAAGTGAATACTTACGGATACAGGATGTTCCGGCTCCGCGTTGAGAGGAGTTTGATCGTCTGGCAGGAGCGGTATTGGTAGTGCCAGAGCCCTGGAGGCCCTCTGGGTTGCCCGCAAGCAACACACAATTCCAAAGAACGTTAATACTGCAGCTCCAACCAGAAAAACGACTACTATCGCAATCCTAAGAGCTGCAAAGAGATCAAGAAAATATGGCGGAATTAGTGTATTGCACTCAGCGCCAAAAGTTGCGGCAATTGCAGACAATTTCATTTCATTTCTCGAAATACATATTTACGCAGTCTTATATTTCCTTTTGATCAAACCATTCGGCACTCACAGTATCAAATCGGTACTTCAAGCCGGATAACATGGAACATTTGACTTCGAATTTAGAAGAAAATAAATGAGAGAAAGCATCTCCGGCTTCCAATTCGCTGCTCGGTCCCTTTCTAGGCAAAAGTGCAGGAGATTGGCTCAATAATTGAAGTTCAAATAAATTGGATTGGACTCTCCCTCGATTAGCATATAAATGAGGTCTGGCCGGGGGAAGTGATTACTCAATTAGAGTCCACTTTGGCGTCCTCAGCCGGAGGAGAGGCCAGATAAAAATACGAGGGAATCGCGAGGTGGTTGATTTTTGCGCGCGCATCTCATCGAGAGTGCGAAGACTTAGCCGTTTAGTGCAATTTTAATCTACACAAATTGCTGCCAAGGTTGATTATATAAATTTCCTCATTGCTCCGGCTCACAACTCAGAGTTCAGTGTCACTTGTTCACTTTATTTGGTGTGACCGCGCAGAGCATCGATCCTACCACCGAATCCCCATCCGTGACAATATTATTCTCGACTCTCTCGAGGAAGTGTGGCAATAAACAGAAAATTCATGAGACGTCTGAGGATCGTCTTTCGATCGCCATCGTCTGATATATTTATATACTCCACAGCGAGAATCACTTCTTCGGAAAACCACTGTTTTGTCTGGGTTTCAAACTTCTGATTCACGGGGAATATTTCTCGGATTGTGGAGGAATTCCAAATGTTATAAAAATTCCTTCGCCGAAATAGATAAAATGCAAAGTGGGGAAAAAAGGAACAGTCATGCACTGTGTTTGGGTGGAAATCGTTAAAGTTTATTTTTAAACAGTTATTGCCGTGACTTCTAGGACTCTTTCGCTGCACAAAAATGTCCCAGAAAGACACAATATTCGTGGAAATGTTAAAGCTTTTTGTCTCAATTCAACTTTAGAGGCTTTATTGCTCACAGCGATATAACTATGACATCATAACCTTTTGTTTCGCCTAACACATTATATAAAGATACCGCACGATTAATCTACATTGATTACTCACTCTTGTGATTACACTGCAGATTAAAGAATGTGCTAATTGTTGAATATTTTCTTTTCTCCAACACTGCCAGAGCGTCATTTCGTCAGTTGAGCTTTTATTCATATATTCCAGACAGGCAAAAAGTCATCTTTTATACCCGAAATGAGCTTTAATTGGATGATTTTACACTTTTCAATTTGATTAGTCATTAGACAGGTTTAGCATCCCAGTCAATCAATGGAGCTCAGGCCCAACCCTGCCCCCCGCGATTGACACCTCCATGTCCCCAGTGCATTCGCGCGATGGAAAAAGGCGCGATAGGACGGACAAAAAAAGCATTGTGCAGCTCACTGGCAGAGATAATTGTGTTGACCCTAAATGGAATCGCTTCGCCGATGGTGCGGGGAGTAGAGGGAAATTGAAAATATTTCGCGCTTATCACCGCCAGTCTGTAAGACAATGTATGGCGATAATAGCTCGGCTGGAGCGTGTGGCAGCCGGACTGAATGGGGGGATGCGATTGCTGGCCAACCCAGGCACGAACGGAGGGACACGTCAACCCTGGTCAAGGGGTGAAGGTGTAAGTCGTGTGCGCGAGAGTGCATCTGGCTAGTGGCGAGAGTTGTTAAAAATGGGAGCGAGAGAGCCAGCCAGACTGATAAGAGACTGGAAAACAGAAATCAGTAAATTCCTTCGCCTTTCCTCTCCCCACCACATTCGGCTCTTTAATCACTTATTATTTCTCTCTCTGCACAAAAATCGACGACGATTGTGACGTCAATGACACAGACACACCACCATGCATATCATTATTAGACAGACTTTATTTACTGATAATGGAAATGCCAATTAAAATTTTTTCCCAATGCAGAAAACGCGCGTTTTGCGCCTTTGTCGTTCTGTCATGTATGTTCTCTCAGTGGGTAAATAGATCGGAAAACCTGTAAAAACATTGGAAAATGCCCTGTTTCGGACTCCATGCGTTGAATAGATCCTCGTCTAAGGAAGAAAATATACCATTTTCCCCGGGTAAGAAAGAAAAACCACGAAATACGTAAAGATCATAGTAATATAATCCGTAGAAAGCATAATAAGATGCAAACAAAGGAATCAAGAATCGACTACAATAATATATTTCAAGCACAAGCCCAAGGGAACAAATCAAGAGAATCAAAAACTTCGGTTTCGACATCAGACTGCACTTTGATGTCGCGTGACTCTATAAAAGTGCCACCGTCTGTTGGCTGTCTATTTCGTGTGACTTTGTGTGAATTTAAAAATTGATTTTTCTCGCACCAGACATTCGACTCTGAAGAGGCAAAAAAGTCAGTCATCTCAGCGATTTGGGCAGTCACAGTCAATTAATTAAATTTTTCACAGTGGGGGGACAACAATAATGTGCACTGATCGATGCGTCTCTGGCTGTCTTGTCGCAAAAAAAAATCCACGTTTGAGGAAACATCATTCCGCTCTTGTTTTTCTCGTGCATTCCCACCTATTTTTGACGATGTTGGCCAAGTATTTTCCGTGTATTTTTGCCTGTTTGTTTTTCTCAGTCCCTCGATATTATTAAGCGCTTCTCTCCCCCTTTTTTATTCACTCCGCCACACTCTCTATGATGTCTAGAGTGGATTGTTTTGTCTAGCCAGCAATTCTAGCGACTTCAGAGTGAGGAAAAAAGGAGAGTGTCGAGGGCTTGTGGGACAAAGGTGAGCATTTTTTCGCACTCCAAGGATTTTCCGGTGTTTTCCAATATTTCACGCAATGTCTGACGGACAACTCCTAAGGATCTCAGGACCAAATTTCCCGTTCAACTGCACTCGAGATGGAAAATGGCCAAATGTCCACAATTCGCGAGACTCACCAATATTTGTCGGCCGTGAGGTTAATATTTAATCTTATCAGCTGCTGCTCTGCCTTGTTTCATTCAAAATGCTCAAATGAGAACCTCATTTTCCACACATTTCTTCAATGCTCACGCAAAGTCTCGTCGTTTCATTATCTTGATGTCTGGGTAGACTCAAAAAAAGAAACATTGACGGCGTATTCTCAACATCTCGACAGAGCGGAAAATCCTTCGAGAACAATTGACTCAATTTCAGTCACGTTCTTCGTGCATCTAGCATTTTTTTCGATGCACTTTATGCAATCTTAACCTCAAATTCTAACGCATTCAATCTCCAGCCACATACTGCTATTTTTGACCATCGAGCATTGTGTGTTGCAATCACGAGACAACTTTATGTTGTGGGAACGGCATTGTGTACTCTGGGGTGTTGGTAAAAGGAGTAAAAATCGATCCCTAGTCACGAAAAAGTGCCGCATGATTCATGGGACAAGACTGAAGAAAGTTTGCCATCAATCCAAAACTCGCCCTTGGCAATTTGTGCATGTCTCAGGATCATTTTCATCTCTGATGGATGTTCGCCGCCAAAGCCTCAGCTTAGGAGGGTGATTTTTTGGGGGGTCCGCCGAGGTCACTTTGACTGGTGACTGAGCGAAAGTGGTCGTGCATAACTTTTACTTTTCAGAAGTTTATTTCAAGGTGATTTTCTAATTATGCCGCAGCCATAAAACATTGACATTACTGCCGCTTTTCACTTTACCTCAAGTCAATGTAAATAACGGACTTAGCAGAATAGCTCCTGAGTCAACAGAGAGTGGAATCAATAAATATATTTGGCAAATAAACATAATAATGGAGACAGCCATAGAAAAATGAGGGATATTGACCATTGATAACGTTAGACTGCCGGTCTAGGTGAAATTTTGCTATAGCCTCCAAATATAAATTCCTCTCTGATCGTGAAACTCTTTTGCGAAGTGTTGTTGGTTTTGGCTGCTTGCTTTTTATTGCTCACACTGTCTTACAATGTGTTTCTCGGGTGGAAATAGAGAAAAAGAGGCACGAGAAAAAAGTGCATCACGAATACTGGTTGGCAATATCGAGACTCTTCGGGAATCAGCTGATGAATTGACACTATTTTTTCGCATAGCGACTCAACCTGGGATTTCTGGGACATTCAGAAGATGAAAGGTCGTACCTTTTCGGCTATTTCATGATGACCTGCATAGACACTTCACTTGACATTCACTTGACACTTGGGCTGGACACTTTCCACACAATCCACCCGACTTGGAGGGCCTTTTCCGCGGACTATCGTCAGACTATCTGGACCTTTTCCTTCTGCGTCTCCCGCTCATTCGAGGCATTCACATAAGGACTTCATTGGGATCATGTAATTGCTCCCCACTTTGCTACTGCACCTAAGATCGCGCGTCACATCCAATAGTGCCACATACACGAATCCAAAAACCACTTTCCAAGTCAATATTCATCAATTTTCACACAACGCTCGCCGTCTTTTCCGCGAAATATCCGCGCACAAGTCCTTCTTGACTACAAAACCACAGATTTCTCACCTTAAAATGCTAAGATTTTCTCTCTCAGAGCAAAAAGTCACTCTCGCGGGTAAAGCACAACCTAAATCGGCGCCCAAATGATCCGCTTGGCGGCTACAGAGCGACTGAAGTGAGATTCCGTCTGCACTCAAGTCCACACTCGCGAGCTCATTGAGACGGCCAGACAGAGACCGACAATCACCTTGGCACAGTGTGTGAGAGCGGGACGCGAGACGAAGCAGCGAGTTCGAGATCCAGTGGCGGAGGGTGATTTTTTCTCCTCATGTCTTGCGGAGAATTGTTTGGAGGACAAAGGTGAGAGAGAGAGAACACGATCGAGCAAGCTGCGCATGTCTGCGCACTCTGCGAAGCCAACAGAGGGGGCAATCAATGCCGAAATCGAGCCAATTTTCAAACGGTTGAGTTGAATTTTTTTTTATAGATAATACGATATCT